TCGAATGATAACTTTATCTGTGTCTTGCAATATATATCCATATAGATCTGGTTGAGGATTCAATAACAATGTTTAGTAGCAGATACGATGATAGACTTTTTCAAATTTGAATTACAGCCAAATGGATGAAACCACAGGAATGTATGAATACACACTACATTCCCTAATCATTCAGCTTTCATAAGCGTCTTTTGAATCTATTCAATCTATTATAATTTTCTAGAAAATCAGTATAATGTGAAAACTTGCTTTTTCGAGCATTCATCTTTCAATAATTATCCATTGATTTGGCAATAATTATTATTAGAAAGTTTATATAATGAGTTAAGGCCATTTGATAGCCTTTAATCCACTTAATAATCCATACTAGTTTTAACAAAGTTTGTTGACAAATACAATTGCATTTTCAAGGAAAACTTCAATTCATATTTAAAAAAAAGTAAATTTATTTTATATTATAATAACTTCTTAAAAAAAAAATCATTCTCAATTTGAAAAACTTCATCATTAATAGGTAATTTTGATGTACAATTTTTAAATTCATTAGTTGTATATCACTGTAATAAATTGGAGAAAAAAATAATAACTACAAATTCAAATCCGTATTAGGCAAGACTAATATATGAAATTGATTCGTACTTTTTTTTAGAAAACCCACCTAATATGGTATAATTGGAAACATTTAAAGGCATTGACGTACAAATAATAGTAATTGAATAGTTTATAAATGAATGATTAAAAAAAACATGCATTTCAATAATGAGATAAAACATCGCACGGTCTATAATTTAGAAGAAAAAAAATATATAAATAGATGTATAATTAAGAGTTGCATATTTTGCTAGCATTTAAATCATTAATTCGTTGGATATCGTTGCTTAACGCGTGTAATTGAATGATGCACGGATTTTGTTGTTGTAGTTGTTATTATTATCATCCCATTTTTCTTCATCATTAACGTCCGTTTTTCTCCGCTAATTGTGTGTCTTCTCTCGTTGCAAGACCGTTTAGTAAATTAGCATCAATGAAAGACACACGGACGGAATCGTATTATTAGCGAGAACGAAGACAATGAGATTTGCTAATAAGTTTAAAGTGTAATTATCCGGAGAGCTACCGTTTAATTGCACGCAGTGGAGAGCCGATCTTTTGATATCATTCAACTTGAAACAACTGCATACATTATTAATTATCAAGATCAAAGCTTTAATTATAATAATTTTTATTATACAATATCAAAATTTTGTTCCCAGTTTGACATTTAAATTATTTGGAAAATAAATGAGCAAAACTAAAATATCAATTATTTCAAACAATAGTAGACGGAGATCAATAGAAATTACAAATCGCGTTGGAATTCTTCTTTACCAGCGAAAAAAAAATACTATTGTTCATTTGAATCAATTAATTGGTGTATAATAACAAATTGTTTATGCACGAAACATCGGTTAGAATCATCATTGTGATGTTGGTTTTTTTTTTTGCAACAAATTGATTAATGGTTTTGAGCGTATTTGGTAAGCTTTTGTAATCGAACGTGGATGAAGCAAAACAAAAATGTGTACTATTAATATTTTGATTGCAGGAAATAAACAGAAAATAATGATGCAGAAGCGAAATGTAATGTAATAAAGGAAGAAGGAGAAGTAAAAAAAAAATAAGGAGAACCGGCAAGATTGTACTCAAGCGTGTTCGTGATTACCTAACGATATTAACATTTACTATAAAATCGCCTTTCATTTCAAAAACTTGTCGGCTGCAGTCAGTGAAAGTCGAATTCATTAAATCCGCCTGGCATCGTGTACGAGTGTGTGCGTGAATACTTGTGTAAATCTCACGCTGAACAGCTTAATAAGTCTAATAATTAATTACCTCTAATCAGTCGAGAAATAATAATAATACATTTGTGTGCATACATGTTTATGACTTCGAATGCAGATGGCGTTGGCCGTTATTACATCTTTACCTTGAAGATACGTTTCTAAGAATTTGGTTTATTTAGACTATTGAAATGACGTTATTGGACACAATTATTTGATATATTTGATTTTTACATTGCAGAAGAATACATTTCTTTTTTAAAGTTTCACAATCCATCGTAAATGATCGCTTTTAAAGTTTTAGTTAATTAATAATAAGTATTCAAGTAGTTTTACAAACATAATATGTGTATACTTCATCAAAATATATTTTTATGTTTCTATCTTCGTTAATCTTTGCAGTTTATATATTTATTTTTCTCATACAAAATTTAGAAAATTTCTTCCAACATTCAGCGATAAGGGCACAAAAGACTTGTTTACTAATAGTTGTTGTCTCGTATTTATAATTGTAGGAATTTTCCAACGATAGAAATGCTTATTGGTGAAAAAAACTGCGTAAGACGACAATTATGTCTCAAATCTCAAATTGTGTGGTTGTAGCACATTTTAAAGACACAAATATATATTGTTTTGGCAAATTTAAATATATAAAAAAAGTTATTAAACGCTTTAAATAAAGCGTTTATGGGTTTTGATTGAAGACTGTAATAATATTCATTGTAATGAGAACGATAGGTTAACGACCGACGTGTTTCCGTAATTTCCTTCTATTTATTACGATATTTCGTATAATTGATATATCTTTCATACTATCTAATTAATGTATAAGTCACCTTATTATGTATCCTAATTCAGTCTTGGCGAAAGGACAACTTTCGGTTAGATTTCTTAATCTGTTTGTTCTGTAATTAGTACAAAAAAAATTATAAGTAAAATTGAACAACATTCAAAATAGGAATTCTTAAAATTCTGACAATTAATTTTTCACAGTGAAAACTCTAATAATTATAAATACTAGATTAGTCAGTTAATAAATAATAAGCATAAATGAAAATTAGAATATTCTGTATTTTGTCAAATGTGCAAATTTTTGTTGTAAAAAGATAATACTATTTGAATTATTTCTATATTAGGCAGCCAGAAATACATTGAATAAATTCTTAGTGAATTTTTTTTGTTTGTTCTTTTTCGTTCAAATATTTAAAGTGAAAAATAAATATGGTGTAAAAACAAGATCAAACGATGTTGTTCATTCGTGAATCAAAGTCCAGTGTAGGTTGGTACACTCGAGGGTCGTTTCATGTTTTGTTAATGCGAAAATAACGAGCAGGGCAGTAAAACTAAAAGAAAATGCCAGATCGGGGTGTACTGAAAAGAGGGTACAAGACGATGAACCTTATCCAAATCAAGAATATTCACTAAGTGCACTGCATACTATTAACATCGTCCGAAGATGAGTGCCCTTGACAACGATCATTTGACCTACGAGGAATTTGCTCTCTTCCCTCAACTCTCGCTGTCGCACAAGCAGGAGATCTGGATGATTCTCGAGGAATTCCCGAACAAGACACAATTCTTCCTCAAGACCCATCTCGAATCGCTGGTGGATGTGGTACCCGCACAGACGGAGGACGAAAAGTTCCTGAGGAGATTGATCAACAAAACGCTGGACTGCATCGAGTATATGGGTAAATTTGCGAGGAGATCTGAACAGTTCGACGATCTCATCAAGAAGATTGTCGAGGGGAAGTTGGACGAGATCACTAGGAAGCATTGGCACGCGTCGAAATTTGCCTCCAACTTGGAGTCTCTCGTCTGCTATCTTCACAAACGCGTGGAAATACTTAAAATGTTTCAAGTCGGTAGGTGTCAGGTGCGCAGACGATTTTAATGCAAAACAAACAAAATAAAAAACGTAAAAATCTTTGTGATAATATTGTTTATACGTTTTGACTGATATAAGAAGAAAAAAATAATAATTAATTGTAAATAATTGCGACAAAATATATTTTCTTTGAAACGTTTTTATATGTAAATGTAGAGAAAAAGTAATAAATAATGTGTTTTTAATAATGTTTTTTCTTTTACTTATTGCTAATAATTTGATCTTTATAATCAAATAATAGATTAACAGAAAACTATTTATTATTGTATAAGGATAAAACTAATTTTCCATGATATCTGTATTTGTTTGGTTGTCGATGAAATCCTTGACTATTAGCTGAAACAAGTTGTCTTCTTTGTACAGTCAAGAGTGAACAAATCAATTACCAAAATATGTTTTACGAAACGTCGTCGCGTTGCATTCAATTTATACGCACGATCGTTTTGAAACGAAACGATTGGAAACCCATAACTGTCAATCGCAAGAGATATTCAAATTGGACGCATATCGAAGAATATATATACACACTCAAAAAAAAAAAAGAACAGAATCAGAACAACAACAAATAATCGAGTGTCGTAAGTTGACATTGGACCTAGTTCTTGTTGCGCTTTCGCATGCCCCTCACGTCCACAAACCACACATATTTCTTCTTGCACCCATTGAACTTCTGGCGCCCAGGGACCCTTACCTACCGTAACACGCTTACATAACGTAAACAAACCAATAGAAAAAAATGTGCGCTCGCCATGACCAATCTTATTTAATTGGGAATTACAAAGCCATTAAATAATCAATTACGCAATTGAATGTATGGTTGAAACATTTCAATTTAGATCGAATTTAACAATAGTCATTTGCCTTTATACAAAACACACAATTATCTTTTTTTTTTTCGAGTCATCAGTGGTTCAAGAAAATTAGAAAGATTATTAGTTTTTACTATACAAAGTTTAAGCTCAAATATATAAAAAATGCAATTAAAACGAAATTAGTATTCAATAACAGTAACAATAAGCATAAAGTAATGGTAATGATATAAAATCACAATAATAACATTTGTTTTTTTGGAACGGACAATAACTTTATTTGAAATGATATATCAATAATAGTAAAATAAATGGTTATTTATTGGTCTTTTTAGACTTTCTTTAAACAAATATGATTCTATGATTTTCATATTGTTGTGAATTCTATGTACTCATTATTTTGTCTGAATAATGTAACGCAGTGAACATATTTGTTTGATACTAGTTTTATTGTAAAATAATATTTATTTTTATTTGTTTCAGATTCACAAGCATATGACAATAGATGAAGTTAGAAGCACATTTCACGTGGACAGTCACGATTTAGGTAAGAGAAAAAGTCGATAATTTACTTTCTCCCATCAGCGAAATGAATTAAGTGCTTTGTTCGAGTGAATGAACAAACTGGCTTAGTCATTTAATGATTTTAAGGAAATTAAAAAAAAAGAAGAAGTAATTCACTCTGACTGAAGAATATATGGGAAACGGAAGTCATTTATTAGCTGTGCACATAAAAGATGCTTATAGGAAGTTAATACTAGTAGAAAATAAAATACAGCCGTCTTTATGTAACACGCGGAATCGTTTAAATGGTTACAAGAGCGCGTTATTAATCTTCGGTAATTCTCGCTCATTATGTAAATATATTCACGAAGACAGCAAGAAAAAAAAAAGACGTAATGAGAGAAGGAATCACGAGATGCGATCGTTCGCGATTCTTGTACTCTTCCTCTATCGGATGGATGCATATGCGAATGTCTTGCACTTTTCTTCTGCAAACAAAGGGAGCGAAGAAAGCTCCAACGTAACACAGGAAGTTCGGTATCGCGCAACGTCATTGCACTACTACTGCTTGAATTTCCAGATTTTTAATGTTTCATTGTACCGTTTCAGTTCCTGAATACGAAGTAGTTCACATTTCGCAACACAATGTGCGAAGACGGAGTATAGACGGGAACAACAGGGATTTCAATCATTTGGATGGAAACACGCTGGGGAAGTCAGGAGGCGGTGGAAGGATCAAGGATCGTCCTGCGACGGCGAACGTGAAGTTGCGCGCGTTCGGTCGACCACTGAATTTGAGCCTCGTGAAGACCGAAGGGCTTTTCAAAAAGAGCGGCTTAAAGATTTGGTCGGTCGAGCCGAACGCAACGTCGCAGCATGGCGTCGAGTACATTGAGTTACCTGAGGTAAATTCATCATATTTTCACTCACAACTTATTCATAAATACTAGGTCTATATCGAAATTCCAACATTCAAATTCACGACATTTGAAATCCCGACAGTAACAAAGTCCCGAACATTTTAACGTATTTTTGCAATCCTTTCAATCTCTAATGTCAAACTGTACGCTTATAATATTCCTCACTTATTCAATCAATAATTGTCTATCTATTTTGTAATAAACCACAAAAAGAAGCCTAAACGATGAGGAACGTGATCGACTTTTTTATACTAGATGAGTTATTACGGTCATTTCGTTCATGGATGCCGAGAACTAAACGTGACCAATAACAATGATATTTATAATAATCATCACGATTTTTTTTTCAAACTGAATTACATAATCTAATTAATTTTACAATAAAGAAAACCTAATAGACGATTAAAGATCTTAAGCTTTTTAGATGAGAGTAATTTATAAAATAATGACCTCAACCTGAACAAACTGCTTTTAGTTAGTTGTTGGAAAGCATGTCAGAGAAAGAAATCAGTTTGCTGGTACAGTCAACCCTCTATATTCATGTTTAGGTCAGTGCTATGGATCTGCTTGTTAAATATTTAACAGCATTTCTCAATGTAACAACAAATGCGGTGTCTTTAGCAATCATTATTTAAATCGTCATCATCTCTGCTACTCTAAAATTCATTTGCGCAAGTTTCAATAAGTAGTACACTCATCTAGTACGCTTCATTCAACACAACCAATTGGTAATGAATCTATAATATACACATTTTTTTTAGCTTAGTTACTGGAATTAGAATATACTATATAAACATATATTATTATATTACCATGTCATCAAAACATGCACTATTTTAATACTAAATTGTTAAGTATTAAATATAATTACGATCTATTACTTAAAGGAAAACTAAAGTTGACAAGTTTATAGCAAATTGTGGAATTTGTAAACACTGAATAATGTAACGTTTTTTGTATAATTTTATTCAATAGTGTGAATGTATGCAGCATTATTTCATACTTAAACAAGTTACTCTACAAACGAATTTCCAAGTAATCCATTGTAATGAGACAGCTCAAATTCAGAGATTGATGTAACCTTGCAAATCCAAACTGCAAGAAGCGAACGCAATGTTTGGTAACCATCATAAATCTTGTAATGCACAATCATTTCATTATACAATTGATTCTAGTTCATTAAGTAATGTACCTACTTTCGGAATGGTCGACTTAATTCGATGTAATTAGATATAAAGTACACGATATGTAATTATAGTAACTTAACCTAAATTGAGTTGACATTATCTGAGGAAGCATCGGATTACTACGTCCTGAAGCCGCATAAATTGCGATAATAATTTCGAGATTATATTCGCTTGCTGTTAACTTAAGCGATTCAATTGCACGGCACGACAGATTTGTCCGTTTAATTTGTTCGCGACGGCGAAACAAAATTTAATTACGTTACATCATAATTAGTGCAAATGGATTGCAGTTATGCAGGGAGGCGCGCTTTGCATCACGTGTAAAAGACAATAAACGGTGCTTATAAATGCGTTAACTTATATGTTTCATATTGTTGGTTTTACTGATATGTCTCGATGGTCGTGCTGCACAAGTGCACGCGTGGCCTAATTGAGTTTGTAGTTTCAATAACTATATGCTTTTCTTGAATGCCCAGCCTTGTTTCTTGGAATAAAGCTGAAAAAAATAAATAAAATAATGAGATACACAACTATATTGGATTTGTATTTAACAATATCTTCAGAAATCTTCTTTGATATTTTATAATAATACCGATTGCTAAAGTATTTCACGTAACGTAATTACGCGTTGCGACACGTCTGATTCGTTAAGTAAAAAAAAATCAAAGCCTATAAAATTGACGAGTTAAAAAATTTAACGTTGGAAAATATTAGCAGAAGACGTCTCGTTAGCCATTGCGATTGTCTAATTTATTGCAAGGCTTGTGGGCAATTTGCGAATTGCAAATCGCGACGCGACTGGAAATACATTATTTCTTAATTGCCACGAACGCAATGAACGCGACGTTTTGCTCTTTTTTCCTTTTACACATTTTTCCTCGTTTCAGACAATGGAGACCGTTTTGCAAATGGTCATTAGTACATCCTGACGTTGAATTTTCTATAAATGAGCATACGAAATTATTGTTGTCTACGATTGAAGTTGAAATGAAGAAAATCATTTAAATAAATTAGGGACGTGTAGTAGTTTTTCTCAGTATGAAGCAAGTCTTCGAAATGTGATGAATACTCGCTACTTTCCTCAATCATCAAGTCTTCATATGGATGCATTCATTCTATTATAGTTTCCGAGAAAAATCACTAAAATGTGAATATTATGTATGATGAGCTTAGAATTATAGCTCTGTTTTAAGCAACAACAGGTTAGCGACCCAAAGACTATCTCATCCGATCTTTAATTTAATTCGAACAATAATTACTTCATTGAAATGATATCAATCTATTATGGATATTTTACATAACAATGATCGCAGCTTAAATACTAGTATTTATGTGCTCATAATGAACGAATAGAACATTTCTAAAGAGTCACACCAATATTACCGTTAATATTGTATCAATCAATCAATCAGAGTTACAATCAAATAAGAAATTTAAAGACTATTATATTTATATTTAAGAAATGCAAATAGATAGGCATAATTCATAAGAGATTAAGTAATTATTAACAGATGTTGTGAGTTTAACGATTGAGGAGGATTTTCATATAATTTTTTTTTAATCCTTGTTAAATATTATATAAATAATACTATATTTTATTTTTTGTAGATGTTTTTTGTTTTCTGATAGGTATTTTCTTTTAATAATTAAAAAAAAATTGTCTTGTGACGTCCAGTAATAGTGAAAGAACTAAGAAGAGTTTCAATTGCAACATCTCTTCCTATTCAGCTTTCTCTTCCTTTTTTTTAAAGAGATATTTTATTCCACGTCTGCACCAAGAAGTGTATCAATTTCAAAGTACATGCATTTTTGTTTTCCTGATTCTTCCAATTAATATTAATTTTCCATAAAATCTAGTAAAATAATAATTTATTGCAGAGAAAATGCACGAAAAATTCTGTTTCGCCATAAATTATTTGCTTACATATGTTTGCAATGTAAAATGCGAGGCAAAAAATATGTATAAATCTAAAGGTGTGTCAACTGCTTTAACCGGCGTCTGAAGTGTTTAATTTATTTGCCGGCAGATTTCATTTGAGGTTAAGACAATGGCTCACGTCGCGCAAACATCAAAATACATAAATCTCTGAATGCAAATAAAAAAAAAATAAAGGATTTACGAACAACAACATCTATTTAATCATAACTACAATACACTACATGATGCAGCAATAATTTAAGATTTTGTATTTACAAATATTCGATGTAATAGAAAGTTCATAAAATTGCATTAGCTTCTGTGAATTTTTGAAGTTTTTAAAAAGGATTGGACGTGTAATTGAAGATTGTATTTATGAGCACTTTCGATTTCTCCGATTAGTTTGCAAGCATCTTATGCCGTGAGGCGATTTGTACACTGCAATTATCAGATGTTACATCAGCATCAGATTTACACGAAAATCAACACACCCCAAATTTGGTTACGCATCGATATTAACGAGCAGCAACAACTAAAGCGGAATTCATTAATTTCGACTTATATAACTTCAATTTGCTGTAAACAAAATTTACATTTAGAAAATTAAACCATCACAAAATATGTATTTATGTATATGTAGTTTCGTAAAGTGGGATCTCATTTCTTCATAAACGCAACTCAAAAACTTTGTTATAATCGTTAACTTTACGCATTGTTTAACATACAATGCATGTAAGTTTTTTTTAATTATAAATATTGGTAAGGAAACATTTTGAAATTACTAAGCTAAAAAAATGCATTCTATGAGATTTATAAGAGATTACCATTAAATTGATTAGGGATTTCTATAAGAATTTCTAACGAATTTCTATGAAACTTCTAAGGGATTTCTATGAGATTTATAAAGGGATTTCCTTGATATGTCTAATGGTATTTTTATAAAATTTGTATGAAATTTTTAAGCGATTTCTATGGGATTTCGATAACATTTCTAAGCGATTTTTATGAGCTTTCAAGTGACATTTTATGGTTTAGTTTTATATGTTTGTTTTGTATATGGTGAAATGGATTTGCAGTATTGTTCGATTTAATACTCGAAGTAGTAGCAAAAATGTTTGCTGTCGCAAGATCTCACTGAGATACACGAGAAAACATAATAAAAATACATCTAGTTGTGTAACCAGCAACCAGCAACCAGGAAATATACAATCATATTATTCTTGGCACAGCATTCGCGATTTTTACATCATCGAAATTACATTATTTGAATAATTCACGTATACAAACATACATAGAAACACAACACTTGTATTATTATTGTTATTACATATTCAATTTTTGACATTCTTTACAAATCGTTTGGCAATTTTTCATTTTAACACGTCGATGAGCCATCAATAACGCGTGTGCTTCAAGCAGTTATCCTCGAAACATATGAAGATTGAGATGAAGCGAGAGATCGAAACGCAACGAGCACCAGAAGAGGACACAGAACAATCGACAAAATACACTTAAGAATCTTTGATTTATTCTTTATTTGCTCTTTTTTTTGTACGCGAAGACGAATTTCGAATCTGTCATTTGCATGCGCTATTACTCTTTCGGTCATCGACAAATTTGTAATCAATTTGTTCCAGCTTTAATTTGAATACATAAACATGTCATCCGCATTTGCGTACGAGGATAAACCTGTGATTTATCTAGTTTTTTTTTTCATTATTTAAACGTTGAATACAATAATGCTTTCAATGGAGATCCAATATAAACTATCACATTTATATTTCATTTAACTTCGCAATAACTAATAACATGTTAAGGTAATTTTCATTAAAGAAATAGTAAATTTCAACGTGTCTTATTCGTAAATTATACGTAACAATAGAAGAATAAAAAAACATGGATTTTATAAGGTACATCTAATTTAATGCGAGGTTCTTGGAATGTAGTGTAGTAGTGACGAAGTCGCTATTTTTAGTTACAATTTTATATTATTTATTATATTTCTGTAACATAAATCGCATACTTCTCTTTAATATATTCTTCCCAAATAATAAGTTTTCTTGTAAAAATCAAATTTATATTGAAATTTCATATTACAAATGACGCATTTACTTAATCGATAAATATGTTATGAGTTGCAAATTACTTTTGTATATTTTATTGTATTCATAAATTATTTAAAACAATTATAATTATTGATTTCACTCTAGATTCTAAAGGAAACTGAAATCTCACTTGCTACATTAAACAGAAAATACTTTACTTTAAAAGTTACCTTTTCCTACTTTAAAATAGTATAAATAAAAAAAAAGTATTTGAGATAACATGAAGTTTTTAAAGTTTCTACTGTATTGCCTTGTTACTTAAAAAATGTAATAATAACAAGTTAAATTATTGACAATAATAATTCGCCTAATTGGGTAATGCTATGAATAATGTGCATTGTTTGTGTTTGTAAATGGGAACTATAAAGAAGTGAGTGAGAGAGATTGAATTGCATTGTATACGTAAGAAATAGAATGAGTCATGGCTGCACTGGACTTGGGAATGCGGTGGGTTCAGTTCGCCGAATGAGAGAAATGTGGAAATAATGGTTGATGGAGAAAGATGGAAAGGGCAACTAGAAGAATGAGAAGCCTAGTTCTTGAGAGATGAAACAAATTCAATAACGTCTTAGAAAATTGGCATTCCTAAAAATGGTGATGATATTTCTTTCTTGCCACATGCCATGACCATCGACCAATTTGGAATGATTATTCCGCTTGCAGGTGGCAAGATTGAGCATGAATCCGTATGGGCTTATTAGCAATTTACCAACGGATTGCAGACGTGCAATTATGTCCCTTTCTTCATAAATTTTATATAATAATCTTCATGCAGCGAGCGTTGCGCAAGTCTGCACATTTTGATTGTGGGCCCGTCCCGTCCATTTGAATGCAAATAGCAGCTGCAGCAGCAACAGTAGCGAATGAGGATTGCTAATTCGGCAATTCACGAATTGTCGAAGCATTTTCCTACAGAGATTGCAGACCAAAAATATACCAGCAACAAGAGTAGTAAACCCGTTGCAATATTCATTCGTTCTCGATCGAGGTGCGCCGAGTCCATTGTGATGAAGTCCAAGTGGCAGTGTGGAAATCTAATCCATGCACGGCACAGATATTCCCAACAGAATATCCGATAAGTTTGCAAATTCCCTGATAACAGCAGTATTTAATTCTTAGAGGTAAAGTTCACCACGGATAATCGATTCATCGTGGAAGAGCGAAAGAAACCGACAAATTATATGAAACTTGCAAAGGTGTTCTTTTTTTACGTATTATTTGTATGCAGGACACATTTACATACAATACAACGATTCATCTCCGGTCAAGATCAAAATACCACCAATTTTTTTTCTGTTCTGATTGATTGAATAAAATATACAACATACAATACTTAAAATTTCAAATTAAATAATATGCACACTTACAGCATACAAATCTATCTGATCAATTGGAAAATAAAATAATATTATCTATACTTATTAGAGGCTATGGTATAGTAAATATTATACACTGTTATTATTGAAAGAATAGGGAAATTATTATTAAGGAAAGATTCAATTATGAATGAAGTTATTTGTAAAATGTATTCAATTAAGAACAATTTAATATGCCCAAATACCTCAAATATAATTGAAAACCTCTGAATAAATAAAGTACAACTAGCTTTTGACTAAACTTCGCAATTTCATTTCATTACAAAAGTTATCATTAACATGATTTATATTCGATTACTGAAATCAATATATCGAATGTTAAATTAAAAGCATACAAAACAGAAATCTTCTATTTCGATTCCTTCTCAAGCGAAACGAAAGTAAAAGTTCATCATTTTTTTTTGTTTTAAATAAACACGAACATATTTTTTTTTGAACAACGCACGATCATTTTTTAATTTATGGAATTTTTCGAAATTTTCGAGCGTGTTATCCTATCCTTTCGCACCTCGAGAAATCGCAGCAAAAATTCGACACGAAAGTTTACTTCTATTTAAATAATTAAAAACCGTGAATATTTTACAGTCGTTTTGCAATCATCGCTTTTTTTTGTGTGCCTCCCCAAAAATATTACAGAACGAAATGTTAAATGTCCATTGTTCTTTACGATTCGACGTTTATGCAAATACGAACGACATCTAATTTTTTGTTTCGCTGTTGTTGAAAGTTTCGAATCTTTCGCATATTAATTGATCAATAATTAAGAAAAACGTAACAGTAATTAACATATTCTTTCGGTTAATTTATTGATCTGAGTTTACAATGTTCGTGATGTGGATTTGTTCAACCGGTTTCACTGCTTAGATTTTAAAGTCCCGGAACTTTAGAAAATGTCACATGGCGCAAAAAAATTGGATATTTTTTTTGTTCGATTCGATATAGAATTAATTATCGTAGCTTCTGGCGGATATCAATCAATCTATTGAAAAGTGAAATGCGGGGTTATATGATCGATTACGTATGTGCATTCAATGTTAATCAATTGATTTTTGTGTTTCAGTCGCACGAAGATATCGGGGAAATCTATCAGGATGAGGAGAACCAAGCGGCCATTCTCTTGAGGAACGATGACATCCTGGGTCATTTGTTGCTGGTAAGTGCTAAAACGATTTCCTGTTTTTTTTTTTTGGGTTTGCTGAAGCAAAAGTGTCGTAATTTGTGGCCCAAAACTGGCGGCCACGCTCAATTCTTCTCTCTAACTGCGTATTTTACGACACAGTTGACATATAGAAATAAAAAGCAATAAATTTCGGCGACGAAAATTTAATTAGCCGGAAAAGGAAACGGCAACTTTTTATCAACTCCTTCCTCTTCAATTTACTATGCCAAAACGGTTTTTCCTGATTCATCAATGAATGTAGTAGCTAATAAATACATAAATGCAATTATGATCGCGACTGGTCGCACCTTTAAATTGAATACTTTGTTGGAGCAAGGACGATCTTCGAGTCAATCAGTTCTAATGAATCCATTTGGAAATCAGTTATAAAACATATAACTTTTTTTACCATAAAACGCTTAATCCGAAGTTATTTTCAGAGAAAAGTGTTTCGACTCGACGACTGGAAAATGAACAGTAACATTTCCATTTATAACAAATCTTATTATGCAACTTATGAGATACGTGCAACGCTGGAAGTCTAAGTGAAACTGTTAATTGGCATTGCGCAAATATTGTAAATAACGCGTCGTTTGTATTTTTTTCTCTTGTGCTATGTTCTTGTTTGTTTTGTAATCATACATTGGCATTTAATCTTTTTTTTTTTCTCTCTCTCTCTCTAGAGATTAAGATGTGCCAATTCATAAATATTGCATATAATTGAACGTCGCCGTGAATAATCTCGTGTTTTCTGGAAAATGAATAAAACAAAATTGGATATTTTAATTTTGCCATTTCAAAATCCAAATCGCTAATCGCACAAGTTTGCACAAGCCGCTTTAGCCGCTGGCCGAACGCACGTTGCTTAATAAGTCGACCGAAGGAAATAAATAAACGAGTGACCAATTTTCACGTTTTTCTCATTTGCCAACCAATAGCATTAGCAAATTAATAATCAATGTGTATTACTGTAATGATCGGTTTGTGGTGCGGACGGCTTGGGTCATAGGTCCCCTTGACACCAATGCTCAGTAAAATGCGAATTTCGTCGTCCTAATCCAAGTCATTATCAGCCGCAACTGGACAATTATATTCCGACACTCCGGATTTATCCCATTAATAATACTAGGCAATTGTCCGCAAAAAGGAAACCGACGTTGTTTATTATTTGCAAACGAATGCTTCTTACAACATACAGACAATCTTAGAAATCCGTGCAATTTGTCATAACGTTGTTTTAGACATATTATTTCAATGCTGTTATTAGCTTTCTTTTTCATTCATTTCCAGTAGGAATTTAAACTTTTATCAATTTTTAAATTCAAAATATACAATATTTAATTCAATCTATATTCATTAGAAAGTTGTTCATCTTGTTGATCACTTAAATGAGTGTTAATTCATCTAGTATATTCCTAATATCTGAAATTTTCTACAATTAACAATGTGTGTTACTTTAATAGTAAAAGGTGTCCCAAAATTAACGAAAGATTTGAATTAAATAGAAAACACAGTTTTTAGTCTTCAGGTTGTCATTTTATTTAGTGAATCATAAAATTAATTTCCTCCTGTAATGCACGGGTGGTTGTGGACTTGTTGACATAGACCTTTGACTTCAAATAACCCCATAAAAAGAAATCTAATGGTGTTAAATCACAAGATCTAGGGGCCCAATTCTGATCACCGAAACGAGATTGTACACGACTAGGAAATGTCTCTTGCAGTAATTGAATTGTTTCACGGGATGTATGGCATGTGACACCATCTTGTTGAAACCACATGTAATCTCTTTCAATATCATCCAACTGAGGCAGAAAGAAGTGTGTTATCATGTCGCGATATCGAGCACCAGTAACAGTCACCGCTTGACCAGCCTCCTTTTAAAAAAAAGTATGGTCCAATGATGCCTCCAGCCCAAAACACGCACCACACAGTGACACGCTGTGTATGCATTTGTTTTTCGACAATCACATGTGGTGAAACAAAGCCATCAAGGTGAAAATCGCTTAGAATGATTTTGCTCGAAAAATCAGCATCCACTTGTTGATGCTCAATAATCCATTTAACGCCCCATTTTTACTAACTCTAACCACTCAGCTGTCAAATTGTTTATTTTTTGGGGTTGCCAACACTTTACTGCACAGATGGCAGCAAATTCAAATCTTGCGTTAATTTTGGGACACCCTTTATATGTAACAAATATTATTATTATTACTAAAATAAATGTGTTTATAATAATAGAATATAGTTAGTTAATTAGAAAAGAGTTTTCACTTTAGTTATTATTATATTAATATAATGAAGTCTTTAGAAATATAAATTTTCTGAAATGTAGATACAAAAATATGGCGAGGATTTTAGAAAAGTAACTTCATTAATTATAAACTCATTTAACCTTGAGTTTTAGCCAGATGCCCAATTATACATATTCAATGGGTTTCGGATCATTCCGCCTCTCGCGAGGGGAAAATACAGTAATAAATTTTTAATACTTTATTAACATAATTCATTAAAATTTTGTAAAAATAAATAAATCAATGGTAATTAATTGAGCACAATATAATAATAATAATGTTTAGTATTTAAATGTTAAATAAAAGGTTCAATAATTAAAATAATAACTGACAACTTTCTATTGTAGAATTTCATATAATTCACATTCTGAATATTGCAAACATTGAAGAAATATTGAATAAAATGTGTTTTGAGAAACTAATTAGAACGTTTATTTTTTCTCTTTTTATTAATATAAAAAAAGAAAATTTTATTAAAATCGATTTTTCTATTCCCATTGAACACTTGCAAATTAATCTGACGAATTTACAAATAATGAATAATACAAGTTAAAGTTATTATATTTATTATGGATTTTTAAAGCAAACTTTGGAATTGAAAAATTACTTTTTTCTAATTTCTAAATTGAAGATGTAATATCAGAAAAAGTTCATTAACTTTAATAAATAACATTAAAAATGCTTCTCAAATGAAATTTAACATAAAACTAACTGTAATTCTTTCCAAAATTCTCCTATCCAATAAATCACGTAAAAAATTAAAAAAAAGGTGATGGAGAATTGTATAATTTATTGATTCTATTTTTTTGAAACAGACATCGCACGTTGACCACGTGCCAGTATGTAATTAAGTCAATGAACGGAAACGAAAATCTTATATATTCTATAGTCGTAAAACTTTAACAATGTTTTTATTACAATGAAACTTTGTGTGAAAAAATTACTTGTTATGCAGGACTCAAGTACTTGACAAGTATAGAAATAACTGTATTAAGTGCAATGCAAGTAATTGTATAAGTCTTTACATGTAAACGTACTTGATTTAAGATGACTTAAAGGATCTTTGCGATCTATTAATTCGAATAAATCTTATCGAGATTCTCACTATTTCCTATTTTTCATATACTTGGCAAATACTTTTATTAGTATCGAGTATTTAACAGACGGTTTTATGGAATAGTTTAAAAAAAATACCCGCAGGCGGTGATTGATGAAATGAATTGCCGCTAAATAATATTAGATTAATAGATAACATTGCAAAGGCGGCGACGAGATTTGCCGTATGCGGAAACGTAAAGAAAATTGCGTAACGTAGGCGATTCCATCGTGGAGACCGGTTCTAGGCACCGCAGAAATGGCATTTCTTTTCCAACTGAAAAGTGGGGCATTGGGCGCCATATTAATTTGCAGCCATTTCGAAATCCCAAATCAAAATTTAAAGAACAAAATAATAAAGAAACAATCGGATCGTATCTAACATGTCCACGCAGAGACTGTGTCGCAATTTGCAGTTACTTAATAATACATAATCAGCGTTTAATCATTTCAATTGTAAATGACCATAACAAATGTACCGTTCTGGAAAAACGGTGTTGCTGCAGTTAGTTAACCAACTGATCGATCGATTGAGAGGGAAACAAGAGCAACAGCAGCAGTAAAGTGAAAAAGAAGAAAATTCTAATGCATATATTCACTTTTGCACTCACGTGTTTCCCTCCATCTGTCCCCCCCTTGTACGTTATCCAACTTTCAATTTCAATGAATGCCTATTATTACCATTATCTTTATTATTATTATGATTACTGCACACTCGTTATGTAACGAACGGCGTGAAAAATTCTTGCCCGGATCAAGGAGATCTGGGCAGCTCCTGTCCGCTGCGACTCGCACAAAATCGATTCTGCGTTTACCGTTAGCGCCTTCTTTTATTTCTCGCTCTTGTCTAATAGGTCTTTATAAAATTATCGATCGAGCCGCGGCGATTGTGATGTAATTAGAGAAATATTGCGAGGAATGTGAACGGAAACGCCGCCGTTGTCATACTACGATAAAACTGTCGTTCGAAAATGATTGATTCATACTAACTTTCATTCCAAAAACTATTTACCTTTTCTATTCTATAGAAAATACCAAATCTATTCTTTATAATCGAAATACTAAGCTCTGAACTATCAACATATTCCAAGAACGTCCTATACTTATTTATTGGTCTATTGTTACATACACACATGCTTTATATCAGACATAACTATCTCTTAGTATTAACCGTCATAAAATCTGAATGTGTTACAATAATTGGTGTAATATTAAGAGAAAAATTATAAACCTGTGGCCCTAAAATCATTGAATCTTATTTGCTATTTTCTACTTATTGCATCAAAGAATAAACATACATGTTTTGGTTAATATGAGATGAAATTTCCACTATTCTTAGTTGTTGAAATGAAAGAGTTTTCTGAAATGCCTTAACTAAATTTGTATAGCTTGTAGAGTAGTTAAAAATTTGACATAATATCGATTTTCTCTTTTCACCTCTATCAATAATGTTCCACATTTTAGCATTTAAGATTAGGTTATTAACTGCAATCTACACAAATGAAAGCAACAATATTATGCGCGTTATTTAATAGACCAGTAGCAAATTGTGTCTTTGCGAAGTAAAATTCAAGTGTTCCTTTCTTTCCGTTCGTGTTAGTCGACGTTACGCAACGATTATATCAACAACAATATAAAATAATGTAATATACATATTATAAAATTCCATTCTGAATAATTACGAGAATAACAATGTGACGTGTGTGCATGTATGCGCCTAACTGTATTGCAACAGGCCGCGGAATTTGCATTCGCATTAATTCTATTTCACTTACTGCAGATTTCTGATAATTTCCGTTGCACAAAGAATGCAAACTAAGAGCAGGGCAAGATAGGAAATAAAAAAACGTATATGTTACTCGAAACAAACAAAAAAAACAAAGAAAACATATTAAAAGAAGACGCGAAACGAGAACTTGCTCTCAATCTGCACATTGAAGGAAATGTAATATGAACATTCTACATCACTAATTAAATTCTTTGCAAATTAATGTTGGTTTGCAGTAATAATCAGATTACATTTTCATAACTTATTTAATTTTTTTTTAACATTTTCTTAACATATAATTAGGTCAAACATGTTAAACTTAACAAGTAAAACGACGTAAATTATTCTTAAACAACGTTGTTCTTAATTTCAGGAAACTCGTACGTTTTGGTATTAAAGTGTCCGAAATATTCGTTATGTAACAACAACATTATCCATATGTATGCACGTACTTGGAACAGAAAATTACACAAGTAATTGTCAAATTATTGTTATTCGAAACTTGACCAACAATTTCAGCCTTTTGCTTTGAAAATACACGCTCATCAATATTTAATTTAAGACCTGAGACTGTTCACTTTCCATATATAAATAAAGATGATATTTGAAATAAGATGTTGAGACCACTTTTACGAAAACAATGATTCTATACCTTTATATATCTTGAATCTAATACATTTTTCAAATTCTGCTATTCCCTTTTTCCTTATAATTTAATACTTACTCATTTATAAATGTTTTCAAGTCAATAGTTTAAATAGGAATTATTATAGATTTTTTCAATAATAATTCAAATCAATAAACTTAATATCCGAAGGATGATTTAGAAATATTCCAAAAAAGATATAGTAAATTTTGGTCAAATTTTACAATTTAGTACTCACATAAAACATAAATATAAATAAAAATTGTATAATTAAAAAACATAAGAAGAGATTGAAACTGATGTCCATGAATTAGGTCTTTGATCTCAAATGTTTCCACTTTTGAATTACGAGACTAAGCGTTTATTGAACTTAAAAATAAACTTTATTACACCCACAAATCGGCGATGTTTACATATTGAGAATATCCATGCGTTGTTGCGTAAGGCAGATGTGTATTTCCCACGTGAATTATTAAGAAAAATGTGAATTAAATTCAAAGATGAAAAGAGGTTGTAGGATTTTTCAGCATGGATCACGCCGATCCATTTAATTAAGCAATGTATCGCGTTCGAAATTATTCGTTGGATAATAATTAGTGATTGCACGAATCGCGCAGATCGGAATCACGCAAAGGTTAAGTTTGCAGAGACGGGAAAAACAATGGGTTGCGAAAGGCGGTGTTGTTCTGGGCGGAATTTCAAGTGATATTCGCGAATTCCCGTTCAGAACGCATAAATCATTCATTATCGGTTGTATAATTAACGTAATCAACGCGAAGCATATAAGGAAGGACGCATTGGTAGTAATTTAATGTTCAATGTCGATTAATTCTATAACACAACATAAATTAATCTACTTTTAGTATTAATACAAAATCTAAATTCCATGGTTCATTGTAAAACTTCAACTTAGTTAATTTATATTTTAGTTAATGTTGATTAATAAACTTTATCTTAAGTCTACTTTTAATAACACTTCAATTTATAATATTACAATTTAATATGTATTAAATATTTGGGAAATCAAAAACGTTTTATAGCATTTTCTCTATTCTATTCGAATCTACCACTATCTGTATAACTATTCATAATGCACATTCACATCTCTTGAATAAAACTAATAATTAGAATGAATTATAGAGTCATATTTATTACAAAACTAACGTATTACGCAATGACCGTAAACAATATTTATTATTACATATAATGAAAGCAATTTGTCTCTAAAATATAATAACAAGGCAATAATAATACGATTTATTTATTACCGCATTCCCTTTTGTTATATTTGTTTGTACCGGAATCAAAGCTGTCGACTTGTAGAACATTTCAATAGATGCTAATTTTAAACTTGGATTGTTGTGAAACTCATTTTTTTGATAATACATTGGAGGCGCTTGTATTATGAAATAATTGGTGCACTGTTTGTTTCACGTGAGTGTGTTGATTTAGAAAAGAAATCCAGTTACCATTAAAAACGCTTTCTTCGGAACCTCGGTTCGCTCACACGTTATAATTAAGTATTAAAAAAAAATGCATTAAGAAAGAAGAGGAAGAAGAAAGGCGAGCGTTTGCTTCTTCGTGTTTCATTACAGATTAATTATGCAATATGCAAAGGAATATTATTTTAGAAAAGCGAATTGTGGAAACATAAATTATTAATTTTGATTTCTTTTATGTTTTAGGAGGGAAGCATCGGACATGATTTAGTGATTAAACCTGTACCCTCTAGGCTGCATCCAATTGCAGTAGCCACGACACCCAAGGCACCTCAAAGAGAAACCACAACGAAGAAATCATCAACGAATAATGAGTACGATGATGAAATGTTCTTGGACGCCGATGGAGAACTGAGCGGAGAAGTAGCCATTGATACGGGAAGGCCGTTACACAGGAAGAGCAGCACAGATGATATTGTCAACCTGGAAACGGAACAAACCGCTCACCATATAGTTTTTAAGAGAAGAGATGGCCACGAAGACACTGACAGCGATTACGGTATTATATGCATATAATAATAAATGATTTACTAATAATACTTTATATTCGCAGCTTTCATGGAGCCTGACCATATGAGTAAGCGTTTCCGAAGGGACGTGGTGTTGTCGGCAAGTCGAAATTCGACACGCAGAAGAAAACGCGAAGCTCCGTACACCATTTACCCAGAGATTTTGGTCATTGTTGACTACGATGGTTACCGTCTGCACGGCGGGGACAATCTACAGATTAAAAGATATTTCGTTTCGTTTTGGAACGGAGTCGATCTCAGGTATAAGCTACTCAAAGGACCAAAGATTAGGATATCAATTGCGGGTATAATAATCAGCAGAGTAAGTAATCGTTTATTCCTTTATTTTGAATTCAGCTTCCTCGTCGGTCTCTATGCCCACTTCCTCCATCAATTGTTTCTTAGTTTTTGGATAACCCTCCATGATTGCGTCAACAATATCCATGCAGAGCCTCTTCCGCTTCTTGTACTCCTTAATAATCTTCTCGCGCTCTTGCAAAACGGCATTGCGCTCCTCGTCCGAAACAGTTTCTGCATTTCCATCATCGTACTGTGACAATTTCTCCTTCAAAGCTTCAATTTGAGCGGTCAGCTCCTTGTACTCGCATCGAACCTCGCCTAAAGACTTCGTCCCTTGTAATCTATTCAACTCGGTCATTGTCAACTTCAATTGATCGCCACCTTTCTCAAGTTCAGCCGTCATCTCGTTTATTTGTCGATTCAAACGTCTCACTTGCTCTGGCATATCCGATGTCGCGTCGCTTTGAACGATGCAATAGATATTTTGTTTACCGTACGCCTTGACCATCACCTTATGCTGACCTACCAGTTTATCCAAAGCTTTTTGCACCGCGGATTTTCCGAACTCTTTATCGACGTTTTGCGCAATATCGTTCGCATTGAAAGGGCGATTTTGATCTGCCAGGAATTTCAGTATCTGTTGACTCGCCATCTGAAAAAAAAAGAGAATTTCACTTTAGTTAAACTTTTTATTTGCAGGGAAGAGATGCTACGCCGTATCTGGAGAGAAACAGAGTAGGAAGAGATGCCATCGATTCTGCGGCAGCGCTAACGGACATGGGGAAATACTTGTTTAGAGAAAGGAGGCTTCCGGTATACGACATCGCCGTGGCCATCACAAAGTCAGTTTCTTTAATATTTTATTCTTATTTCACAATTTCACATACATTTATTTACTGATGCGCCAATACGAGTAGATGGCATTATTTTTTTATGAAACCTTTGATGATTATATAGGTATGACATGTGTCGACGCAGAAAGGGCGGCCGTTGCACCAAAGGAACCGCTGGTACGGAACTTGAAAAAATGGCTTTTATTTACGAGTGATTTTTCTCATTGTTTGTGTACATACATTTTATTTAATTACTAACATTAGATAATAGGATCTAAATGGAATCGCCATGTTTAAAACAAAACAAACAAAACAAAAATATTTATCAATGGTCTTGTATTTGGACCACAGTTGCTGATGCTGCTGCATTATTTATTTGAAACGGGATAAAACTTACTAACAACTAAGTTATTTATTTATTTAACACGGTCTCCTGCCATCAATACCATTGGCGCTGCAACAGAAGTTGGGTGTTGAGAAGTTGACCTGCTGGTATTGATGGTAGGCGATAACAGGGTTCTGACTCACGTGGACTGACAGGATTTGGATTGGACAAACATACAGACACTTGCACAAATTTCAAGCGAAATGCATAAAGGAGATCGAATCCCCGATTTTTGACCGGGCAATCATTTTTGTTTATTTATTGTTTGCAGACTTGACATGTGCAGACGTTCGTATCCCTCAGATGTGTGCAATCGTGGCACAGCAGGTATGCCCATTTCCTCCCCACCAAAAATTTAGTAAAATATCACGATACAAGATTATCTTGCACCGTCTTTCTGTTTTATTCTCTCTTCATCATACATTTTCTTTCTAGTTGTAGCCTGTAAATTATCTTCACTTTTAGTGTACAAACTAGAGCAATCCGTTCCATCTTTAAATACTCTTCTCTGTATATTCTAAGAATACACCTATTTTTTTTTTTCGGGAAACCATAACGCGTTAATATTTCATCATTCATCAGTAAGTCACGATTTTCTAAATAATTAAACAATTATTAACAATAATCATGAAAAGTAACAACTCAAATATGTTTAGATGATATGAATTCTATACATATTGCGTTTAAATCAAGGTAAAAAGGACGTACGTACGAAATTATACGATTATCATTAAGCAAGACTTATATAATATTAAAGTAAAAATTGCGCTGTGTAATGGTTTCCTGTTGAAATGTTCATTTTGTAAAATAATTTTTCAAAAAAAAAAATCACATCTGTTTATGTAATTTTTCTTTATCTATTCGTATCTTTCTGTTGTAGATTTATTTCTCGTTTTTTGCCTGACATTAACATCCGTATTTTCTATTTTGTAAATGACATCTCAATGACATTATATTTTCCCTTCCCATTCAATATATATATATATATATTTTTATTATTATTCTTCTACCTTTGTCATATTTTTTCGTAGTGTAGATAAAATAGCAATTAATGTAAATCACTCTCAATTTCCTTTCATTTAATCAATTCCATTTAATCTCTATATATATTATGTAATATTAATATGTATTATCTATGTCCTACGTAGAAAACAACTAAAGAAACAACGATATACGTTGTTTGTTTATTTTTTCTCGTTCACTTATATTTTTATTCATTTCTACCTTTACTTTTGTTCTGTTTACTGTACAAAGTTGACGTTACCTAACATTGACAAATATACTTGCATGCCTCTCTAACAATACCGAATCTAATCAATAATTTAACTAACAAATAAATTTTGCTATCGCTGCTAACAGGAATCGTAAGTGTTTTCTAATTATCATTAATAAATTAATTTTCTTCGAGATCACTTCCGAACCGAAATATCGCACTAACCAATTGTTAACTAACGAAATGTTGCAAACGATATTAAACTGTATATATATATATATATATATAAGTTAATAATGGAATGAATCAGTATGTTAATCACTTTCACTTAATTTAATTTGGTGCTAAGTAAACGCTGCAAATTGTAAAATTTAAAGCGTATTAATAAGAAATTTAAATTAATTATAACAAAATGAAGCAACATGTTAGAGCTCCCTTTTGTTCTAATTAGTTTTGTTCAAATATTCTTTGGTAATAATTTGTAATCTAAATATCAATAGGATTCGCGTATGTCGGAGGTGCTTGCGTCGTGAACAAACGTTTGGAGAAAGTCAATTCCGTTGCCATCATTGAAGATACCGGCGGTTTCAGCGGAATCATCGTTGCCGCTCACGAAGTTGGCCATTTGTAAGAGCAATTGTTAAGATATTTTATTTAGCAGAGAACAAAAGATCATTGCTTGCTTGATCCTAGGCTTGGCGCTGTCCATGACGGCAGTCCACCACCTTCGTATCTCGGAGGGCCGGGAGCCGAGAAATGCCAATGGACAGACGGTTACATCATGTCGGATTTGAGACACACCGAACGGGGCTTCAGATGGTCAGCTTGCAGCGTTGCGAGTTTCCATCATTTCTTGAAGTAAATACTCGGCGATTCCTCGGTGATTTGATAACAGATTAATGAATTTATAATTTTTAGCGGCGACACAGCAACGTGCCTTTACAATTCACCTCATGAGGACGACAGTCTTCCGCGTGTGCTTCCTGGAAAGCTGTTAACCTTAGACGCTCAATGCAGGAGAGACCGTGGCACGAGTGCTTGCTTTGTAAGATTGTTTTTATCCGATTTGTATATAATGAATATGCTGATGTATGTTTTTCATTTTCGTTGCAGAAAGACGATCGCGTTTGTGCTCAGCTCTTCTGCTTCGATGCTGGAAGCGGTTACTGTGTAGCCTATAGGCCAGCAGCTGAAGGATCGCCTTGCGGTGATGGTCAGGTACTGTGATTGGTATTGGTTTTGAATGGTTCATAATGATACTGATGTTTGTTTTTTCATAGTACTGCTTGAATGGTAGATGCGTGGCAGAGCACGAGAACATCATTCCCGATTATTCACAAAACACACCTTCGTATATAAGAAGGGATGGTCAAGCGAATCAGGGACGACCCTTGTGAGTATTCTCGACGATATTGAACGCTACAGTAGTCTTAACATTTGATTTGAAGCACTGTATTAGAAGTATTTTGCACGATTAATAATGAATTACGTTGGCACCCCTCTAGGTTCTATGATGAGGACAACGACGAAGTAGAACCAGATCCACCAAACACTTACTACCAAAAGAACACATCCAAAGCTCCTTACCAAAACAATGACAATTCCTATACCACCCAGAAACCGTACAATTACTACAGCTCTACCACGACCACAACAACGAATAAACCATACAATTATTACACGACAACGACGCAACGTCCGTACACACAGAAACAGTATTCCACGACACAGAATAGATATTACACAACAACAACAACGTCAACAACAACAACTCAGAGTCCTTACTACACCAAACTGACTACCAGATATCAACCCTTCCAACCATTTTCCATTTCAACCACACGTTCACCCTATGATTTCCAACATTACTTCAAACAAACCACCTCAACCACAACCAGAAAACCGTTTTACACGACCCGCACTCCTTACACGTACACCACAACCACTGCCAAACCGAATACCACTAAGAACCCCTACATAGGGAACTACTTTTTACTGAAACAAAAGACTACGAGAAATCCATACGACTTTGCCAATTTCGGCAAAAACTACCAAACCACCAACACTGCCAATTACAACGACAACATAAACAATAACTATTTGAAACGTTCATACAATTCAGCGAGCTATTTTAGCGACAGTAGTAATATCAGAAACGCTAGCGCTTTCGGATAAACTCACCGAAAGCCACCGAGCAAATCTAATTTATAAGAGAACAGAAAATAAAGACTGCAGGGTAAGAATACGAGATTTCAAACGAATCATGCATCTGTATAAAAATACCTATCTATATCTCTGGACCATTCATTGCATCGAAAATTGAAAAATTCTATCTCTTTTTCTGAATCCAATTTAATCTTCGAAAATCTATTAAAATCTTCACATTCTTAAGACCAATCCATATCTAATATGTATAAAAAATACCTCTTAATATGTATTGCTCTTAACTGTACAAACGAATATAAATGTTCCTTGTTTGTTTTTAATCGTGTACATAATATTCTCTTCTCGCATTTTATTTACTTAATACATACTAAAAAAAAATATGAAATGCATATATCATGATTCTTACGTTGAACGAAATGCATGAACAAGTTCAAACGAAAACGATCTCCACAACTATATTATCTACTACCCTTAATCAAGCAACAAGATCTTATTACTCTATGTGACTGACTTTATACCGTACTTCTCTATAACACAAACGATACCTACAGATTACCAAAAACATTCTATTATCTCTCTTCACCAATTTTTTTTTTAAATCTACTTTACAGCTGAACTCATCACACACGTCTACATATTTTTGTTTTGATTAACACCACACTTCGTCTTTTGTATACATTATTTTCTTTTTTTTCAGATTGTGCAATATTAACATATGCCAATAATCTCGAACATTGAGCATTTAATTGCTAGATTCATCATCATTCAAAAAGTTATTAAAGTGTATCATTGCATGCGTTAAAGTGAATCCAGTAATTAAATACTGCTATGTGTTTATTACATGTTCTTAAATGTTTTCTGTAAATTCTACTTTTTCTTGCTTTTATGATATGAGATTCACTTGTAAATATAAAAACTAATCTAAATTTGTATGTTTTCAGCCTCCGCCAATAGTGGAATCGTAAGGAAAGAAAAATTCATTTATGGACAAATTTATTAAGAGATACTGAGTATCTCTTTAAATTATACTTATTATGTGCTTATTCTTTTGTGTGGATGTTTACTACAATATAAATAATTATACTACGTTTAAATTTCCGATCAAACGAAGCGCGTTCCAGACTCACCAAGTGCATATCTCAAGTGATTATCCGTGTAAATATAACAATATTAATTATTATCACACCATAATTTCTAAATAATTATAATATATATATATTACATTCTTATTGTCGATTATACTGTGTAAATATGTTAAGTGCAATCATTGGTTCCGCCAGAAAGGGAAATTCTATATTCATTTACTGCCAATAGGTGTTACGAAATTGAAAATGCTTTAATAATTTAAAATGTTGAAACAAAAGAATTGAAAATGTGATTTCTCTTTAATGTTAATCTAGTTTGTAAAGTATTTTGTAACGATCGATCTTTCGAATCCTTATTATTTTTTTATGTATAGTATTATTACATAATTAAAAACAATTTTTGTTTGTTATTACTTAATATCTTCTCTATCATTATTATTATTATTTTATTTCTATTGCTACTACACTTGTTTTAATTCTCAATTAAAAAAAAAAGAAATACAATCAACACCTGTAGTGTGCGTGTGCTGCTAAACAGAGCAACTATCTGTTTTCTTTAAGTTAGTTCTAAGTTCCTATGTTTTATTTTGTAAATTATAGTCTTGCTACGTATATATATTTTCTCTATTAAAAAATGTCTTAAACCATATGAACAATTCTATTTCTTTTAGGTAGCACAACATAAAAAGAACAATAAAAACTTGTTACATGCGAATCTTCGATGTAATTCAATTTACCATAATTCCCGAAAACCATATTTCAGAATCTGCGCTTGATTATATACAGGGTGGCCCAACTGCAACTTTTCAGAACGCTATATTTTTTTATTTGAAATTGGATTTTATTGGACCAAAAGCAAAAAATGTTGGAAAACAATTAAATTTTTTGAATTCAATTCAAATTTTCGACAAGCAAGTCACACGCTGCACGAATGTGAACCTGAGGAATCTTCCTCCATTCACGAAGAATGGCTTTGTTGAACAGATTAACGCCCTGATATTTTTTAGTACGGACATTGGCTTGTAAAACGACCCATACCCAGAAGTCGAGCGGATTTGCATCTGGTGTGGTGTACTTTGTGTGATGGTGCAGAATCTTCTAGAAACGTCCACTCTTTCTGACTGAAATGTTTGGCTTCAGAGCACGTTCCAAAACTAGACATTCGCATTAACCTTGACGCCACGGTCCAAAAACACCAACGGAGAGCGATTATCGACCGTCACAGCCTCCCAAACTACCACAAACGGTGGTACTTGACTTCTTGTGGCCATTCGAATGTCTATATTTTCATTTGACTCTTCTAAGTAAATTCGATCATTTTGTTTGTTTACGAATTTCTCAATTGGGAATTTTTTCTCATCAGAAAAGACGATATTTTGCAATTGGCTATCACACTATTACGTTTGAATTCCATCGCTGATAACTTTTTTTTCAAAAAATTGAGATGCAAATGCTTCCGTAGGCTTGTAAACAATAAAATCAGCTATCATTAGGCGAAATATGGACATAACATTGCCTACGGTTATAAAGTATGCCAAAAGTAATAGCAATTTTTAGTTGGTTGCAGTTCAATTGGGCCAACCTGTACTTTAATATATCTAACAAAATATTTCAGGATGGAGATAAAAAAAATAATTAAAATTACCCATTATTCTTCATTTAGAAATAATATAGGTAAGACTCATGAAACAAGTATAATTGTAGGAAATATGTATGAAAAATAGGACAATGAAAAATGTGTTGATTTTAGTAAAATCATAATACATCTAAAAGTTTACAGTATAATTAATGTTAAATACTTGTTTTTACTTTAATTAGTTGAATGAGTCACATATTTATAATGTTTCGCTTTTCAATTTAATAGTAAATACTATATAAAACAATGGAATGTTAACTGAGAAACATTTGTTTTAACCTATAATTTATTAAACTGTAACCATGACATGCACATAAAAATCAAAAATAATTTTAATATCTTAAAAATTAAGTCAACTAAGTTAAAATTAACATCTTATTGGGAAGACTACTTTTAGTAATTGCTTATTACACATTCATATACTAGTTGCAACAATACCTACTCTATAAGGAACACAAGATTACATTATTATAATTAACTGATTTCAAATCAACGAACTATTTTCCTATCAGTTAAACCCGATGCATTTACAGCAATCCTTACAATCATTGCCACAGACATGGCACATACAATACCGGCAGGCATAATTTTTCCAGAATTGTAAAACCTGTAGCCCATGAATCCAGCTAGTATTGAGCTGGTGGCAAGTTGAGTTGAATAATTTGATGGGTCTTGACTGACTTGATACGCTCCATATGCAAGAGCGGTTCCAAATAATAATCCAGCACCTAAAGATGGCACTGATCCTAAAATTACATATTTATTGGTGCGAATAACCAAATCATCACATATTCTTATTTTTGGAAATAGGTCAACAAATCAGCAATATTGTTACTTTTTCTTTGTACTAACCCGCTTTGTAGTAACCCATAATGCCTCCAGCTGCAACCACAGCAGCATATGCAAAGCCTGTTATATCCAAAGGCATTTTGTTTTATTAAATTATACAATATTATTGCTTAGAAATTGTACTTGATCAACAAACCGTAATCTATTCTATAACCTAACTTTATAAGGTCGCTTGACAATTTGATACCAACTTAAAATGAAGCAAAATCAATCCGCTGCACTTAATTAGTTGTTCCAGTAATTTATTAATGACTATAATCTAATAATATATTTACCTTATCTTCCTAGGAAATGTTTATGATTTGACTTGGCTATAAACACAATTTTTTCTCAACAACAAAAAAAATGAATGTTTCTATGCAAAAACAACCATGTTCTTTTTTGTAACGAAATTGAACGTATTTTTCAATTCTAGAATATTGAAATAAATTAACTTAATTTGCAACAAATAAACAATAAAAGGATGAAACCACAATAATGTTTGAATAAACACTGCATTCTCCAAACATCCAACTTTCGTATGCTTCTTTTGGATCCAATTTATCTATTATAGTTTCCAAGATAATCAACAAAATGTGAAAACACTGCCTTATACAGCGTAAATTTTTCGTTTTTTCAATTTTTAACGAAACAAGTAAATTAAGTTGCTCTAATCCTAACATATAAAAATAATTAATGAATTATCAAGTACCAAACATTTGGATTATATTTCACCAACCTCTATTATATACAAAAATATAATTAAAAACTAAATAAATTTGACCATTTTCCATCAAACTATGTTGATCTATAATTGAATAAGTGGTTCAGAATTTGAATGCGCTTGTAGTTGTAAGTACCAAATTTAAACATTTCATTCGTAATGTTCAAGAAATTGATTTGATCAGACTTCGTCGGTTTCCAGATTACACCTTTTAAGACGTCATCCTCTTGTCGTGTCGGCACACCATATTTCGCAAAGTTTGTCCAAAGTTTGACCATCTTTCGAATCAGCGTATCTTCTATGCTATTTTCTTCTACGTCCGACGACAAGTTATGCTTGAACAAATAACCTAGATCATCGACGTGTGACGCACCTTATGAAATAAATACAAAATACAAATAAATTAAAAATCAATGCAATTATTGTAAGTGTTTTAACAAAACCTGTATATTTGGCCGTGGCCTCGGTCAGCATTTTGAAGAAATTCATTTTACTGTCCAACGAGAACTCGTACAGATAAACGTCGTGATGTTTTGAATGTAATTGAGCGGAATTTACAATATGTCCTTTAAACCAAATATCCGACCACATAACAATTGCATCTTCGGTCAATTCCTTAGGAATTTTTTCTTTGAAATACTCCTCGTTTAAAGCAGTTTCCAGGTTTTTGATCAAGTTTTCGTCTCCTTTACTTCCGCTGTATGGTATATCATCCGTTCTTCTCACACTGTAATGAGTGTTGGTGAAATGTTGCATAATTTGTATAAGGATTCCTTCTTTGTTGGTGAACCCAATTATCAGAGGGACCTTGTTGAATTGTCCAGATTGAAGTATCTTTTGTGGGTGTTCTGGTAAAAAACTGTCAGGGCCATTGCCCTCAATGATAAGACCACCGTTCCAAAGTTTGGATATTTTGATATTCTACATGAAACAAAAAGTAAAAATATGAACACTTTCTTTCTCTATTACGAAATAAAAATACAAACAGTAAATTATATGATTAGATTAGTTATCTTATTGATTGTTATTTGAAATTAAGTAAAGTTTACCCAATCGGTGTTTTGCTGCGCTCTGAATAGATCTTCGTATGAAACTTTTCTCAATTCATTGGCAATCTTCATTGGATCGGTGGACTGGATGCCTAAATACTTAGCAACTGGAAGGGCATTGTTTTTGGTGCCAAATACCCAATCGGCGAGAGCACTTCCACTTTGAGCAATCGCTCTTTGGAATAATCCTAAATCAAAGTAATATAACGAAATAAGAACTTGATTTATATTTAAGCGAGAGAAGATTACCTTTCGATAATGGTGAAAGCATTAATAGATCAACGCTCGCTGCACCAGCGCTCTCTCCGAAAATTGTAACCGAATTTGGATCTCCTCCGAATTTTTCGATGTTCTTTTGGACCCATTTCAGAGCCATTACTTGATCCTTCATGCCATTGTTAGCAGAAATGTCGGAATTTTCCAAGTTCATGAAACCTTTCAAATATACGCACACATATTATTGATACGAACATACGCGCTTTGTGATTTATCACCTAAAGCTCCGATCCTGTAGTTGATCACCACAATGACAACATCCTCCGTTATTAGATAGTCCGGTCCCAATCTGATCATTGAAGCGGATCCTTCTAAGAAAGCTCCACCGTGTATGTACACCATCACAGGTTTTAAAATCGCTCCAACTTTAGGTATCTAAACAAAAACATAAAAACGATAATTTACTAAGCAAAAAACAAAGACCAATGTTTAGTTATACTTCTGGCGTGTAGACGTTGAGGTAAAGACAATCCTCTTCGCCGAATTTCTTTCCTAACTCATTTTGTATACATTTCTTGATTTCCTGACTTCCATTTAGAATTCCTTCCCATTTATCTGCAGGTTGTGGAGCCTGAAACAATTATTATATTTCTTTAAAAAAATATGATAATTTAATATAAATAACACTTGTTATTAATAATTAATGTAAATATAATAATAATGAAATGTTGATTGTTTGAAGCAAAAGTATTAAAAATACATTACTTCAAGGCCACATTATATGGTGATATTAAAATTGAGACTAAATTAATCAATAAAACCTGAAAATAAGTTTATATCAATTAAATTTAATTAGCAAGTTAATAAATGTTGTACATTGAAACATTCAAATTACAATATTTTATATATCTTTTTGATGAAATTTACTGTTTATTTTGAATGAAATTATAAAATTACTATTACCAATAAACGTCATGGGTAAAATGTTGGATATTTTATGACTTGAGAAACACTTTAGTATATCACGGTTGAGGAAGGTTTTTCGAGTTTGACAAGTTTCTCATAAAGACGGCTCTGTCTCAAATATAAAATATATCTAGATGTTTCCGTTGAAACAATAACAAATTCTATTTTGGTTTTGAAAGTCAAGTCTGTAGATAACATGTCTAACAGATAATTAATCAAATTAAAATGACAATTACACAACACAATTACAATCAATATGTACTTTCGTCTATTTTAAACGTGTTTTGATTATAATCTTCACCTTAAAACGGAGATTTCCGATTGGCGGTTTGGCGTACGGAATGCCCTGAAACGCGTAGAATTTTCCACCCAACCTATCGGAAAATTGGCCTCCGCTCAATTTTCCATCGTCGAGCTCGACTAGAATCTCGTCGTTACTCAAGAAAATGTACCAGAGAACGACACCGAAAAATACAGGAGATAACGTCTTGATGAAACCCATGATGCGCGCACTTCCAGTACGCTCGATGAAACCACACCAACTGAATCTAAAATTATGCAATAAAATGATTCGTTAAGACCGGTACTTGGCGCTGACGCGCACCACTTGTTTATCAAAACTTAAGATATCGCAAATACATCGAAATCCTTTTGTTTTTAATGAATATATCGTGTTACTTTCAAACGCTACATGCCATTTGTTTTATTTATAGTTTAATAAATAGCAAACAAGAGGTTTAATAATAATAAAAAAATATTCAAATACAAATCATACGCAAAAAAATAATAATATATTGTAAATAAAAGATATTAGATGTCAATAACTAATAACTATTTTAACTTATTCCATTTAAATAATTGTTCAATTATGGACGAAGGTCAAATTTGTTACTCACGTTAAACATACATTTTCATTAATTTCATTTCCAGGCATATTCTTTGTAAATAATTACGATATAAGAAAACTATATAGGCAACTGAAATAACATTTAAGAATGCAATAATGCATACAATTTTATCTCTAATTAAAAGATACAATTATATAAATGACAGTAGCTGGCGAAATTATGCAAAATACACAAGCCAAGTGAAGTGTGGAGAGGAAAAGAAGAAATATATAAATGATACACTTTCCTTGTAATATTTACAGTATATGATATTATGTATAATTTAAGAAGTTGATAGTTTGTAACACCGGAAAAAAATATTCAATGTCTTTTGTTTACGTATCTAGATAACAATTCGAAGCAAACGAATTAATGTTAATGAATATACGATTGAAGATCTATAGTGTTATATAACAGTTGATCATTTTTTATTTGATTATGTTTTATTCATTTTTATTAGTTTATATATGAATGTTTCAACAAACATTATTATGTAGTTGTCGTATATATTCATCATGGTCTCTTGTATTGCGAAGCGCTTATACCGAATATCGCATTGTGAATAATAAAATACGATAGCGAAAATAGTGGCCACTTCATACAATGCATCAAAATCAAACTCTTAAGAGGGTTAATAAATACAATTTGCTCATTTTTATTTATTAACTGATGGTACAAATAAACAATACTTTCTAGAATTTCTAAATACTATGACTATTATTTCCTTTTAACAAGAAATAGTCTTCTAATTGTATATAGGCTGAAAAGAAGTGGTAATCCAAGCTGAATCTTCCAACAGCCAAACTCTCGTCAAACAAAAGTTTTTCTTGTAGTCTTTTGTTTCGATCGCACACTCGGGGAAAAAGTTCCTATTTCTCAAAACATAAAATACATATCCGTTCGGACATATATTGTAATATATGTAATATATATATATATATAATTTTTATTTATTTATTCTTTTTTTGGTACAGAGTGTATAATACATGAAACATTGAAGCCAGTATGATTTATATATATATATATCTTTTAAAAGTAATTTAAACGCAACAATTTTAATTTTGTATTTTATCATCAGCACTTTTATTTTTACTACAGGATCCTCTCAGTGATATGCGATCCTGATTAATACTTTTCATATTTTTTTTTTCATATCCTTCTTTATAAGCGTTTCGGTTAGTGTTATTTGATATTTATATTGTTTGTTTATATACAGACTTTCCCTCACTCACTCACGACCCATCAATCACACACACACACCTACTTGAGTGGCGTTAGTGATGATTGTTGTTGTTGAAGTTTGGAGGCGCGACTAAATGTTGCAGTTAGTATTGTCATCTTTGGATCGCCTCCAAAAGCCAAATAAAGAAACACACACACAAATTCGCTCCATTTGTCTTTCATAGACAATAAATATTAATGAATGTATCAAGCCATATAATAATGCGTAAGGAAATCCTAAGCATGAACACTAAATGTACACTAATAACGATAACAATTAAAGTGTCTCTATATACATGTGTGTGTATATATATATGTATATAACGATATGAAAACGAGAATAATAAGGAGATATCGACTATCCGAGTGTGTGCGTTAACAACATTTCACCAAAAGGAATATTTTCTTTTGCTTTTGAAAAGGCACAACAATAGTAGATATTCAATGTACCCTATGTGGAATATTAAGTTTCAATATGTACACCATCATCAATTTGAATGTTCATCCCATTTTCACTGTTTCTCCTTTGGGTGCAACAACGAACAAGAACGGAGGCAATTTGAATTAATCAAATCTATGTACAAATATAAACCTAATATGTATACACATCATTCATCGTTATGAATATAATAATAATTATTATTTACTTAATTGATAGGGCAATAACTTTACATTTCATATTCATCAAAGAAGCGCGTTTAATTTGTTAATATATTAATTATAAATTGAGTGAATCTAGACCAAACCAAAGATCGCAATCTGTAGTAAACCCGATTCCGGTTTTGTCTTACCCATAAATAGTCATTATACAATATTCTACGTTTGCCTCTACTTTTCTTCATTATATTGTTTTTTTTTTGTCAATTTCCTCTTCGTTTCCTGCTTTCCATATTGTTTGGTCGAATTTGTACTCACGTAAATCATTATTATCTAAATATTTATAAATATGTATAATACTGAACAAGGTCTGACAGGTCCTCTCGATCCTTTTCCTTATTTCGTTTTGTTTTTGACTTTGTTTACCTGACAAAGATATGCTCACATTTGGAGTGCGCACCACAACTTGTCTCCGCACCTCATGGATTGCCATATTTTGTAATACGTATAGAGAGGAGATTCAGATGTTGTGTGTGTGTGCGCATATATTTCTTTCTATAATCGTATTTATATAGGCGCGCGTTGTTTTTGTTATTTTTCACTTGAACTTTAAAGCTTTAATATTATCTTTACCGTTTATATTTGAATTCCATTAACAATTTAGCAAATTTATTGATATAGCTCAATCGCTTTTGAGATCATTTGCGAAGAAGTGGTAAGTAGTAGTAATGCGCAATTCGGTTATTTTCCGCCCAAGCCAAATTTCATGAATATAAGTTCTTTGCCTTTGGAGAGGATATCACCGCCGGGCGCAGTCATCTCGTTCAGTTTCTGCATCAGATTTGGACCTGCAGTCGCGTTCTGCTGCTGCTGTGATTGCTGCTGATTGCCCATCTGAACGTTCATCGGTTGGCTAACATTGGGAATGACTTGCGGAATACCCTTTTGCTGTAATCTGCTGTTGTATCCACCACTTCCAGGTTGCTGCTGTTGTTGCTGCTGCTGCTGTTGCTGCATTTGCTGTTGTTGATTAGTTGCGTTGCCGAATTGACCGGATTGATTTGCGAACGTGCTGTTCTGCTGGTTGTTAGCTGGTTGCGTCGTTGTAGTGCCGCCCCCAAAGAGGCTGCTCACAGTTGCGTTACTGAAGAAACCGCCGCTGCTAGGATTTTGCTGTTGCTGCTGAGGTTGCTGCGTTTGCTGTTGCTGCATCAATTGCTGTTGCTGCTGCTGATTGGAAACGAAATTACCACCTCTCTGGCCGCTCATTGGACCTCTCCTCTGTAAAAATTCACAATCATCTCTTTAGCGGCTGCAGTTTAGTCATGCATTCAGACTCCTTAGCGATATAATATTTACAAAGTACCAATATATACGTATATATAACAACAGCAGGTGCATATATACATACATATAAATATACCTTAAAATATATATTTATATATACGTATATATATTCAGACACACGCACACAACATTTATTTTTTTTATATAACATGCAAAATGAAATAACAACATAGGGTGGTAGTTGCAGGGCTAAACACTATGTGTCCGAAATGCATAGATCGGAGTATCTGTACGAAGAGAGAGAGAGAGAGAGATATATAGGTTTACAGTCGCGTGTTTTGTTATGTGGGTGTTGTTAGACGGATGAGCGGGGTTATGTCGCAGTTGTCTTGTTTCTTCTTGGTTCAAAGAAGTCAGAAGTAAAAAGAGGTACGGAAGATAGACAAAGAAAGAGAGAGAGAGAAATATATGGAGAGGCAGAAAGAGAGAGAGAGAGAGACAGTTACCTGGTGCTCGGTGAAACCCTGTGTGTTCGGTGGCGCGGTGTTGGTGGTGTCTGACTGAGAGGGTAACACAGGGCAGGCATCTAGCAACAGACAACACACAATACAGTCAGCCGCTGCCCCCGTGACAACGATACGGACACTCCCACACCATCTACCCCTGAGCCCTTTTTGCAATTAATTCGCACTTATTAACCGTCTGTCAGTCAGTCTGTAAAAGTAGTTCAAACACCCATCGATGGGTCCTCCTCCAGCCGAAATAGGCGATATTTGTTTGCAAGTTGTGTGAGTAAATGATACCGGCCGGTATGGTTTGATACCTCCTCCGAGTATTTCGAATTCGTCTTAGGGGAGCGCGCGGGAAGGGGCGGGTGTGTTTGTCCGTACGTGCCGCAGTAAACAGCATTAGAGAAATTATAGATAGAGAGAGAGAGAGATAGAGAAAGAAAGTAAAGGCCAGCGCGCATCCATTATTCATATACATACAATATACATATAAAGTGCACATTTAAATTACTCGCAGTCGGTGAATGATCGATAGGCGGAACGGGGTGGTGCGTGACTAGGTGTTGCGGGGCGGGGCTGTACTGTACTGTTCACGACTTGGCTCGAACATTAACAACAAAAGTGAGGGAGAAACGCCCCCAGCAAATCCGCAACACCCTAGACCCATCCCACATCCCCCCAGGCACCGGAAATCCATAAACAACTAAAGCACAATCTGTACAGTCGCAAACGAGAAAACAAAAAACAAAAACACGTACATACTGCCACGATTGGCATTATACCAAAATGATCAAACAAAATCAAAAGGAAAGAATAAACGAATTAAAACTCCTCCCCTTCATCGACCGTGTTTTGCTAATACGACATCCAGATCTACTAAATACACATACTTAATACACATATATAAATAATTAGTTAAAAGAGAAGAAAATATAAAATAAAACTGTTTAACCGAAAATATACGTAATAACAATACAACAGTTTGCCAAGCATGTGAAATTTAAAAAATATAGGTTTCTCCAGCAGGCATGTATTTGATTTATTCGTTCGTTGTGAAAGCCACACTTGCACACGCACAAAAAAAGACATTGATAGGCAGATTAAATATAGGTAAGAAGGGTATGTTTGTGTGTGAGACAGAGAGAATGTGTATTTCAGAGAGGGAAATAGAGAGATAACGAGAGGATTTTTTGGAGGAATACCTGGTTTGGTGCGAGTAGATCGACCGGAGTTATCACGTGGTGGCGGTGGTGGGCCTCTGGCACCGGGGCCATGACCCCTGCCACCCCTCTGCATAGCGTTGTACGCACCCTGCTGTCCTCCACCTCTACCGATGCCCATCTGTTGCTGCTGCTGCTGTTGCTGCAATCCGCTTACTCCTGCTCCAACTGCTGCTGCCCCTCCTGCACCTCCACCGTACTGATCAGGTGCTTCAGTAAGAAAGTTGGATGGAACCAAACCGCGCACTCCCTCGATCTCTCCCATGTAGAAGCCGTCGTCGTCCATTTCTCCGTATACGTTTATGATCTGGCCGGTGGTGAAGCTCAATTCCACCTGCAGTTGGGGGGGAGAAGGAAAGAAGAACATTCGGGTAGAGTTTTGCACTATAATCAAGTGGTAATCATGTAAGAAGAAGACTCACTTCGGCGTCGACGTTCGGACTCAACTCCTGTGGATCGTAATCGTAGAGTGCGACCATCCGCTTCATGGGCATACTAGCATAGATGTCAGCCCATCGGTCTCGATCCCTGTTCTGTCCACCTTCCACCTCCATGACCATGTTGTGCGGAACATAGCCGCGCCTGTTGTGACATTCGCCCCAGTAAAAACCGTCCGCATCTTTGTCTCCCCACACCTTGATGCTGTCGCCTTCGGAAAAAGGAAGCTCTTCATCGCAGGCGTCAGGATTTGGAGACATCGTTGATGGATCATACTCGAAGAGTGCGACGAACCAACGTGCCCTCTTTTGCGCTGTCGGTGGTTGCTGCTGTTGTTGGGACATACCACCTCTCATTTGCTGCTGCTGTTGATGCGTACCGCGCTGACCCATCCTAACCTGACCTGCAATAACTGAACCCAATTAACAAATGTATGTTACAGGGTATTAGGATCGAAGACATCGGAAAAAGGTTGATTCAAAAAATATTTTACAAGAGAGGACAGACCATCGAGGAAACCTCTTCAACATATCATTATTATGTAATGTCCATGTTCATTGTTATCCTATTTACCTTACCTTACCATACCACACAAGGGTCGAAACGGTGTTTGCGTGTTAGGTGTGTTAGGTATATATGTGTTTTGGTGTTTCAGTATGTTCGTCTACATTTATACATGCCACATTAGAATCAATTTTATAATATCTAATCCCACCTTGTGGTTGATTTTGCTGCTGCTGTTGCATATGTTGCTGCTGCTGATAATACTGCTGCTGTTTGCTGTGCTGCTGTTGTTGCTGCTGTTGCTGCACCCTCTGCTGCTGCTGTTGCTGTTGTTGTCTTTGCTGTTGCTGAGCATTTCTTCTATCGATCATTTCGTCCTCGCTCATGCCGTCGTAACTGTCTTTTGTGATCTCTGTAAGGGATCGGTGTGCTGCTTTTAAAAACAAAGTGAACAATATCACAAAGGGCATTCGATTTGTTTAGAGTGCTGCTCCTCTTCGCATATCCCGGGAACGCAGGATTTGATAACGTTTCTTCCTCTAAATAAATCTACTACTCTGTCAAGTAAAACTAAAGTTAGCGATAACTAACGGTCTGTCTAGGAATACTTACAAATGGTAACCACCAAACTCACCCAAACCACCCCCTAAGTTCGCCTCCATTAACTCTAATACTTGTCTACTTGTTCGACACTACTTTCGAGGGGCGGGAGGCGGACGTTGGGGGCAGTACCACGTGCTGCTTCTTATAATTCTTGGTTTGGTTAAAATTCGAAGGAATTCGCTAAGTATAATAGAGCGACCGATAGAGATACTCACCAATGGAAGGGATTCCGGATTGTTGCTGCGGATGCTGCTGACGGTGAGGGGCGCTAGGAAAGATCTCCTTGTCACTCAAGTTTTCATCGTGCTCGATGACCTAATGGCACGTAAAAGTAGGTGATTTAAGAATAGGTAGGTTTATACAATGTTTTTAAAATAATCACCTGCTGTTGCAGATGCTGCTGTTGTTGCTGACGGTTAGTCATTTGTTGCCGCATGTGCATCGGCATCGCCGAGTGCGGCTGTTGACGAGAGTTACGATTGGCGCCACCACGGAGGACGGTCATGGGTATAAGGGTGGGCAGTGAATCTGCAGATTGACCGTCGCGCGCTTTCGTGCGCACCGTGACGTGTTTAGGGTTGAGGCCGAGCAGTTTGCCGATGTCGATGAGTGCATGATCTCCGGTCGGGGAATCGACGTCGGTGACCTTTTTTCCGTCGGCGAATACGGCATAACCGGTGATCGTGGATCCGGCGTGAGCGTGAGGCGTGAGCACCGGATGCCAGGTGACGAGGAGTGTACCGTCCTGTGGACCCGGCTCCAACTGAATCTCGCTCGGCGGATCGGGAAGACCCTTGGGTAACGTACGGAAGTCGGTGTGAGCTGCAGCCGGAAGAGGAAGATCCTCGGCGACGTTGGCCACGTTCTGTGCTGCTCGATGGTGCTTCGCTCGAACCGTTACACGGTACTGAGTGTTCGGAGCAAGACCGGTGATCGTGTGCCTGTAGATACCAGGTTTCACGCATCTCACCTCCACGTTGTTAACACACACCACGTGCTGATGGTTGGAGTTAGCAGGAAGCCAGCTGATTACCGCCTGCGTTGAGGTGATGTTGGAGGCGCGCACAGCGCTCGGTCCCAACTGATGGGTGTCCCTGCCAATGATCATGGTGCATGCGGCATCCCTCGATGTCCTCCTATTTGCAGTCACTGAGCGAACGCTGATCCTGTGCGGCTATGAAAAGAGAACAGAAAGTGAAGAGTTTCATAAAGCGAGTGCTTCCACGTTCGTTCATCTTACCCGATTGCTATCAACCCCTTCGACTAGGGCTCTCGTCCTCTCGGTGGCCTTGATGGTAGTCTTGAGGACGCCATCCACGTACACGTGGTAACTCTCGATCTGATTACCAGGTCCAATGTCTGGAGACGTCCAGCTAATAAGAACGCTCTTGTTCAGCTGTCGTTCCAAAGTCAGTTGCTTCGGGGCCGGTACTAACACCGAGAAGAAATAGTCTGTTGGTCATCATTCATCAGTCTACTACCTACTAATCTAGATTAAAATCTTACAACAACAACAAAAACAAATCTTACGGAAAATGTGAATGTTTCATTAGTTTGATTGCTACTTTATGTATGCGTGCGTATAACTATTATAGTTATAATTAATTATCATAAATCTAAATACGCTCACTTTCAATTACATACTTAATAATGATAATATAAGTTAATGCTCGCTAAAACTAAAACAAACATGCTCTGTGCTAAAGCGAAAACACTTCAGAAATATGACTAAATTAAATCCTTCTCATCCCCTTATCTTGACATGCAATTCCTTAATAATAAACAAGAAATTAAATTTACTGCATCCTTACTGGAAATTATTTGGATAGATTATTTATTGTTGCTGTTTGAATACGTTCTTGTGCAACTAATAAAAATTGTTTAAATTTTCATTTTATCGGGTGAAATACAACAAATATGGAAAATGTGTAGATACGCGCGAGGGCATACAGCACGTCCTTTAATATTTGCACGGCATGAAGACGCTCCCCACGTACATGCGACACTGCCAATTGCTGCTAACTAACTGACGGCATGCGCAAGTGTTTTTTTACCTGTCTCACCATTGTCTAAGTCGTCTTCCTGTCCTTCAGACATCTCGGCAAGTTCGGTGAGCCGTTGCACGTCTGCGGCGAAAGTCTCCGCATTGATTTCGTCTTCCCGAAGAGTGCTGAGCACTGCCTGGTGAAACTCGAGGAGGTCATCGCCTGGATGGGACATATTAGAAGATACTATAAGATTATTGAGTTTCTCGGTCGTCGCGGATAACAATGATGGCAGTACCAATGAGCCGTTGGGCGAAGTGTGATGGCACAAGACCACGTCGACCGTCCAACAGTTCTGCATCCAGATAGCCGCTGCTTCCGATAGGTTCACCCCAGACGAGAAGGTAATCGCCTGCCTGCACAGCCAACTCTTCGTCTGAGTCCTCTGGGTCGTAGGAAAAGCGCGCAATGTACACAGAGCAGCGACCCTTTCCAGGGATGTCGAGCATGTCGACGGTGCCTTCAGGTGCTGCATTAAGAGGAGGCAGCGACGATGTCATCGGTTGCTGGTGACCGTTCAAATACGTCCTCTCCATATGTAGGCCGCTCATTCCGCTCCAGTCCGAGTCCAATCCGTCGTTCAGCAATCGCGACCTCGCCACCGCAGCAGCAGCTGCAGCCGTTGACGATGATGTCGTCCCATCTCCGATCAGTCCGAGTCCGGTGACTCCGATGCCCCAACACGTCTGGTGTGGCGTGCAGGGAGTTGCCACCCTCCTATTGCCTGTCACATCAACACATAACAAAGACCAACTACATCAGCATCGAATTGCTCACCATCATTGGATGAAGATATTCAACTAATTAATGACATTGTTTGCCTATCAAAATCGAAACCCACCAATTTAAAATAATGCGGTATTAGAGTAAAACGTAATATGTAATTCAAACAATAAAAAGTTTCTTATTCGGCGGTTTTCGATGACAAACAATAGCGTTCTCTCAAATTACTTCTATCATAATTACCCAATTCCATTTCCTCGAGCGGTTTCAGTTTGATTGACATATTTCCGGTCAAAGAATTAAACTGCGAGCTGAGGGGATTGCTGAAGGTGACATTGTTGGCGTAGCTTCCTGTCGTTGGCAGCGAATTGTAGGAAGAAGGAGGCGGTGGTAGGTTGTATTGATTGAGGGTGGAGGTGACCGGATTGGTGTAACTCGAGTTGAGTGAGGGCAGAGTCGTCATCAGAGGATTGGTGAACGTGGAGTTCGAATTGTAAGAGTTGCCACCGCCACCTCCTAAACCTGAAATGTTGAGAGCGGCCGCCGAGCAGGAACCACCTCCTACACCGAGGCTGGATGTGAGAGCACCAGATCCGCCGAGGATGGTCTTCGGGGCGTACGAGTAGAGGTTGGAGGCGGCGGCGGAGGACGAAGAGTTATAGACCGGATTATTGGAGATAGGAAGATAAGAGGAGAGACTGTTGTTATTTGGTTGCGAACAACTTTGGTAGCCCTGGTGGCCTCCCAGCATGCTGTTGTTGCCCGAAGACTGGATGCCTGGATAAAGTGAAGGCGTGGTGTGAGACATCGTTATGGGCGAAATGGGCGGACTGCTCTCGCCCAGCGCGTGGCTGCTCGCGCTTGTAGCCAAACCACCACCACCTACAAAACATTGAATGAAGGAGGACCATCCATCCAACCATCCAACACCAGACCAAAACAAATACAAGCACACACATCGACAAACAAATATGGTCAGTGGTGGTCAGAGGTTTTGCGTATGCAAATGTTATCATCATTATTGATGACAGCCACACACATACAAATACAACAGCAAACAGTAACAGCAGTAGCAGCCAGAACAACAACAATAATAATAACAATGGCATTTATATGATGTAGGCAACATAAAAAATAGGACTGAATATATAATAACTTAAGAGGCCATAACACAGAAGTCACAAGAAGACGGTCCAATCAAATAATAGTAACAATAATATGTATATATGTATACAACGCATACAACATTCACTAATGTTTAGAATTACAATAGGCGCAGACAGACATTAACAAATCGATACATTTTCGATTTCGTGCATTAAATATTGCAATCTTTGGATAAAAATCATTTTGGTCATTAGCATCATCATCGTTTTTGTACTCAGGCGGCATGGCATACTTTTGCGTGCTGCGAAAATTACTAAAATATAAAAACAAAAATCGAAAAAGTGACATGTAACAATCAGAAAGATAAGGCTAGAATAATGGAATATATAGAGATGAGATAATCATGGATAAACATGGAAAGAGTAAACGCAACAACAAATTTATTACTATGTACTCATGATTTGTGTATGGTCTGTGTGTATACTCAACATGCGCAAATAATTTCCACTAGGAAATAATTTCGTATAGAATTATTAATATAATACAGTGCGAAATTGCATCAATCAATCCAATTATATTAGATTTTTTTTTAATTATAATTCCACCAAATTGTCACGCATGTTTAGGAATACGAATACATATGATTACCGAAGATTCACAGAAACATTCGCACATTGAAATAGTAATTGAAAAATTGCTTAATGTAAAAAACACAAATATCGATTTCATGTGCATCTATAAACACACACTGGTTACTACCCCTTAAAGTGTGTCTGAAAAATATGAAAAATAAAAATAGGTCGCCCCTCCCTGTAGGAAAATCCGATGAAAGCACACGCAGCCAAAGTCGAAGCATACGATATATATATCTCCATCAGGAATGCGCGCGAGCACGCGCGCAAACGCAAAAATAATGAAATAGAAATATAATGCATTATATGTCTGAATTAAGAAGCAACTGCTGAAAAGTTGTAATATTGAAATTATAATGATTACACAGACAAAGATGCATCAATCTATTCGATTAACACTGAAATACTGTACTAACCGAAAGTACGAATGTTTTCGTGAAGCGCTAAATATGTACATGTAGATTGCAGGGCCGGCTCGGACGTCGTTTTTTTGGGAAATCAGATGAGGCCTTCAGACTCTAACAGACTTTGAAATTTTATGACTATTTGTTGCATTTTGTTGACCCCCAAAAGCATTTTCTCCTGCCGACCCTGCTAGATGGTTTATAGATTTATGGGATATGGGTAGGAAAATATATAGATGAAGATACATGTATTTTTTTTTTGAAGAGGCACATCTAACTCACCCATTGTTGTGGTGGATCGAGTGTGATCGAGTTCGGCCAGGATCCTATTATCTTGTTCGATCTTGGCCATAATACGATCGATCTCTGTGCCCTTGCCACTTGGTGAAGGCCCCCCGTACTGATGAACCGCCGTCGAAGAACACATGATACCGCCGACTACACTTCCTCCTCCGCCGCCGCTTCCGACGCCACCGCCTCCACCTATTCCGATGCCACCGAGGCGGCAATTCCTCTGCGACGTGGCCAGCTCTAATTGCAACTCCTCGCACCTTTTGTGAGCATGTATATGTGTATGCGTGTATGTAAAATTGGATTGAATTGGTTAAACATTAATGTGCGATGGTGGTGGTATTGTTATTTTAAAGGTATGGATGGATGATTGGTTGTATGTGTGTGTGTATGTATGTATGTTTTGTGCGAGAAGAGAATAGAAGAGCAAAAGGATGAGGGCCGGGTCGGGGCCAAACAATGCTCAGTTCATAGTTCATAGACATTTTGCTTTTGTTTTTTTATTTGATTTTAAATATAATTACCTCACGGTCTCGAGAGCGACCTTCTTCTCGAGTTCCCGTACCCGCGACTGCCTTGCATCCAGCTGATCTGATCCGCAGTCCCTGAGGCCGGTGAGGGCTTCAGCGTGAGCCCTCTGGAGGTCCGAACGTCGCACCTCCGCTGCTCGCAACTGCATCTCTAAATCCATAACCCTCCTCTTGCCTTCTTCACTCTACTTCGGCTCTAACTAAACTCAAAGAAACCACCGTCTACCATTCAAATCGAACGTACTCGTCCCCCATCTTTTTTTTTGGTTGATATATTCACAAAAATAAATAAATAAATAACAACAGTAATCCAGATCGACTAAAGCCTAATATGCAAGAGCATGCCACAATTGTTGAAAGTTTAACCGCACGCTCCGACGTTTTTTGGATGGGGCGCTTTGCAATTTCGTTGGATCAATAAAAATTACTTCTTTGGTGTATTATACATGTATGTATGTATAATTGACTAATAAATGTGTCTGCGTCTTGTGTAATAACAGTAATACTAATAATAAAATGTTAATAGTACAAATGAGAAGGGCGCCGTCTTCTGGTGGCGCAAATTACATTTCTCCCGAAATCAAAGATACCGACTACTAAAACGATACGGACGATATGGACAAAATATGAAGAACAATAAAAACGACTTCTCCAGTACTTACTTTTTTATATTATTAATATTATGATTAATGTGTAGGAATCTTTGGTTCTCGATTGTACGACAAATTGAAAAATGGTTCTTAAACGGTCAAATGAATCGATTTTCGGTCTGAGCTGGTACTGCTGTTCCCAAGACGTCCACTACTCTACTGCGCTGATCCTGATTGCTCTTATCCCTCGTCGTCTAACTATACATAGGTATTTGTATATCAAAGAGAGGAACTCTTATGGTGGTAGCCTTCTTCTTAAATGTTCTTCTATACACTCTACTCTCTATTTATCATCTATTTCTTTCTCTTAGGACGGAGCAGACTTTATTCCCACAGAGGCCGCGATCGTGGTGAACATTTTATAGGTCACACTCGTACTCGCACTCTAGAAAGCGAGTATCTATCTATCTAGCACGAGCAAGTTCGTTCGTTCTCTAACTCACTTGCACGCAGATAAGAACCACCTGGAAAGAGCGAGACCGAGAGCATTTCCCTGGAAAATCCATAAATGTGCGCGCTGCGCGGAAAACTCTCATCCCCTTCCCCTCGCCGCCGCCGCCCCGACTGTGATCGATGTCGCACAAGCTCGACATGGACGCCGCTGCCACCGTCTCTACTCACCAGCACCATCTGTCCTCTTAGGACGACAATTAAATGCTAATTCGATCAGCACTAAAAAATAAAATACATTAATGAGCCGATGAAGCGTACATTTAAAAAAGATACAATCAAATATTGTCGATTGTAGATGGTCATTTTTGTGCGTGGAAGTTAATACATGGAGAATCTTAAAAAAACTATACATAAAAATACGCATAGATAGGGAGGGGCCACCCAAAGTGGACGAGAATCGATGATCTCCAGATATATCTGGTAGACATGGATCGCATGATGTCATTGATTGCGCATCAACGACCCGGCGCATCCGCCCATCTAATCTAGTTGTTGCATTATCTATATTAATATAGCAGTTATACCAATTAACATTTTTATATCATTGCATTCTGTTAACTACATTCACATTTATTATAATTTATCATTGTTAAATATTCAATGTTGTGTTTCTGCTATACACTCGACAATTATGTTTTGGTGATTTGAATGGAAGCAATGTATTTTGTTACTGCATCAGTGACTTGAGATCTTTGCTAGGCGTGGGAGTTGTTGTGATGATCTCGTCGACGACGATGCCGTTGTCCGTTTGCACCTCGCTCGCCGTGTATTTGGCATCCCTTAGTATGTTCATCATCTGCACGAACAATAGTAGGTTAGATGATATATTAGGATCGATTCGAATTATCCAATTTGTACCTCGGGAGTGTACTGCTCCACCTGTTCGAGTAGCGTCTCTGAGTATCCCGGCGAATAGTATCTCACGATCTCCTCGGGGAAGCAAGCGTTTATGATGGTCACATACTCCATGAGGGTTGTGCCCGGTTCTACCTCAATCTCCTGCAGTTTCTTCAGAGCGCCCGTTGTCACGAACATCCTCCTCGCTTTCGGATCGCTCGGCAATACCTGCAAGAATATTCCAAAAAGATATTAAACATAATGTGACCTATTTCAGACAAGGGTTGGCATGTTTAAAAATTGAAATTGCTAATGACGATAATAATATAACTGCGGGGCACAGCGCCGCGCGCATATTGATCAATGACGATCCTCGCCATCGCCGTGGGATGCGCATATTCGTCGATCACATATATTATAGAAAACCGTCGGAAGGGCCAAGTGGGATAACATAGGAACTCAGGGGTCCGTTGGAACGTTTGGTTCGATGAAGATGATGACGGAACATTGATAGAGCAGCGCGGCGCGATGCAAAGTGATGTGCTTGGATGCTGTCTACGCATAGAGAAGATCAGAGTATTCCCGAAGAGCGGAAAGGTGACGGGAACGAAGGCGCCAACGACGGCATCCACATCGGCCGAGGTATGGTGCGGTGGCTATGACGATGACGAAGACATTTACGACCAGAGAGCATCAACAGTAGATGAGGTGGTTATGAAGGATGCTAGTGGCAGTGGGTCAATGAAATTGGTGGAGGCATGCGGTGGGCACCTGCGGGAAATCCGCGAGGCCTCTGAAGTGCGCGAATTCCAACGGCTTCTGGCCAAGTACATTGTCAGAGTGACGGCGCCGACGGCGGCGGTAGCAGAAGAGGAACAGAAGAACGTGCAAAACAAAAGGGACAAACACCTAGACCGCATTGCCAACAGCGTCTACCGTGACTTCTTCTTCGCCCGATACGATTATCTCAAGCAAGTCAACAGCATCAGAAACAACAACAGTGCTTCTTTACATATAGTGGCCTAGCGACTGTACTCATTCTCTCCTCAAATTATTATACTACGCCCAACCTCGTCTGCAACAACATTAAGAGCAACATCGTGCCTGCCTTTATATTAAAAATATAATAGAAGAATAAATTGTTATATTATACAAGCATAACAAAAAAATATTCCATATAATTTCAAAGAAATTTTAAATATACATATACATGCATAATATCGCTAAGAATAGAAAATAACAAAAAGAAAATAATTCCCGTGTGTGCCTCGTGAATATAAAAAAAAAACATCTTCGTCGTTGCCTTAACAACACCGTAGTGAATATATTACTCTCTATTGCACGATGGACAACAGCAGACAGGATGTTCAAGGTGGAAGCAACAACAGAACGTCGTCTTCGGCGGTCGTCGCATCACCTACAAGCACCAGCACCGATTTGGACCGTAAAGTTCTTCGCGACAATCTCTATGCCGAGATCTTCCAGCGCCATCGAAGGTCCATCTTCGCCTTTGGATCCTTCCTGAGAATGCTCAAAACCAAAAAGTCCAACTACAACGTCATTAAACAAGAAACCGAGTCAGACTGAGGAAGGACGAATCCGAAGACGACTGGCAAATTTATATGATGTGTATATAATTTATACATATTTATATAGAAAAAAAAATAACAGGGTTTCTACTATATTTATAATATATACATAAAAGAAAGAAAGACAAACATACATTTATATTATAATTATTATTGTTCATTGTGTGTGGTTGATTATAACTACATCCACACCCAGAAATATATTTCCGTTTTGTTCTTACGTAATACATTCATTGGTTCATGTTATACATCGCTGTCACTCCACCAGTTATGTTTAATCCACTCTAGAACCGATCGATGTTACCTACAGCTAATATTGTCACACCTTTGTTTCACATCTCTCCCTCTCTTTTTCTCTATATATATATCTTAGTATATAAGTAGTGCAAATATTTTTTAATTGCGTAGTTTACATTTGTTGTTTTTTTTTGTATTATATGTTGTTTGAATAAATGTACACCTATTCTAGTGCTATTGTATAATCAAATACATTAATTAGATTCCAAACTAATATCCAAGGAATAAACACAAATAACCGATGTCTTCATCAGAGATATGATACATTTATGAATGCAGTCAAAGAAAAATAAATGTGCAAAGACGTACCTTAGCAAATTGCCCGAGAACGTACTTGAGAATATCGGGAGGAGCATCGTAAACTAAGGGCTCGAGTGCTGGCATGTACATGCATTTCTGAAGGCATTGTTTAAGGCACGTCTTGGCCTTATCCTTCAGGTCCTCCGAAGAGACGTCTGAGCAGTAAAGTTCGAGCAGACGCGGAAAGACGTTTGCGGCGGCCACCTGTTTGGAGTGCTCCGGGCTGTGCTTTCCCATCTGTCCAAGGGTCCAGGCGGAGACTGCAAGCAAAGCATCGTCGTCGGTTCCCTGCAGCACGTCCGCCACCAGGTTAACGCCGTTGCAGCTCAACACTGAGAGAGCAATCTGATCGTTATGACCTGTAATAAAAAGTACAACATAATAACGATAACGATGGAGAAAGAATGTTGGTTACCAGCGATGTATCCTAGGGCCACAAAGCACGGCATCCTCGTCTCATCGGAGATGTCGTTGGAAATGGTCTCAATGAGTGCACCGATTCCGCCCAAGTTGACGACCATCTGCGTCAGCGGCAGAGAATGTCTGACGACGTCCCGCACCAGGCAAGCTGCCTGCTTTCGAACTCTGGGACAGGCGTGGGCTAGGTGGATAAGCACATTGGGGAAGGCGTTTGCCTCGACCACATCCTCTGCCAAAGTCGTAGAATGCTTTGCGATATTACCTGCCATTGAAATTATATCACTATCAATATACCAAATACTTACTACTTACTCAGCGTATTCAACACGATCCTCTTTAGCTTTTCGTCCTCGTTGTTAAGGGCCTTGGTGATGAATGGGACGGCACCGCAGTCGACGACCTGTTGTGCAAGTTGCTCGCTGTGCTTAGCGATATCGGAGATAACGTTTGCTGCGACCTGCTTCATAGCTATTTCTGGTTCCTGTAAGCATAGCACTATGTTGGGAATGGCACCGGCGTCGGCCACGGCCCTAGCCAACTCCACGTCGTGTCTTGCGATGTAACCGACTGCCCAGAGTGCGCTCTCCTTCACCATCGGCTCAAAGTCGCCCATACAATAGATCACCGCGTTAAGACCACCGTTCTCGATAATCGTCTGCGCAAGCATATGATCGTGCTTGCAGATCGAGCGAATCACGAACAGGATGGACTTTTTAAAATATTTCTACAGAAAGAAAAAACAAACACACACAAAATCATTCAAATAATTAAAACGATCTCCATTTGTATTAGCAACATTCTGTCCATCCAAATCCGCCAATAGCGATGGTAAAAGATCAGTGTTGAGGGTGCTCCTCGCCAAATCGGGATCAGCATCCACAAGTCTTCCTAAAGCAATCGCCGCGCATTGCCTGATCTGAGGGCAAACATCCGACAACAAAGGCTTGATCAGATCTGAAATGATTGAAATTACTTTCTTCACTTATTCTCTTTTATTTATTCCTCTTACCCAACACCCTCGCCTGGTTCAGAACATCCACATTCTGCTGTTTCGTGGCCAAATCTGCAACGGTCTGAACGAAACTTATTCGGGCTTTCTGATAATTGGTGAAGACCTGCAGAATCGTTCGCATCTGAGGCATCGTAACAGATGTCAAAAACAAAACAAAACTTCAATTATTATTGTTTATCCGTTTGATTAGGATTTATAAACAGTTTACTTTGATTAGAAAGCAATAACGACAAAATAATGCTTCAAATTCATGCTACGTAATGTGTGCGAAACTAATTAAAAATTGAAACGCATTTAAAATCCGATTAATAAATTTATTAAACAAACACTCAAAGTACACAGGGTGTTCTCATCTTTATTAATTTATTTTTTTAATCGCGGATCCTATTATTTAAAAGAATATCGTATTTCTATTTATAGAAAATAGTTTGTTTTTAAATATATTTTTTTTACACATGTAAATATTTAATACTACGGCAGACCGTTGATGGATTCAGACGTCGCGTATCGCAAAATACGCGTTTGTCACCATTTCATCATTATTACACTTTTTGCTAATACTTATTGCGACTGAATTTTATTTACTCTCGTTCTCAGATAAAGAACGAAACATATTTTTATGTGAATCAAAAATAATTGAAAATTACCTACGAAGTACCGTTGAGATATATTTTAAGAAAATCATAAAACTATTAAGCAATAAACTGAACTAAATTAAAGCATTAATTATATACATAATTCACTGAAAATAAAAACAAAACATGATATATCAATAAATAAAAAACGTAAACGCAATGCAAAAGAAATTATGAACAATAACAAAGTGTGTGCATCTCTGCTTCTGGAAATACAAGTTCATTTTTCTTCTTGATGCATTGATAATTAATAATAATAATAATGTTGATATAATCAAGGTAGATCACAATTGAGACGTCGAATTTTAATAAATCGATAGAATTTGAAGAATAGTAGTTGTTGAAACACGGCCAATCAACCTTTTCCAAACGTATTTATATATCATAATCATCATCATTTATATATTTATTATTTACAACAATTGTACCAACTCTGTATAAATAAAAAGTGAGAAAAAAATACTAAATCATAGCAAACGAGCGTTTCGTGGCCCCCGTTTCGATAAAATCCTGTACCCAGTTCTAATTAAACACAGTACCTACTATAATAATAATAATTATAATGTTAAATTAAAGAGAGAATAAAAACTTTGGTATATATATATATAATATGAGTGTGTAAGTAAATGTATGCGTAACAGTTTAATAAAAAAAATAAAATAAAAAAAAAAAATTCTGAAAATAAAAATGATGTACGAACTACAAATTGATTTATAATATAATAATAGAGGTTATTCTCTTTATATATAAGTGTATGTATATATAAAAATGGGTGTGGTTAATATACGGGCGTGTCGGGGATTTCGCATTGACCAATCGTGACGCGATGTGTAGCCATCTCCGAGATACCGTGGTAATGCACGAAAGCTCCGCCCAGCACAAAAACGTGAAAGATCTGATGAGAATGGAACCAGATGTCACATTTGCCGGGGAAGAAGCGTTCGGGGACTCGCAGGGCGTATAGCATGGCGCCGACGATGTACAAGAGGCCCATGAGGACGAGCCATCCGAGGCTCTTCTGGCTCAGGTTATTGAACCATCCCTCGACGAGACCATAATGGATAGCCGGCACGATACCAGATAGGCCGAAGGTCATAAAGACGCCAGCGCGGAACGGCCTCCATGCCGATTCGGAGAACTTGTCCCACAGGCTAACCATGATGCTGGTGATGCCGAGTGCGCATACCACGCTCAAATAGACCACCTTCGGTCGGAAGTGGCAGTAGAAACCGTAGTAGAGCCATGGAACGAATGAGCCCATGATAAGGAGAGCGATGCCACAGTAGTCCAACTTCGAAAACAGCTTCCCAATAAACTGCGAGTGACAGTTAACCGTGTGGAAGATGAATGAGAATCCCAGGCAGATGATGGCTCCGGCGAAGAACGCTCCAAACACGATCTTCTCCTGCATTTCGATTTCAATCGACGGACGCATCAGGAAGTAAATTGCGATACCTAACAAAACACAAATTATATTCAATATTAGTAGAATTATATTTATAAATATATATATATATATACTAAGTTATACCTATGAAAGCAACGCATCCCAGCAGATGCGTCCAAATGTTAGCCGTCTCCGTGTGCAACCTGAAGATAGACTTGAAGCAGGCGCGGAACGAAGGCAGCGGCGGTCTATGGCCGTACGTTAGAAAATCGTTGTCCTGCAGCCAAGCGGGTAGATGGTTGAAATGGCAAACCTTCCAACCGACCTGAATGAGCTTCCTCACGACGACTTCCGCCTGTCCGGCTGCATTGTGGGCCAGAGCAGAGATGTCCAGCTCATCACCTACGTATCACCAAAAATATATTAGTACACAGTTAAAATGAAATAAAAAAAACTACTATTTTGTGATTCCGTCTGTTGCTCCACCAACAGAACTTGTACACAAAAGTGTTATCCACAATAAGCGATAATTATGCATGTATGTGTATATGAATGGAACCCTCGAAGACGAGGAGACCGATGACAGAGAGATTGAAAGACTTTCGAAAGCGTGCCAGGATGAATACATAGTTCGGTTCTGCATCGTTCAAAAACACACAACACATGGCTACTAAATGTGAAACTAAAATGTTTAAATAAAACAAAAACTATCAAGACTGTACACTACCTGTACCTAAGACTGCCGCCTTCAACACATCACTCATTTCTGAATCCAGAATGTTCTCATCCTCTGGTGTTGAGGGCAATGGGCAACCAACACAATCCTCCTCAACCTAAAGGATAATACAAACATATAAAGGATTTTATTTTTTCACACTTGTATGATCTAATCAACTTTTAAAAATAACACATACCAATGAGTTGACATCCTCCTCAAGCAAATCTTTGATTTCCGATGTGATTGATTCAGTATCTGGATCCCAGGCTTTTCTTTTCCTCAGACCAATATCATGATCATTCAGGGATTGAATGGAATCTTCTGCGTCACTATAATATGACATTTTGGAGCTGCAATAAAGACAAGAAAAACATCAATATTATGAAATTGAATTGCATCACACATATTAATTTGAACAATATGGATAAAATAAAACCAAACAAACAATTTAGAACTCACTCAGGCAAACTCTAAATATATGCAGTGAAGTTGACTACTATTATGTAATTAATCTCCAATTGTTGTTTCAATCTAAACTACATAGGTTTCAATTAACGTGAAACATCGTTGAAACTTGCGACGTTGTTTATCGTTCTATTGATTCCGAATACGATTCCAGCAACATAAAACTGATGATATAAACATTCTTTAAATCCTATCCTTGTTGAAGGTCACCACTCCACATGCATCATTGATAAACAAAAACAAATAAACAATGGTCGCAGTCGACATGATTGGAACACGACAACTGTGGAGAACTGTAGCGCACGTGAAAAGACAGTAAAGAAAGAGTGAAAGAGGAACTAGAGATGTAAAATAAAATTGGCTTACATTTTTTTGACGTGATCTTTAGCTTAAACAAATCTGAGGGATTGCTCGATTTCGAAACGATATACACAGGTAATTTAGTCGCGATTCTTCCCACCTGTGTCTATGTTGTTGAGATAGACCCGAGGAGAGGTCGCAAAGAAAGGAAAACACAAAAGAAAAATCTAACCAAAATTTGGCGGACCTTCCGTCCTACCGCTTCTTCTTCCTCTGGCCCCCCCGGAGAATCGCGTTGTTCGCAAAAACACGGAAAAAAATCAGCACGATCACGAAATATTACGTAGTTTTTGACGTTCGCAACCGTCAGCTGAGTTCGGTTGCGTCGTCGTTTTCGAACTGTCAAAAATGACACGTGCCAACTGCGAACGCGCTTCGACACAAAAATCACCGCTGTCAAAAGAGTTGCACAGGTCATAAAGCCGCCAAATTCGAATATTAATTTCATTTTCTTTTTACTTTCTAATCGTACATCGATTCAAACGATTCTTAATCATTTCTATATTGCGCTACAGACAGATTACTTTTTAATAATTTAAGAACTTAACATGCTATTTAGTAACTAAATTAATTATTATTTGGCGATGACAATACTAATAGATTTAAAACAAATTCGTAATTCGTAATTTCTACATAAAAATAAATAAATGAAATAATAAATTTCACAAAGAAAATATCTAACGTAATATAATACTTATTTAATGGTGTATATGGAAATAGGCATACAAGTTCTTATTATTATTGTAAATGTATTTGATTGTGTTTTTTTTATTATTAATATTTTGAAAAGTGTAATACAATTGAGAGATAAGATTTAGATATTGGACACACTATTAATAATTGTTTGCTGAAAAATTATCATCGATTCGCAATTAAGAAATTAATTGGTAATTGGTTATTCTGTCTGGCTTCGATACTGACGCAAGCCTTGGCGTTTAAACATTGATTGAACTTTAGAACCCATCAAATAATGAAATTAATTTATTTCTGCAATTATTTTTTACAGTTTCGAATTATCCTAATCATGCTAAACTACAACTACCTGTTGGACAGTCATATTGTAATCTAATTGAAATACTTTAATTTTCAGTTATAAAAAAATTGTCGACAGAGATAAAATGTATTATTTAATAGATTGTGAGATTACCAAGAATTGGAGTTGAATCTTGGATTAGTGCCAAATCAAACGTTGGATTTTACGTAATGAACATTGAAATAGATCTGTGAACTATGAACTACTTACGTCTGCGGTTTATCCTCCTGCTTGCCCTTCATCTTCTATTAAAGATAGATTCGAAGATATTTTTTGTTAAAATTTCTAAACACCAAATTCTGCAGATCCTTCTTTCTTGTTTTCGAAGACACTTCTTCTATTTCGATAGCGAATGTATGCACTATATACTTTTTTGGTTGGCTTATTTTCAAACGAGTTCGCGTTCGACGAAGTCAAGGACTGACTGACTGACTCTGACTGATTGACTGAGTACACACGGTCAGTATATCAAATACGACAATCAATTGATATTCCCATCGCCTATGTTGCTGATGGTTTAGGTACGTCGCTGAACCGAAACGTATAAAAATTTGATTATCGTACCGTTATCTTTCATATTTCGGACGGTTCCGACGTAATTTCAATTCTACAAAACTCTCAATTACTTTTAAACGCCTCGTCGCACTCGCACTTCCAGTTTTTCCATGTTAATCCGCACGACAATTGCTTGATAATCGACGCTCAAAGTCCATCGCAACCGAGAAAAACATTATTCACTTCAATTCATTGTTATTGTTGTTGTTATCAAAAGCCAAAGTCGTAACTACAATATATAATCACATCCAATTTAGATGTTTGTAAATTGAAATCGCATGTTCAGGCAATAAGTCAAATCAAGAACATTTGGAACTTTCTTAATGTTAATCTCTTGAGACTTGCAGATTGACCTTTCCGATAATTTGCTACACACGTAACGAAAGGATGCTCCCTCAGTTATTAAGAAGATTACGAACGAACTGATTATAACATTATTGCGATTATTGAATAATTCAATAAGCTCATTTATAATTCTTGTGGAAATGGAATTAAACTAAAAAATTAGACTAATTCTAATTAAATGTTAACATTTATTTATTAATTACAACTATCTGTAACAATTATGACTAGTGCTCGATTATGACTTATTGCTGCTGATTCGAATTGGATACGTAATCTAGGAGATACTAAAATAAAATTATGTATATGGTGGTATTATGTTGGATTTAAAATAAAATAATATGTAATAAAAGAAGTTTTCTTCATCAGAAAACGAAGAGATACGCTAATAAAAGACAGCCAAATGCAAGCGTTGCATGCATTGTCGATCTTTGGCTGGACGAGTTCTTGTTGTACGAAAGTCCTTGCTGGTTGGGTTCATCGACTTCGTTGCTCAGCTGGTTTCCTGCTGCCGGATACCAAGTCTCCGTGCCGGCGCTGCTCTCGAACGGAAACCTCTTCGTCGTCTCAAGACCTGATGCAACGAGTAATTTAGAATTAGTAAAGTGGATTAGACGTTTCGTTGGTAAGTATACTCGGTTGCTTGGAGTTGATGACGCTCCAGGTGGACATCGTAGCCCAATCTGGAGGTCTCTGTGAGCTGGGTGCGCGAGGGACGTTGAAGACGGTTTCTGGATTACTGCTGCTGCTGATTGTGGATGGAACATCCGACCAGCTGCTTGAGCGACCATACGAACCGGGCCTCGTTCTCGAACCCAAGAACTGAGGCGTCGATGATGAAGAGGAGGTCTGAAAGTCGAGATTTCGTTAATTAACAACCGAATTAAAGGATTGTCTTCATACGCTGCTAGTATCAACGAAATCAGGGGTAGGCGACGAAGATGGTAGCCATGGGACTATGGTTGATGGTCTCATCGGAGGAATGCGCGAGGATGGAATTTCTTTTCTCTCGACGGCGTTATTATCCTGCTGAATCGTGCTCCACGGGTAGACCTCGCTAGGAGTCGTGGGGAAGGAGGAGACTGCCGCACCGAAGGTGCTCGGAGCTGTGAGATCCGTCGAAATAGTCACACAGTCCCCAGAATTCGGGCTGAAAAAATAACAAACAGTTTAAATTTGGATAAGTAGAATTAGATTAATCCAATTACATGTAGTTGATGCATTGATCTTGCAAGAAACTCAAAGCCTTGTCGATGATCTGCCCAGAAAATTGCGAAGCCGGACCATCGGGAACTCCTCTATCGCACAGTTGACGAGTCTCCCTCTCCACGCACTGCTTGAAGCGGTCGTGCGAGCTACAATTGTACACAAAACATACTGTAATTGTATAACACCAAAACAAAAAATTTATACCAGCAGAGCGTCGCTTTAGAGACAATCTCTCCTTGCGATACGTGCTCCACCAGGAGATTGTAATGTGCACCGCAGTGGCTTCTTTCTGTAATCGTGCTCTTTATGCAAGGAGCGTACTGCAGATATTCTGCAAATAAACATACAAATGAACAATATAGCAACGCAGTTCATCATTGTAACGGTAACTGTACCCTTTTGGTATCTGGGCTGCATGCACATCTGATGGACAGATTCGATCGGATTCTCGACAGCCTTGTTGAACTGCCTTCGTTGCTGTGCGGTAAAGCACTCATCGGTGTATCTCTTCAGACAGTCGACGAATCTGTTCCACGTTCTGCACACTTTGTCGATGTCCTCCATGTTATCGGGGAATACCAGTTGCGCCTCCTTGATCAACGGATCAGCAATCCTCACGCACTTTTCGTACGCCGGCCTCGCACAAGATACGGGCCCAGATCCAGAGCTCATTCTTGCTTCTACCAGCAGAACGAGAACAATCCACACGAACATCTTCATCATAATTAAAAACGCCAAAACCCTACGGACAAATAATACTTAATAAATAGTTTATCATTTGCTATTGATCTTTAAGTTCTGCATTCTAACGCAGCTTAAGCATTATAAAAATACATGTTCTGAACAAATTTCGTATTGATACCAATTCAATGTATGTTGGGTTGTATAAAATGTACTTGCATTATGTACTTGAACATACAAGCCCTTTCTCACTATGCCAATCCGACCTTCGACTCAAAATATGTATCGGCAGGGGTAAAGAACAAAACGGATTGCGTGTTTATTCTATCGTAAATAATAAGGGTCACGGCGGGACAAACGAGTTGCCCTCCCCGAAAAATAAAACAAACCTACTGGACAGGAATCTGCAAAATTAAATTATTTTCATAAATCGATGATGATGATAATCATTTTTCCTTTTCCTCCATTCTACTATAAAGAAAACCTTCGATAAGAGATCGTAATGAGCGTTTGTTGTTTATTATCAGGTCATTGGGCATTTCGCAATCTCTTGGGGTGAACGAAACAGGTTTTAATTGTTATTTAGCACGAGATCATTGACCATGCATTTTGCAATGCTACTCGAATGTTGTTGTTCAGACTTCAACGTAGATACAGAGAATAGCTAGAGTTGCAACATTTCCTTTAACGATTTGCAGAAACCATTGCAATTATTGATTTAAACGAAATTGTAAAATTTATATTATGAATGATATCGTTTCATGACTTATTCAGCTGTGATCAAAGTGAAGTATATGTTCTGATCAGTACAAATTTAATTATTTTATTTTCTTAACATGAAGCCTACTAATCCCAGCTATTGACTCAAAAATCCAGGGTCTCAAAACATATGCGCCTTGACCTATCTTAGATATTTGTATCATTGTATAAAATTATATTTAAGCAAAATGCCATGCGCATCCACCATTCTACCAAACATCTAAAGATTTTAATTAAAATATTGACAATAATCGATAAAAAATACATTATTTATTTATAATTGATATATTCAATTTATGTAAATTACATTTACTTTCCACAATTACATTACATCTACATTCTTAGCACAATTGAATAAGAAATGAAAATGGTGAAATGTAAAGAAGGCGAGGGTCGACAAACCGTCGCATCTCGCCTAGACAATTATGTACAATTTATAAATGTTAAGTGGTATTGATTCGTGGGATTCTCTCTCTTTCCGAAGAGCTTTCCTGAATTATTAAAAAGAAGTCCCAAAGTGTCTGATATACAACGCAATTGCTGGACAGTCTCCAAATGCACGTGCCATCATCGTTCAAAGCAAATACGGCACTATATAAATATACACGTTGATCGGCGGAAGGAGGAAAGCAATAATTGTAGAAGGTTTTGATGAATAGGAAAGCCACTTCAATCGTTTTCAATTTCTGACACGTATCGATTTGTGAATGACATCAAATTTGCAATTGCATTGCTAATTATTCTGTTTGAAGTAATACGATTATAATAATAGTTCTACAGTTACTGCAACAAATTATGCTGTTATCGGTGTAACGGTGAAGTGAACAAAACAAATGTTATCGTACATCTCTGCTGATGTTGATGCTGTTTTGTTTTGGCCGCGTGCTTGTATGGATGAGAGGATGACGATGAGAAGGAGAGGCGAAGAGGTGCAGGAGGAGGAGATCAGAACAATGCCGCACCGACGAGAGTAATGGGCCTCTTCCACACAGGATGCGGAGAAAGTGATGCTTATATCCGTTCCGACAGTCGAGGGCAAAACCGCTCATCATATCCACGCGCGTCGCACAAACTCGAAAAACATAATTCATAAATCCGGTCGAAAATTCCACCAACGATAATAAAAAACAAAAACAAGGAACATGAAATAATAACGAAAAGATTTATTGACACGTCCATTTCGATTTGAGTTCCGACCGAAATTCGCATAAAATTCGTATTGGAGAGAACAAAGTCAAATTGCACAATAATGTGTTTGTAATTACAAAATATAAACATATCAATTAAAATGAAATAATTAGGTAATCGTAAATAAAAAAGATCACGTTCAAGTGAGAGTAATCAGTAAACACATTGCGACATGATGTTTCAAATTTCCAATTCTCCATAAAACGATTAATTGCAAAAGCAACGTAAAACAATCAACGTATTCTCTGTTTATAATATATTAGCTTTTATTTAATAAAAAGTATGTAGTTTTTTAGTAAAATGATAAATCTGTGTTGTAAAGCAATGAGAATCGTTATCTGTATACCGTGCAGAGTCCAAATTAACTGGCGGTAAATTAACTCGTTATCTCGTTCATCCTATTTTCCTTTCCTCTAATTTATTTGATTACTCATGCATATTCCCTCGTACATATTTTTTTTGTTCCAAACTGTTCGCAAGGTCCGAGCATTCGCATCCTTGGACTCGCATATTGTTTAAAGCCTTAAATGGGGTGAGAGGTTGAATGGGGGTGGGTTAATCTGTAGTTACGATCTCCTCGCCTCACACCCTACACCACCAACCCCACAAAGACGATGGCCACACAACGAGGCAACGAATTATACACGCACGTCACATCCGGCCTCGAAGAAAGGGTGACCAATGGGGTTATGCCACCCTTTTTGCCCTCTCTTTTCTTATAGCACCACGTCTTTTCCACCATCAACACGCCATCGTGCAGATTTTCGCGATACCCCCGTTCGTTCTCGATCCTAATGACTTTCAGGTGACCCACAAACTAGTACCTACAACCCTCTTTCTTTGCTTTGATTGAAAACTTACTTCCCTTCGACCACATCATTTGGGTCAAACATCATTAAAGCAAGCACACAAAAAAGAGCATATTTAGAACAAAGGTTCCTAGCAATCTACTTTCGCAACTAACTATCTTAGCAATTCATCGCAAAAATTAACCCATACCTTTGTACATTCATAAAAGACCTTTTGAAATTATAATATACAGATAGACTTTTTTAATAATAATTTTTAGCAAAAATAAATTGATTATTTTCTAGTTGCACCGTTTGAAGTACAAAATAACTTTTTAAATAATTTCTCAATTTTCAAAATTTCTTTAGGAAAATGAAAAATACCATAAATGTGTACATTAAAAATGGAATTATTTTCATGGACGTTGATATAATAACATGTGTCTTTAATTTTAATAATTGAATAAAAAGTGGAGACGATTTTATATTATTTTTATTGCTAATTCATAACAGCAAAATCGCTTCTGATAAATTGCAATTATTTTAATAATGAAAAACTTACAATGTATATAATATGTCTAAAATACCAAATGCCACAAGGCATTGCACATAATTAGTCTGTAGAATAACGAAATATACAATTATAAACAATTAGAAGAAATTCTATAATTTCTAAAATAACAAGAGGATCCTAATCTAATCTTTTTTGAGAAACAAACAAGTTTCAAACAGGTTTAAATTAATAATGCAAATCTCTGTTTATCCGTTCGATAAAACCCGGCGCATCCGCATGAACATATAAAGTCATAATGAGCAGTAAATTAATGTAACATGATTTTAAATTGAAATTAGATTTTGTAAATCTAGCGGAAATTTGTACCAAATGCTTCATTCATTCCTTTGTTTGTTGCGCAATCGAGGAAATTGAAAAATCACTGTTGTGTTGAAATTATCGCTTGAACCTTAACGACTCCATCATGACAAAATATTACGTCGTCTCTGATTCATTCCGCAGTTTGCGAATGATTCATATCTAATTAAGATTAGATATTTATTAAAGAAGTGTACACGTCAAAATTATCGCGCATTAATCACAATTGATGTTTTAGTCAATTGTGATTAAAAAGTAACGCTTTGTCACTCGCTTGATATACCTTGTTATCTAAATACAAAGCTACATGTACTCACTATTCGGATTATCAATAAGTTAATGTATTTTCACAAATTATATATTTTTCCAAGATGCAAATTTCCATTAAGTTAAATTGAAATTTTGCGAGCGTTTTCGATTTTGGAAAAGTCCAATTCATATATTTTAAACAATAATTACATTTAAATTTAGAAACGCGTTTTGTAATCAAATTGGATTTACGTAGATCGTAAATACAGCAACATTGTTATTCATATGGAGTAAACGGAAATACAAACGCAACATATTACAACAACAAAAAAAAGGAATAAAGACAAAGTTGGCGTAATGCGAGAAGATGTGAGATATCAATCTGACTAATTGGGTAAAATGTTGTGCAAGATGCATTTATAAATGTAAATAAATAGAGACTTGCGGTGCGTAACGAAGAAGACTTCAATACTTTCACTCGACTCGCGATTTTGTTGTTCTTTAATTAAATGCATCAAATTGATTGCAATATGTTTTTTTTTTGTGCATTAGTTGCAAAATATTGCTTTCAAGATATTTGTACTCACGTTTAAAACAAGAGGACCAAAGTTTGATTCAAGTTGTTCGTCTTCTTTGGTTGGGATTGAAGCATAGTCGTGTGCTGCAGCGCACGAACTGACCGGTCGCATTCATTGGAACAAAAACAACCCACGTACAACCACCACCATATATACATACATACACGCACATACATATAAAAGATATAATACACATGCGACGCAGACCGGACACCGTACCATTTCCATTTCCCTTCCCTTCTCTGCAGCACCGAACATGGACACGCTTGAGATCCTCGGCAATCCATTGATTTTATACAATTTGCTTGCTTTATGCTCCTTAGAACTTTCTGATTCACAGAAAGCGAATTGTTTTGTACTTCCAACTGACTCTTGACCATTTCTTTTACTTTGAATTTAAAGTAATTTCAGGTAATAAAACTATTAGGAAATATCAAACACGATTCTTGTGCTCGTATTTAAATATGTGTAGAAATTTATTATAGGATAATTCAACAAAACAATAAGAATAATAGTTACATTAAATAGCAGTCTCCATAAAAAAAATGGTTGAGATTAAAAGTGAAACCTCTAATTTTGTTGTTCAAATTAAATTGCTTGCATTGATTATGGCAACGTGTTGTTGGTTGTTTTCAACCAAATTTCCGATTAATATAATTGCTTGTGAGAGTCTGAAGAAAAAGGTTGAAAACTACTGGTCCAAGGAACAAACGGTATCAGTAATAATAGTTAATAATATTGGGTTATTACGAAATGGATAAATAGTAGTACGTTCTTTCATTGCTCTTACAAATATAATTATGGGCCGAATCAATTTCCAAGATTATGCTAGTTAAGCTTTTTTTTGGTATTTTCTCTTTAATTCGCAGGACTAGTTATTTAACGACTAGTTTTTTTTGTTTATTTGGACTGCATATACATATACAGATTACCCATACTTGTTACGACCATCAATGAATTGATCTCATCCTACAAATTAATTGTACCACAATGTCTCGTTCTATTGACTGGGATTATTATTGCTGGAACTAGACTTGTTACGTGGACGGATCGATTCGAGGGGGTCTGAACGTAACATTAATACAACTAATCCCTGCAGATTCTCGAAGCCATGTCAACGAGCGGCTCCAGCTCTTTAGAGGAAACCAATTGGAACTCCGTCACGAAATAGTAGAAATGCTTGTAGCAAGTGTTCACGTGAGCTTCGGCGTTTATTGTCACTACATTCTCGAAATGATGAATGTAGACGTGCACAAAGACGCGATGCAACCTAGCCAAAATCTTGCTGCAATTCGTGGAGAAATTCTTGGGAAATGGTAGATCAGAGGTGCATGGGAATAGCGCCTGATTATTGATCTGATTCTCAATCCAGTCCATCAAATTGTTAACATATTCTTTGGCTGGTAACTGAGTGGGTTTCTTGAATCTAAAACACAATATTTAAAATATGCATCAACTATAAAAGAAAGTAACTCACTTATCGCCATCAGCCCACAGATATTCGAACCTAGGACCACCCGACATTACTGGACAAGTCTCAATAGTGCAATATTCAGATATGGTGCCATAAATTAAGTTTATCCTATTGAAGAAGTCGACAACTAAAATTCATGTAAATAAATATAATTATTTTTTGTTCATTTCATTTGATTATGTACCATGTACTGCAATCCAGTCATTTGTGTCTTCCCCAGGTGGTAGCTTTACAGCCTCCCGCAGATTGATGCCAGAGTTCAAACTTGCACATGCCTGCTTGTGTAGACTATATCTTATGGTACCATGGGCGAACCTCTTTTTCGGTCTGAAAGTCTAAAATTTGATGTAGAACGCAGGCGGCTTTTCCTGGAGATAACCTAAAAGCGAACAATGAAGCACTTACTTTGCCCTTCTGGAAGAATTCTATGAATCCGTTAAGTGCCATTATGCCGCACTACTTTCTATGAAAATTCTTCGAAAATATGCAATTGCAAACTAACGGACGGACAACGATCCTAAGTAAACAAAGTAGGTTACGTAAAAAATAAACAGTCGTTCAATTTGTTATGACATCTGTCAAAGTTTTGTTTTCGTTAACCAATTACAAAATAATCATCAACAATCACTGCCTATAGTCAAATTGTTGCTAATGACTTCTTTTATAGTAATTTAATAGAACAAAAATAAATAGCTCACAACCAAAGTATACGAAGAAAACATTCATTATCGTTCATAACATTCATAATTTAAAAAAAAATCATAAAATGGTGCAAAAGTCAGAAAAAATTATATTTAATAAATATTTGAAGAACAAATATCAGTTTGAAACAAATGTGTAAAATGTCTTAATGAATCTAAATTCTAAAAATTAATATGGAAAATTATGGATATGCAAGAATCCAGTAACGAATGTGAAAGTTTCGTTAAGAATTTATAAATTGCAGGCAATAAAATTTAAATTTCTACGAACATCTTGGGTACGCAAATAATATAAGTGGTTTAAGAGATGATTGAATGAAACAAAAGTTATTATTATTCTACAACTATTAAAGTTTAAACATATTTTAAGAAAACGCAGGATACCGCCGTTGGTATACAACTAATGACATCTTTTACGTTGAATCTATTACCACAATTTATCTTTTTTAATTGTAGAAAGTACCGCAACGACCAAACTTTAAACATGATTGATAAATTAAGAAATATGTATATTTTATTCAATTTCTGATAATGAATTCGCATTTAAAATGAGAAATATGCAAAATGACAGTTTCTCCGAATTTTTTCTTATTCTAAGGAAATTAATTTAATTTTATTGTATCCAAAATTTCCAAGTACTATCCAGGTAGAAGGGACAACGTCCCCCTATAAAGCTGCAGAAATCCAGGAATCCCTATGGTCGAGACTTTCTTTTTAATGTTAGAAGGGGCACCATCTGTTGAGCAATAGTCGAAGGGTGTCAATATTAAATGTACTTGATAATGGAAAGATGGCTATCGGAGGATTGTTTGTGTTTAAATGTTAGCCATATTTTGCTTTAAAAACACAAGTGACCGGTTGAATGCACCGCCCGCGAAAACGACGAAATCGGCCGTATATTGAATTCGAGCAGAATTTGATTGAAAGAATTTACAATTGTTAACAACGAACGACACTGTCGGCAAGACAAGGAAACGTCGCTGATGCAGATGCTACCACCGCCACAGCTGCCTTCGACGACGACCGGTCCACCTCCCTCCAGGAGGTTGCGCAGGCCTCGGTTTTGGTGAAACTCCTTCCGGCGTTGTTGCCCTATTTTCATTGCTCCGCTCCGTCTGGCTTCGTCTACCTCTCCATCGCGCCTCTCTACGTTTGCGGACTCTGCTCGAAGTGGCCATTCGTTGTTGGCAGCCCCAGGCCCTCACAGCCACCTAGCTAAGCCAGTGAACCATCCATCCGACCAACCATTCAGTCGAACCGCTGCATGCGCTGCATATTCAACCCTCGAACAGCAGAATTAAGCCGTAGCAGCCATCGCGACTCTGTGGTGTTTCACTCTCTCTATCTTACAGTAGTGTGCCCAGTGCCCTTTCGGTGATGTGATCCTAAGCAACGGAGTGTTCTGTGTACGTGCTTGTGACTCCTCCATACGCGTCGTTTCTTGTTCGTTATCCTCGGAACGCACGCCAACCATGGAGAATAAACTGTGCAGGACTTGCGGAAAATTCAACGGCGAATTTGTCGACATCTTCAAGACGGAGGGACTCAAAGAGAAAATCGAAACATGTTTACCCATTGTCGTAAGTTTTCTGACGCGCCGTGCATCGGGTCGCTTTTATTGTTTTGTTTCTTTTCTCTTTTTTTTTTTCCTTTTCATACTGCCGTTTGGCCATTGTTTATTTATAACTGGAACCTATGCTACTGTTGCTGCTCGATATGTTTACCCTATTTTAATTTTACGTGCTTTACGTTGAACATCAATATCGTCATCATCATCATAGTAATTTGTCAGCTGCTGCTGAAGTAGCCACTATCTTCCATGTTATTGGTACCTAAGATAAGGCCAGGCAAAATGTTCTGACTTTTTAGGTTAATCTGCACACAACTCTTTATATCATCGTTTCAATTACAGAAGAGAGAAGTTCACAGTACATTTAAAATATTTGTAGAACATAATGATAATTATGGATAACATTCTATCTTTCGTCTCTCTTTCTCACTCATTAAATTAAAGGACAGATGAATACCAGTTTTGGAAAAAGATTGAGACATACTTATATTGGCTAACCAACAGAATTTCATTTAATTTATTAATCAATGCACATAAATATGATGTGTCCCTAACCTTTGAGCTACAAAAAATATATATATTTATTTTGTTCTCAATATTGAATGTGCCTCATCTACAACTATTCTTTCTTTTTGCATTATAGGTGTCACAGGATTGCCTACTGCCGGACACATTGTGCATGGAGTGTTATCGTAATGTCTTGGTTTTATATGGCTTTGTGAAGAAATGCCTACAAAATATAATAATCCTTGAGTCGCAATATAACATAAAGACATCTTGTTTGAAGAGCAAAAGGAAACACGACAGATCGACGACCACAATGGGTGTGGGCTGTGGCCCGGTCCTCCAGTGGCCGTTGCCCAAGGATGATGTCGGTGTTGAGGATATCAGTTATTATAAGGACAAGTTCAGAAAGTTTGACGTGAAGTTGGCAGGATTCGAGAAGTCGCTGCAGGAACTGGATGACCTGAAACCGAAGATCGTCGATTACCCGTGCAGCAGTAGCGACGAGGACTCAACGAATATAAATAATAAGAGGTATTTCGATGACAAGGAGAACGATTTGATTCGCGAGATTGCAGAGAGAAAATCTCTGAAGAGGAAAAGCGAATCGGTGCTATGCAACAGGCCGAAGATGTTCAAGTTGGATACGAATCGCAGGAAGAAAAGACCTCCGATGAAGGTAAAATGCAAGGAGATGTGTGATTTGCAAAAGATTTACGACGAAATCCAAGTACCGACAACGATGGCCATCGATCAGCAACAGCAGCACAACCCACCGTCGATGGTGCAAAAGGCGTTGCCCCAGATCTGTCTGCTGTGCGACATGCAGTTTGATGGACCGTCTTTATTAGCAGAACACGTGTTCGAGACGCATGGAATAGACATGGCGCAGATCGTAAACAACGAGCCGATACTTGAAAAGAAGAAAAAGATGATTCCGAATCTGGTGAAGATCGCCGATCTGAAAGCAAAAAGGGAATCGGAGGAGTCAATGGAAATTGTAGAGAATAGGGAGGAGCCGCCCACCCTGGAGCCCAGTTACGTGTGTCCACTTTGTCCGGCCACGTTGACCAACAGGTCCGACCTATTCCAACATCTTCGTCAGAAGCACGCCACCAAGTCGCACATGATCTGCGGCCTATGCCTTTACATGGCCGATTCCTATCTTAATCTGACCGACCACATAGAGATCTGCCTGCTGAGCCACCCCATCAGCAATCCATACATCTGTAAAGTATGCAAGTACAACGACGACAACCACAAGGCTATAGAGAATCACGTGCTGGTCCACGACTTTTTGATAAGTTTCTGCAAGAAGGAGAATCGCATCTTCGACCCGGCTGACTACATCGAAACGAATCCAGATAGCGAGAACCACAAGGTCTACAACTGCACCGAGTGCGAGTTGAGCCTGTCCAGTTTCCGCGATTTTACCGCCCATCGTCGCTCCGAACATTCCATATTTCACTGTGACCTTTGCAACAAGTTTTATGGCCGAAATTCGCACCTCTGGAAACACGTAAATCGTCTACACAAGGGCCATCCCTCGATCACTTGTCAATTCTGCTACAAGACAAGCGCTTCCAAGTACCATCTGGCGCAGCATTTTAATAAGATTCATACGAGCAAAACGCCCAAGCTGAAAAACGGCGATATTGTCGAGGAGGAAGACTTTTTAAACAAGAAGTTCGAGGCATTTGACTTTCAAAGCGTTAGGCAGAGTTTCATGCGGCAAGAGTTGGAGAAGAACGAGCAGCAGCAGTCGGCCAAGGTGATAACGACGACACCTCAACATCATCACCACATGCATCATCATACGCATCATCATCAAAACCGCCACAATCAGCACGATTTAACATTAAACATGATTGACGAGGGCGTCGAAGTGCCTAAAGAAATTGACACGAGCAGCAATCTATATACAAATATTATTACCAATTATACTCCGCCTCAGAATAACGGCGAGTTCAAGTGTCCCAAGTGCTCAAAGGGCTTCCACAAGAAAACACTTCTGAAGAAGCACAAAAAGAATTGCAGGCCGCGCCTTCAAAAGGACCTACTAACGCGTTGCAAGTCTTGCTCGCGAATATTCAAGGATCGCCAGAGTCTTGCCAAGCATCTGGTCAACTACCACAGCGAGTATGCATGCGAAATATGCAAGGAGAAGGTGCAGAGCAAGTGCGAGATTGTGAGCCACATCCGATTCAGCCATCCTGACTGCCACCTGTTCTGTCAGGACTGCGGCAACGTGCTGCGAAAAAGCGAAGATCTGAAGGCTCACTGCGAGGACCACCAGAACTCGTTCGTTTGCCAATTCTGTGCTGACCTTCTTCCTAGTAAAATCAAGCTGAAGATGCACATACTCAGTCTGCACAGAAAGATACTCAGTCTCAGCTGCGGCATCTGCCTGAAGCTGTTCGAAACACAGCACGTGCTCAGGGATCACGTGCGGCTCGTGCACAAAGACGTGTTGACGCCGTTGACATCGTGCACGGTGTGCGGAAAGAATTACGGCTCTAAGTGGAAGACTTTCGATCATCTGAACAAGTCTCACGGCCGCATCTTTAAGGCATGTAAGGCATGTCTCGAGGTATTCGACACCGACAGGGACCTTGAAGTGCACTACGAGTCTGCACATGGCGCCTCTGGCAAAGACAAATCGACGTCGGCAGTGGCGACGACTGCGGGAGCGATGAAGAAGGATGTAATGGCTCCAACGACAGCGATAAAGAAGGAGGTTGATGATAGCGCAGATGACAAGAGCAGCTATTCCGAGGAGAGTCCATACGAACCCGAGGAAGCTGTCAAAATATCGCTGCTGGAAAAGCGACTTACGGCAGTGCCTGAAAAGAACTCGCATCAACAGCAGCAGCAGAAGAAAAAGGTATCATCGGCGACGGCAGTGGCTGCTGCAAAAAAAGTCAAGATAGAAACGGATTTCGCTCCCGACCAAAACGGCAGCAACAGTTCCAAGAGGACGGTGTACGTGAACTCGAATGACCCCTCCTTCTGCGAGATCTGTCACAAGACTTGGCCGGCAAAGAAACACCTCTGGCAGCATTACATACGATGCCACAAGTTGGTAGCGGCCACCGTTTGCGGAATCTGCTTAAAAACCAACGACAATTACGAAATGCTGCAGGCTCATTTGCAGGACACGCATCCGACGTTGTTGCACGGTCAGGGCTTTGGATCGAACTTTATCTGCAGGATATGCGGTAGATATCACAACGCCCGATCAAAGCTAAAGCTGCACATGGCCATCCACGAGAACTTTGACTGGTCGTTGCTGGACAACTCGTATCTAAAGACAAACGACACTCAAGAAGAGGACATCGAGGAGGAAGACGACGATATCAACTACGAGAGTCTGATCGAACAGGTCGAGTGCAGCTCGGAGAATGATAACGAGGAAGAGAACGAGGAGACGAGCAGCAGCTCGGAGAGCGACGAGAGCGAAACTGAAGGTATCAAGATGGAAATTGAATCCGAGGAGGAGGAGGAAGATGGAGAAGAGGAAGGAGACGAGGATTCAAGCAGTCGCAGCGGAGACGTGGTCAAGAGTGAGGATAACTCTGATTCCGAGGATGAAGAGGAGGGCGACGAAGACTTCGACTACTCGAACGACGGTAAGAACATGGAGTATGCCCGGCATCAGGATGTCGTCGACTCTGCGGTAAAGAGCATCGTATACGAGGATGATGACTACGAGGATCAAGACGATCAGGACCCAGAGTACTCGGACTCCGCCCAGGAGAACTTGAATTCGCATGAGATCCAAAGTGCCGTCGACAGCATCTTGTGAGGTGAAATTAACAAACAAAATAGTTGAAAACTAAAATTCCAAATAACCCACGTGATATTTTCTCTCTCTCTCTATCTTACATATATGCATATATTCTTATTATTCTATTACCATACAGTAACCGTTTTCCTTCTTCATTGATTGATGATTGATATATATATATATATCCTAAGTTATGCATGCGTTGCGCTTAAATCATTTTCGGTTATTATTATTGATAGTATTGTTTTTGAAAAGAAGAAGAAGAAAGAGGAAAAAAGAAGAATTTTCTAAGATGAAAATAATATATATATATAAATATATTTTTAAAATTAATTACATAAAGAGACTATTTTTATATATACAATACAAATTTATTTATATATATAAAAAATATTAGAAGAAAAAAATATGAACAGAAATGTATAAGAAAAAAGAAATAGTGAACCTACATATATATATATATAATACGATTATAGTTATTAATGAATTCTGTATAGTTGTTGAAGAGGAGCACACTCACATTTTTTTTTGTTTCTAATGCTCAGATTGTTGGGGGGTTGATGGCCACTTTGATTATTTTTTATATATTTGTTAGCACAGAAACAAGAACATGTCGATGCATTTATTTTATTGGATGTGTTTAAAATGAACTAGAAATCATAGAATACAAAACACTCGGCCCCAGAGACTTTTACGTATATTTAATTTTTACATTTGCTTCAATTTTAGAGAAAGACTGTTTATTTTTTATATTAATTTTCCAACGAAGAAAAAAGTAATGATGGTATTTGTTCTTTGTTTCCTTCTCATGCTCCTGTTTTTTTTTCGCACGCTTTAAACAACAGAAGGAGAGTATACATTATTAATATTAATACAATTATGATTTATTTTACAATCGTAGATATTATTTATTCGAACTATGCTAACCACCTGCATTATATTTTATATTGATACACACATATACATTTGATTTCTTTTCATTGTATTATATATTTCTAATAATCCATCACGATTTGCCATATATGATGTATTCGCGATTCTCTACTCTTACTGCTCTACCTTTATTATTATTATTATTATTTTGTTGTCTCATTATTACTTTTATTTTTTTAGTTATGTAAGTGATGACCTTTTTCGTAACCATTCCTAATTGTAGTTCAATATGATTATTGAAATTGTATGTACTATTTGAAAATTTGTAGATCGACAGTGTTCGAGCAAAAAATTGAATAATACTTTGTAAATATATATAAAAATACACACACACACAATGAAGGAATAAATGAGAAGCGATATTTTTTTCAAAAAAAATAAATTTATTTTTATTATTCAAACCATATTTCCCTGACTATATTGACTACATGTTGTATTTCATATTGGATAGTTTTTAATTAGCAAAATTTAAATTCGATCCAGGAGGTGCAAATTGCAGCATGTTTTGTTGGATTCGGGTATTTTGTAAGTATTGGGCAAATTATGTAACACATGATTTTGAATTCCATGTGCGCCGCACAGGTGTATGTGTGTTTAATATCGACAATTACAGTTACTAGAAATTTTGTAGTTGCACCACACCTAAATTGGTGCGATGGCCCCAATTGAGACATAATGTATGTAGTACGCTAGAACGAAACAATGAGAACATATTTAATATTTGAAAACTTTGAATACACAATTGACAAACATTCAACGAAATTCAAATATTGTTATTTAATAATTCTCCTTAGCGATACTTGTCGCTCAGTATTATCCACGAGATAATTTTGTTTTCATTTTTAATCTCAATATATGAATAATATGTTTAGTCACAAAGTTAGATAATAAAATTTGATTTTGCAACCTATGCAAAAGAACCGATAAGATTTAAATTTTAAGATGTTGGTAGCATTGATTAGCGGTGTGTGGCTTTGCCAGGTTGGCTCGCTTGTATGTCATCAGCTGTGTGGGAGCTGATGTTGGTTGGGTGGGTAAAATGGCTGGAGTTTAGTTGACGTCTCGAAAGCGAAGGTCCGCAACAAACTATTATTATTATCATCATCGTCGTCGTTCTTTTACTTTCTTCGTTTGATCTTCGCCCTCGACGGACAGCAACACCCCCAAACTTCCATCACTCAGAGACGACTACACAGGTCTGACCATCATCATCACCACCACTGTCAACCAACGAACCGAATCTTATTCGAATCGCAAGTGCCTTAATCAATTAGATATATACAAACTGTATTCAGTTTGTGTGTTCCAATAGAAAAGAGGAAACGAAGAAAGTACAATAAATGAATCTGTGATTATTCAAGTGTAAAATTATCAAATTTACACTCAAACCATGGAGGCAATGCAATATGAGCAAGCCCGCAATATGACACTGCTCTTCTTCTTTGAAAGGCTGTTGGACAAGGGAGAACCTAGAACTTTGCACGACTTGAGCTGTCAGTTTGGATCGAAGGGGTTCACCAAGGAGATGCGTCAAATAGCAGGGGGGTCACAAAGTGGTCTCAAAAAATTTCTAGCACAATATCCAGCACTTTTTGCGATTGATGGAGATTATGTCAATATCAATATGTACCAGAACAATAAGGAAGGAAAAGATAGTCCAGGAGGTAGTTCTAAACTTCAATTCATTAAATTCATCCAAATAATTATGTTTTTTTTAGGTCAAAAGGATTATGCTGTACAGGCAGTCGAGTATTTCTCAGAAAAGCTAGCGCAGTATGGCGAAGGCACTGAGGTTCCGATTCGTAGCCTCCTGGGGCATCGATCGCAAGCTAGTCCAGAGGTGCGACACGTCTCTGGGCAGCACTTCCACGAGTTCCGAGAGTTCTTGCTGAAGCATCCTGAAAGCTTTGCGTTAGACGACGAGAAAGAGACGGTTGTGCTGAAAAACTTTGATTCAGTGAGAAGTCACTGTCAAGAGCACTTCACGGTGAACGTGCACATAGATCCGGAGATCACGCAGAACCTGTTGGATTTCTTTGCGCAGTGCATTGAGGTAAAGGGACCGATTCTGGTCGAGCAGCTTTTCCAAATTGTGAGTTGCACATTGCCTGAGTCCATGTGGTCCAATCTGTTCAACACGCCGGCCCATCTAACCAGCTTCTTGCGTTTATTCTCAGATAGCTTTCATATCCAGTCGAATCTCGTCACTCTGCTGCAGCACCCAAAGGTCAGCCAAAAGCATATCAACGCTCAGATTTTGAACCAGCAGAATCTGCAGCCCAACAAGATCAAGGAGCAGCAGCAGAATAAAGATTCTGTTGTTGCCTCAACTGTAGTTGACACTGCTTCTGGGGACGAAGAAATCAAGAGTCGCATGCAGCAGGAGACGAAGAATATCAAGAATCTGGAAGTGAACAATATCACGGACGATGCGAAGCAGTACATTGAGAAAGTGCAGACGGGATCGTCTTCGTCGGCTCCGAAGCTGTCACCGCCTACGAGCATCAGCGATCGTCTGAAACAACCAAAGTTGCAGCAGCAGCGATTGGAAGAAGAGAAGAAATGCAAGAGTCCGGAACCAGTGGATTGCAGCAGCAATAGTGATGCAGCCAACGAGCGCAAAGGACTTAACTTTAAGCTGGGTAATGCTACCATCAATACACTTGCAATTCTATTTAATGTTTTATTGCATTCTGAACTGTATAATTATTATACTCTGATTTTTTTTTTTAATGAATAAAATTGTATTGTTTAGGGAAAGCGCCATGGAGTGTCGAGGATAATAACGAAGAGAAACGTGCTCAGCAGCCGGTGACAACGACGGCAGCGACTCCTGCAGTCAAAGTGAATAATGCTAACAATCAAACGTTGAAGCAGCGAATCAATAGTCTAGTGCTAAAGACTCTACAAGAAAATACGGGGCGCGACCAGAAAAGCATGATGAACCAGCAGGTGGTGGCTAAAGAGGCGTGGAAGAACCGTATCTTCCAGAACACCCGGGTAATTTGCAACCTGAAGGAGTGCCAGATGGTTGTCGAAGAGATCATGACCAGCGGCGGGGGAGGCGGCAAAAGGAAGACTGGTAGCAGGAAACCGGTCTGCGCGAACAGCGATGATCCGCTATGGCCGTTTGGTGGAGACAAGGTTGTCGTCGCGTTCGACTGCGAGGGGATCAACCTTGGCATCAAAGGGCAGGTCACGCTTATGCAGATCGCCACTATGAACGGATATGCCTATATTTTCGACTTAATCACTTGCGCTTCCATGATGGATGGGGGAGGATTGAAGAAGATATTAGAGAGTCCGGATGTTATAAAGATCATCCACGACTGTAGGAATGACTCAGTAAATCTGTTCAAGCAGTTCAATGTCACATTGAGATCAGTCTTCGATACGCAGGCGGCGCACGCCGTCCTCTCTTTTCAGGAGAGTGGAAAGCCGGTGTACAAGGCAAAGAGCGTCGCTCTGAATGCCTTCTGTCAAGCGTACGGCGCCACCATCAACCCGATGAAAGAGCAGCTGAAGAACATCTATAGGAGGGATCAGAAATACTGGTCGAGAAGACCGTTATCGCGAGAAATGATCCTGTACGCGGCGGCCGACGTTCTGAGCCTCGTTCACGAGAACCTGTACACGGCGATGGTGCGAAACATCGCCCCGGAAAACCGTAAACTTATGCTAGAGTTGTGCGAGGAGCAGATCTACCTGCACATCAATCCAGACGATGTAAAGCTGAAGAAGCGTCAGAGAAAAACGGAGACCGAGGTGGCGGAACTCAGGGTGAAACTGTCGCAACCTGCGAAGAGCATCGTCCTGAGCAACCGCGAGGTTCGTCTGCTGAGGTAAGAATATATATATATCAATATATAAGTAAGAAGGTTTTATGAAAGCGTTAATTTTCTTGCAGGTATATTGAACTGACAGAAGAAGAAAAGGAGAAACTGAAGACATCAACAAAGGTGGCCAAAAAGTTGGAAAAGTTGGAGAATCAAGGTGGTCAGGACCGAGATTTCTCCAGCGACGAGGAGGATAACGACAACGACTATCCGAGTATAGAGAGCGACGCGACGTCTCCCAGGAACTCGGAGCCTACAAGCCTGACGGAATCTATGCAGCTGATCGACACGATCTTGGGTGACAACAAGATCGATCGACTGGACAAGATCGACAAACTAGAGGCCATCCTCAGCGCGGCGTCGCTTCTTCCGCAGTCCGAACAACAGGATGGTGGTATCAAATGCTGCAGCTGTGGCTGCCACAGGAACGGCAACAGAGAGGTAAATAGTAACGACAGAATAATATCGCCTAGCAGCAACAGCTTTGTAAGTGCCTGCGTCGAAGTCACGCTGCCTCACGGCTGTAGATCCATAGAGACGCAGACTCTCAGCACCGGCGACGTCGTTGTCACTAAAATCCATTTCAACGAGACTGCCGAATGACGACGACAATGTCCAATTCGATTTGCTCAATACGATTATTTATCATACAATCTGTAAATCTTATTCTACAAAGGAATTGAAATTTCATATCACAAGAGTGTGGAGCAATAACGATGTCCCTCCTCCGCGTAGGCAATTGAATATTTCTTTAAATATTAAATTTATTTCGATTTAACCGAGGTGCTGCTTTTACATATAATCATAGAATTCGTTGATTACTTTTTAATTAAGTAGAAAAGACGTTGGGTAAAAAATACTAGTGATATACACACATATATATATATATACAAACACTTATATATTAGTTGTCTAATAGATGGACCAGTTTTTTTTTGGGTTTTTTTTTGTATGTACTTAATCTCGATCGATGCTTGCAAACATATTTAATGCAAAATGAAAACCTATTGGACATGAATATGCAATTATTTCGAATCAAAATTTTCTTAGTCTTTTGTTTTTCAATTTGCAAGCATTCCACTTCTTGTTTTTTATATATAAATCTTTGTTGTCCGTTATTAGAGATAATTAAATGAATTTAATAATTTATCGATAATTAACAATTAATTTGAGCGATAAGACTCATTGTGTGAAACGTTAGAGTTAGAGGAAGAGGAGAAAAACTTAAATGGCCTTAAATAACCTCAAGTGCATTTTTTAAATGATCATTTTATTTTTGCAATTATTTTTATTCGTGCTTGTAATTTTCTTATTGTATTTTTTTAATTTTATAACATTTATTGTTGATTTTGATTTCTTTGCTGCCATCCTTTACATACATTTATTATTTGTTTTTTTTTACTTCATCAAACCTAGTAGTGCTGCTAGATATCATCGCACATATTCCTCAAATAATTTTTATTATTGGTCTCTTATTACGGAATTTGTAATCATTGTTATTGTTTTTATTAGTTTTCCCCACATTTAACTAGTGGTAAGAACTTTGTGCCTTAAGTCACCTTAAGATAACTAAGTTCACGGAAATTATATATATACATAAAATTTAAAAATCGTAATGAATTGTTATTTATATACATATTATATGGCAATACTTATGTATTTGTTACATGTATACATTTTTTTTATTGCTGGTAATTGGTTGAATTTATATATTATGATTAATTGTGTGTGGAGAGTTTTGAAAATGTTGATACATAAAACAAATAGATTGTTCTACATTTATATTATATATATATAATTATTATAACTCAACTAATAAATTATATACAGTAACGTTTTAAAAAAGAATATATGAAAAAAAAAACAAAATGAAAAGACACAAGTTAATTGGAACGTGGTTTTATTTTTGTACCTTAATGACCCAGTTTTATTAATATTTATCCAGGAAGTCAGTTTCGGCTTTGCTGCCTCTCGGAAAGAACATAAACGACAGTGTTCCACATCGAATTACGAAACTGCAACAAACAAACAAAAATATGTTTTTTTCTTTATTTTAAATTAAAAAAGACTCACTCTTTGCTCTGGATTATTTCGCCTAAACTCTTATTCGTGTCAACTTTGAATACTTTATTTTTGCTCTCGTAGTAAACATTCAGATTTTGTGCACTATATTGTTTCGCGACGTCCCATTCTGGATTCACCTCAAAGACATTCTTCATCTGCTCCATTAAACTGAAAATGATTTCTTATATTGTTATATGTACGTATCGAGAGGATATTTGAAATGCTTGCATTGTGTTCTCGTTGAATTCTTGCACAAAATCCATGAACTGATATTCCGGATAGACGAAGACCGTCGGCCAAAACAGGGCCCCATCCACCAAATCCACAGGGAATTCCATCAGTTCCTGGAATTTGGGCTTCAGCTTGTCTATGGTCAAACCACCTGAATATCGCATAAAAAATAGATAGGTTTACAAATTGCCGAACGAAAAAAACTACATGTCAGACACCTTCGTGGATAAGGTTCCTCTTCGATATTTCGGCCAAAAGCTCAGATTCCTTTTTTCGTCTCTTCTTTTCTACCGCCTTTTGCTTCCTTGCGTCCCTCTCTGCCTCCTTCTGAAACGCCAAGGCCTTACTCCGAACGTCTAAGGCCTCCTCATCATCGCGCTTCATTTCCAATAGTTTCTCGGCAAATTGAACAGCATCTTCGTAGCGTCTGGACTCCAAACATGCCGTCGCTGCTCTCGCCGCCGCCTTTCTATATTCTGGCTTTATCTTCAATGCCCATTCGCAATCTCTAATGCAAGATCTACAACCAAATAACAATCAATACCATCTGAACCTCACAGGTTCAGAGTGAACCACCTATAATTTTTCAAAAAGAAATGACACGCTGATCGGTTATTATACAACGTAGCCTCAACCTCAAGATTTCCGCATTTCACTTTGAGCCCTTCAGAGTAAGATATTATTGCCATTCGATAGTTTTTGTGCTTAAAATTGAAGTTTCCATCATCCTTATAAGAAATTGCCAATTCTAAAAGATCATACTTTATCTATTTGACTATAAAGTCAATCCACTTACCATCAGGAGTATTTTCATTTGGATCATACTTCAGTTGCTGCAGTCCTTCATATAGAGGATGCATTTCCTCTCCAGGTTCAGGCAACTTCTTCATGAAGAATGGATGCTTATCAAATTCCTTAAAGATTATTAATTTGATTAAATTTTTGCAAAAGCTTGAATACAGTGAACAAACCTCAAGCCAATTTTCATCTGGTGGTTCATTGTTTCGTTCCCTTTTCGGTAAATTTGCTATGAACTCGTCCAATTCTTTGTCCAGCTTTGTGGCCAGAGCTGCCCTCTCCTCCTCCGTCATTGCCTTCTTCGGCTGATTCTCCATCGTTTAACAAATAAATACTTTGAAGCACCAGGCAAACGTGTATAACCCAAAATATATATATAACCTAAAATTTAAATCAGCAGGACAATGTTTTGAAACATCGACATCTATAGTTTGAACATTTGGTTGCATATAGTGGCAATCGAATTGGATTTTTACACCTAATCGATCCAATAGAATTTAATAATTTCAAATACATTTTCTGTTGTGACTTGTTATTACGATTGTAAAGTACATTTATATTGTGATGAGTATGAGTTTTTTCAATGATTGAATCAAATTTTTAAATCGCATTGGATTCGAGGTTGGTATCAACGTGCAAGAGTTTTGTTTTGCTGGCGCTGGTGTTGAATCTGCTGAAGTGGTGGTAGTGGTGGTGAATTTCTTATACAAAATGGCCGTAGTATTGTAGAGTGTGAAACGTACGGCCGTTTGGAAGTATCTAATGAGTTATATTGGACTTTTGTATGGGCCTTTCTCGCCAATTGGGCCCCACCGCAATTGGAATAGTGGTTGCGGCTCAGATCCGCGACCTGCTAAAACCCATCGCGAAATGTAAGAATCACGCGTGAGAAGTGTGAGTGTATCATCTCTTTGTTTCCTCTTCACTCTCCATGGCCTGTTCCGTTGTTGCTGCTGCTAATACTACAACACTACCGATGCGAGCCGGTCCATCTCTTTTTCTTTCTGCAGTATTATATACGTAAATCATCTATATTTGTATTATTGGTTGGTGCTGTGTATAATAAGTGTGTGTGTGTGTGTTGACTATGTCGAACAGTGGACATTTTTCGTGGAAGATCATCAACATCATCATCTCGGGAGAAAAGAAAACTTGGATGCGCCAGTGACCATCCCAGGTGGCTATTATCGAAGGCAGCTAAGAAAGAAAACGTAAGTTATCATCATCAAGCAGCGAAGAAACAAATAGAGAACAGCATTCGACGGGGGTGGGTGGTGGTGGTGCTGCCGCTTTTAAAGTTGTCCAAGGGGTAGGAAAAGTAGGACACCAATGGTTTGGGCGTTCACTAGGGGAATGCCGACAGCATTCAGCTGGACGACTGCCCTTTTTTGATTTACGTCCAAATATATATATATATACATGTATTCTTTTATATCGTAACGTTCTCTTTTTCTTCTTCCGTTACTTCTTTTCGTTATTATTAAAAGTATCGATTTATCGATTCCGCGGGGATTCCCCACCCGCGCGCGAACTCCACTGATTCCCCAACAACAACTTTTGTTATTGCATTCGCTCGCTCACATTGGCCAAAATTGGAAAAACAATCGAGAAAGAGAAAAAGAAAAATAAATCAACAATGTGAGTGTCGAGAATAGAAAAAAAGTATATTGGATTTTTGATTGCTTGCTTCCCTCTTGCAATCCAATATTATTACTACTATTATTTGCATGTGAGTTCATTTTTTAATTTATTTTTAACAATTAAAAACTTTTTAAAACTCTGGATGTGCACATGTGTCTATTTGCTCATGTCTGGAATCTGATTATTAAAATGGAATTTTATTAACCAATTAAAGCACATTTTTTTTATTATCGTTGCATAGTTTTGTTTTTCCATTATGCCGATTCACACTGTGAATGTTTATGAGAGCTTTGCATGCTGCACGTGATTAATAATATAAGAGAAAATTAAAATAATAATGAACATCTAAATGTTCTACTTGGATTAGCTTTCATAGTTAGTTTTACATTTTTGATAAATTTGGAATGTTATCTTTACTAAATAGTCAATCAATAAATTAAGATACATTTAACCTTATGTAATAGTTGTCCATATAGAGTTCTTTAAGTAAGCCGAATTTCGTTTTTGGTAATGAACATATTATACATTTGACATGAATGAAACAAGTATAAAAGGAAACAGGATAAGCAGATGTTATGAAACCTCGATGTACATTGAATGTTGTGGGGGTAACAGCTACTACCTGAGCACACGATAAAGGCTGGATTCCGGGGAAAATGCGGAACAATACGGTGGGAAATGGATAGACGGAGAAGCCTCTGGGCTTGGAACTGGTGTAAAAAAAAGTAAAATCGTCCAGTTGATTGCGAACTACGAGCAAAATTGGATATCTATTTTGATGGACCTGATGGCTCGTAAATATGGTTCGCAGTTGTGAACAAGTTTCGTAACAACGAAATTCTGTTTACTGAATTGCAATAGATATCGCTAAATGAACAGCTTATTTTGTTGTAGGTGTTCAAGTTTATTATTGTGATGTAATATTTTGCTTCAACTTTTTTTAGTTAATTCATTTTTAGATGGTGATGATAACACCAGAGCAGCGAAACAAGAATAATGCGTCGTGTGTTTACCATCTACCCAACCCTCCTTCCTTTAGCAAATGTAATTTAACTTGTGTCGTAATTTCCATGCAAGTGGATGAGGATAAGGATAGGGTTTCGCATTTGCCACGGACTGTTTGTTTTCCGAACTTTGATGGTGCCCTCGCACCCCACGTGCGTGCAGATCGTGAATGGTGATATAATATATAAAAAAATAGGTGTATGAAGGTGTATGTGCTCACGCATGAAATCCCCAAAGTGCACAAAAGAAGTCTGCAAGATGATCGTATGCAAAGCAGCAGCAGTTGGGATAAGTAATTAATCCGATGTTAGAGATACACTCCCGTGCCGTACGTTCGGCGTGCTGCTGCATATCGAATTACACGCCTATATGAGAATACGCAAGATGTGATCGATCTGCAGATGCAGCAACAGCAGTCTATGCATATTCCACCTGGAGAAAAACGACGGTGACATTCATTTTGATGGTTAAGACGACCACACATGCACGTCGAAACGCTGTTATTAGCGTCGAAAAAAAAAAGGTGGAAATGAGCAGACCGAATCGTCTTCGAGCGCAATTAAACCGAAAATCGAACACAAATTACTCACAGCTGCTCTGTCGAAAGGTGATGGTGCTTCTATACAAATTGAATTGAGTTGGTTACCTGCCTTCCAACTTACCTGTCCTTTTCTTGAGTCGGATGGATGAAAAAAGGAAGAAAATATGCCGTTGTTCCGTATTTGCTCAACTTAAATTGGCTCGGATCATTACCAATAATTATCATTGCAATTAACCAAAGGAAATGTCGCGTGAGTTATCCCGAAGATACGTCGATTGTTCGGTCTCATTAACATCTATATTTTTCTCTGGTTAGTTAACTTTTAATGTTAAATTAGAAGTGAGTTTCGGTGCGCGTTTCATTTAATTGTAGTTTCTGAATCCACGGTTCAAAGTTTCCTGTTCTACATTCATTCGCCTATCTGAAATAATTATTTCAGTTAATACGACCCAATTAACCTAAACAGCTGCAACTTTGATGATCCACGACCGATTGATAATAGAACGTTCGTCTTTATCAGAAAAGCTTCAACATTTCTCTTTCGTAATCGGGTACAGGATGGACGACGAGTATGAGGTGTGGACGAACGTTTCGAAAAGAGATGTGTCACGCAGCTCTTTGACCCGAACAAAACGTCTTTCCAAGAACATTAAACGATCTGGTCAACAGATAAACATGATTCCAAGTGTAAATCAAGAGGGAGAAAGAAAGAGACTGTGCTAATTGTTATTATGCGGACAACGAAACCACCTTATTTTGGGTAGCCGCAGAAGAATAAGAAGAAGGCACACAAAAACAAACCGGTTTGCACAATCAAAAATTAGAATCTATAATGTGTAGTGAAGATAGAGGATACTTGGCGAGAGAGTGAGAGTATAGAAGAGGAATGCTTGCTTCTTCACCACTCGGTCGGTGTTGAATTCCCCAAGAAAAGATTTAATATTGCGGTGAAAGGAATGCGTCACAGGCCGAGAGCTACAACAGTCACTTCTTCAACGTTGTTGCGCCTGTTTTCCCAGTAAATGCCGTCACCGAGAGAGCCAATTGCTGCTTGCATAATAATAATAATACAATTTAATGGCAGCAAGACGAAACTGCGGAATTAGATTTAGTTCGTGAATATTTGGGCTATGGGGGGAATCCCGAACTTTCATCATAATTAGTTTATATCCGACAGTTTTTCTTTATGAAGTAATTAATATTGTATTTCTACCGGTTATTCTATGATTCTTTGAACTTTTTGTGTGTACGAATATAAGTTCTAAATTTAGATCACAATTAATGATGGAGATTATTGATTGTTTCAATTCTTCAGACCATGCACGAGTTTGAGAAAAATATATGATATTCTCAATTTAAGAGAGGACTAGTCTCAAGTTTCGTTGCCTTCCCATTTGATGATAGATTGATCACATCTGTCTGACTTCTCCTATTACGTGACATTACTATATACTTTTCTTTTCTTAAAAAAAATTATCTGCTCGATGATGATTGGGGTTCTTCGAGAACTATCTGTGAATACATTCTCAAAAAGTTACCTCGCACGGTTATCTCTAGCGCTCATTAATCGGCCATTAGTCACATTTAATCCTTAAGCAAAAGACATTAATATCAATCGCTTTTGAATGAATCATGCATTGAAGACAATGACAAAATAATCTTCAGTTTGCAGCATCAAATTGGGTGTAGCGTTGTACCATTGTGTTACTCTTCTCGTATATGCAGAATAAACAAAATTGCATTAAAGTGATGCTAACTGGAAAAGAAAATAACTCAAAGTGGAGTTTGATACTTGAGTAAATAGCAATTGTTCGGTGCATTATAAACTAATGTGGAGCGTGAAATTATCAACGAAAACCGGACGCGAATAATTCTTTTCGACTGGATTCCTTTTGCGTGAGAAGTCATCATCATCATCGTGATTATTTAGAACATTTAATCATCTTTATGATTTATTATATTAGTTATTTATTATTTTATTACATTTTTTTTTCTTAATTACCCGGCTTGCGTTTTGAGGGTTTTCTTCTACATTCACGACCTTAATAAGAAAATAAATGGGGGAGTTAATCTCCGACGGGGATTTGTTGGCTTCGTTCCTCTTCCTGTCCACCTTTCGAAAATTGGAAATAAATTGCTGCGTCTTTATCGGCTTTCATTTATTCCTTCTTTTTATCCTTAATAGGGATTAGATAGAGGCGGAAACTAGACCTCAGATTTAAGGGAGCGAGGGAACTCTTAACGATCATCTTAGGTCAGGGTTTTAGGTGTTATCCTTTAAGTAAATAATGGTGTAATAATGCTGTTTCGTCTACAAAACCTTCTAAATGTCAGGAGAGTCCATCGTTTGCTACTACATTTTATATTATAAAGTAATTTGACTTTCTAATTTGCAATAAGTCCGTGTGTATAAACGAGTGTATTGCGTTTATTGGTATTACATTTTTGCTCATAATAAACACCTTGAGTTTATTAACTACCAAGATTTTAGGAACTATAATAGAAAAGAAAAATTTCTCTAGTTAACGAAATTCATTGTTCATATCAAAAATGTAAACTTGTAATGTATATAATTTCGGATTCAATATACATAAATATAGATTGCGTAAATATATTATTGCCATTATTTAAGTGGTGTTTATTTTTGTAGGGCGGAAAAGCTTACAATTGCTTAACGAGCCAACAAAGTTTTGTTTATTGTCCATTAGTTTCGTTTCTTTTCTCTGTTTTTATTACGATTTCATTATATATCTGTCTTTTTCTTTTCTCGCTTCTAACGGTTGTTGTGCGTAGATATAAGCATTTCTCTGTGGGAACCGGAGAGTAGGTTGAGGCTGAGAGAAAGAAATTAATATTTATGGGATGTAAGATGATTTCGAGTGATAAAAAATGTGTTTTCTTTTGCAGATTCCAAACGAATTTGGCGACTTTCCATGCAAAATAATAATATCCGAGGGGAGGAGGGAATCTGCCAACTTATTCAAACCACTAAGTAAGTATTTGAGGATTGATTGAACGAAGAAAGATTTATCGTTTTCTGATGTATGACGTGCTCATGCTGTCGTTCGATCTTGGCTGACCTATCTCTTTTGGAATGCGACCGTCGGGTATTTCACCTGTACCCCATATACCCCATATTTATTAATCGTCGCCAATGTCGAGCGAACGTTGTTGGCTCGTGCACAGACAGACATACAGGCAAATGGAAATGGGTAAAAAAAAGGAGAAAACCCAGATTAAAATCTCGGTTGTGTTTGTGTTTTCTTTTCATCTCATCTCTTGTCGTATCGTCGTTGTCGACGGACAAGAAGAAGATGGACGAGCGGACAGAACAAAACGTTTTCGGTGTGTGCACATCGATTTCGGAGATTAGATGGAATAGAAAGAATGAACAACAGTTAGGTACTCCGCCCGTGGCGTGTCCAGGTTTTGCCAGGTAGAAACGAATTTAATCAAATTTTCAATTACCGAATGTGCGTTTGCACCACCACGTTACCACCCTTACGTAACGTATTTTTGTTTATTTACTTATTCTCATATCGACTTTTCTTATTATTATCCTAAACCATCGTCGTCTTCATTTCTTCTCGGAGAGATGCGATTACTCATTCTGTAAATATTACGAGTTAACTCGTCTCTATAACTTGAGACTTTTAGTACCGGAAATTCTTACGATTAATTAACACAACTTCTCCTCTTTTCACATATATTCTCTTTTTATTTGTCTCTTCTTTTGAAACACAAAACCGTTCGCACTTATAAATATTCAAGATGCTTATATTCCTTTATGGTCGCTCGTTTCGAGGAAATCGGTCAGGACGAAAAGTATCAGGTCTCTCACTCCTCGAATGCCAGTTGAAGCGTATAAACGATTTTGACTAGTAGAGGAAAATATGTCGATTGAAAGGAATGCGCTATGTAAAGTCATTTTTTTTTCTACTAGCTTTCATCAAATAATTATATGTAATAACTTTCAACAATAACACATTTTAACGCTGAAATTTAAAACTAATATGATTTTGATCTAATGATTATCATTGAATTTAAAAACTCGTCATTTAACAAGGAACTTGGCGTGTTGTATCAACCGTTAATTTTTATATCTACAAATGGATATTAAAATGCAGAGAACCTGATATCCGTCAAAATCGTGACATTATACGACGGAAATTCTTCACCATACTTCTCGGTGCGCGTATGTCTTCCTGTTCGAATCATTTACTTATCATCATGAATGCATATCGTTGGTTGGTGTAGCAGGTGGAAAACCTTACTTTTGAATTCATTTTCCGATAAACTTGTGTGTATTTTGCGATTAACATGTACGAATATAAATATTTATTTTACGATGCGATATCGACGACAAGATTAGATTTACCAAATGTGAATTGCAATTTTCGTAATTCATTTAAGTATTTCTGTTCATTCGATTTGGGCGTTTCACCTGTAATTTTTAGAAATTGTAAGTACGACTTCATTAAACTTACCTATTGTTTTGGATTATACTATCAAAATATATTTCGATCTAAACAACTCATCTTAATTGATGTATTTTACAAATTCAGCGTTTTGTGTTTTATCTACATTTATTAATAAAAGTTTTAACTTTTTGAAAATAATATATCGTTGAATTTGTATAGATTGTTATGTGGATTTCTATCCTAGATTTGTTGGCTTCTATGGTAATGTAGAAAATTGAAAGCAGGTAATTTAGATCCGGTCGATTGCTACTTGTATGCATAATCTTATGGTCATTCCTGATTGTCTTTGTTTAGTTTTCGAGTGAAACGTACGTATGTTGTGTATGTAATATATTATAGAATGTATAATGTCGTAAGTTGTGACGGATGCAATAGCGGTTCCCAGGCGCAGGCCTGACCAAATTTGACTGCGACTTTACTTTGTATCCGTTTGTAATATATTATGTGGATGCACATACAAACATGTAACAGTAATATTAAACCACAGATCCAGAAACTCTCTGTCTCTCATCTTCTCTCCCTATCTTTCTCGCTCTGTGTGCATATCTACAAACTACATAACTCGTTCTCTCTGTCCTCCTTCTATGACCACCGAACGAGATCCGCTCGTCCGTGAACGTCGTTTCTTGCAGCTCTGCTGTTCCGCGCTGTAAATGGATTTATTTCATTGTTCAAAATCACGATTCTATAACGTCTCTAATTAGCCATAGTCGAAGAAAGTGGGCAACGGAAAAGGAAGGACTCGACGATAAACTATAAAAAAAGAACGTGAATATTGGTCCCCAATTTTTCGATAATATTTTTACAAACTTGAGATTGTGTTTGAATAGTATTGCCCCCCCAGTAAAAAGCTCACGACTTTGACTTTTCCTGAATGTGAAAATTGGGAGACGTGAAAGAAGAGGCTGCTTTTATGGTTCGCTCGTTTCCAAGGAAGGACGAAATAAAGACATATTGGAAGTAAAATCGGTGTACACTACGTTGTGAGTGTTCGTTCCCGGAAAGCGCTCATAAATAATATCAGAGCATATATAAAATACATCGTAATTAGTTTTTTTTTAATGGAACCATCTCTCTTTCGTTGCTATTATTTTAATGGAAATTTGTGTAATGGACATTATGAATGTTTAATTAAACACGCGTCAGGGGAAGCAGCAAAAACAACAACACATTATTAGGACGTAAACAAGATGTTTAAAAAGTTCGTGAGCGTGCTGTTGTCGTAGACGACAAAAATTGATGGACGTTCGATGTTGAAATGTTTATTTGTAACTTTTGTTTTTGTTCGTCTCTTTTAAAGAGACGTCGATTCATGTCTTGCATTATTAATGAAGAGCGAGGGGCAGCTTAATACGAAATTTATAGGGTTCCGAGAGGCGCGCGGCGTCTAGTAGCGTAGGGCAGACGAAATCTTGTTCTTTTAATGATTTTTTTTATATAAAATGTACTTACTTTTGCTTTTAAAACTCAACTCTGTCTGTCCCACCCCAACACCTTTTCATAAAAAAAAAATCATTGCGTTTCTTCACATCTGTGAGCGAGGGAAAGAAAAGTTGAAGATCATTCCATCGGATCGGTGAGAAGAAGCAGAGAGAGAGTCTTTGGAAACTTTTCGAGCAAATCGCGTTTGCTACGTGTCAAATGTCAATTAGCTTCGATGAGAAAAGAGGAAGAAAAAAAGAAGAGAAATCACCCTGCTACTTTTGTTTTTACAATCTCGAGGTTGACTAAACTTTTGGTGTGTCGTCTTCTCCCATCGATCGCACAGAATTTTCGGAAAAGTCGATTATATTAAATTACCTTTGCTTGGAATGATATTATTAAACGACGTCAATATTACTTAAGGACGCAACACGCGGCAATTATTAATCATTACAATAAGTACACATAAGTGGGCAAACAAAAAAAGTAAATAATGTAGATGATGATTATGATAAACCCTATAAAAAAAAAATATTTGCAATTTTATTACATCCTTCCTTTTCTTGTCATATTGAGATGTAATACAGGAATTGCTGGTATTGCGTTTAAGGCTTATAATTCAATTATGCAGCGTTTCTGTCCGCTTAATGGAATTATTTAAAAGTTCCATCGTTCGCAAAAAGTTTCAACATTTAATTTAAAAACTCTTTTAAATTACAAATACAATTTTGTAATTGCATTTTCAAAGTGAAACTATTCATCTCTCTCTTCCTCATTTTCTCTCGCTGATTCGCTCTGCATTCTCCTCTAATTTCAATTAAACTTTTCCATACGATCATATAGTTTTGCGAAAGGAAGGAATAATGGGTGCAATGCTTTCGTCCTGTTTATGGTAGGGCGTAGATAATGTTGTTGAAATGAAAGTCAATAAAATGCAATGTGAAAAGCAAAACTTTGTCGACCGATGTTCCCAAAATACGATAATTGAAGTTCCAAGTGTGAAATACGATGAGTTTATTGGTTTATGATTTTTACGATGTCCATTTGTTCCGGGTCGTATTCCTAATATTTTTCTTTGCAACATATTCTCTTGGACGAGTTTGACCACAAGCCATTTACACTTTAAGCTAACTACAATAGGTTTTTAAATCGAAAATAAAAGAAAGACATCTGGATAAAGCGAAAGCAGATGTAAACTATATTTTCTGCTAAAAATGAACTCTAATATGCAAATATTCATTTGATGAAGGAAGAATAGACAAATATTTATTAAAATGAGTTCTTGTTGTTTGCAATTGAACCAATGTATTACCAAAATAATGTAATTGACTGTTGAAGTGTGAAAGAGAGGGACGATGATTTGAGTTTAAGGGTTTTACGGTTCTTGCGTTGTAAATTGGTTCCGGTGGGTAAAAATTTTTCTGCAATGGGGGTGGGCTGGTAATTGCGGGTGCCATAAATGACGTGCAACGGTCGTAAATTATATTTTATCTTTTTCAACTGCCTACCCCCACACCATCCCGTCGTTGACATCGCATCCCCCCACTAATGGTTCTTTTCCTCTTATTTTTTTGTCTGTTACTTTTGCAGGTTTCCAGTCGCCTGGATACGCAGATGGTAGAATGTGGTCTTCTTGAGGAGCGGAAAAACAGTCGACGCCGTAGACGAAGAATAAGAGGAGGAAGGAGAATAAAGTTTACGTCTAGCGCGGGGACATCCGAGTGATAAACATCAAGTAAAGATGGAAAGAAACATGTGTGCAGTGGACGTTGCAAAGTGCGATGAGGACGTGATGATGAGGTGGAGGTGTTGGTGGTGGTGCTGCAGCGGCCGCCGCCGGTGTCGGGGGACGAAACGCGAGACTGTTAATAGTAACTGTGATCCGTATGTTGATATTGTGGGTGGTGCAGCATCCACTGTCGGCGGAATTAGTAGTATTTGGTTAATGTTAAGAGTGGTAATCTTAAGTTTGTATTTAATGTTGCGCGTGTGCCTAAAGGTTTTCGCGGATGGTAGACCGTTCCGAGCGGTGACGAAGATTCTGCTCGTGGTGGCGGTTGCGTCGCGCGTTCAATGCTTCACCAACGAGTTTGAGAAGACGGAGCAGTTCCTGGACAAGATCAACCTGGAGCAGAGCATTGCCGCAGTTCTGCAGAAGGTCGCCTACGGGTCTACGACAAAGCGATCCATCCCGGACAACGCGTACCCTGTGACGACGTTGTCCACGCCATTGCTGACAACATATCGATACTCGGACGGTTCTGACGAGTACTTACGAGTCGACGTGAAGAGTCCAGAGAACAGGGATATACCCAGATCGAACTTTGATTACGATCAGGGCGGAGGAGGAGGAAGCGACGGCGACGGAGATGGTGGTGGTGACGGTGGCATCGGCTACGGATCTGATTTGGAGAAGGATCACGTGTTGCCGACTAGCGCGCCCGCCGCCGATATCCTGAAGAATAACAACAACAAACATTACGATAACCCGAACAGGTATAACAACGACAGGGCGAAGCCGCACTATGACTCCTATAATCCGGAGTCGGCCACGGAAAATGTTTACAAGATGACGACCACTTACAACGGCCTGCGGAACGTTCGGCCAACGAAGAGCATTTACAGCAAAGATGTTCCCAGCTACGTGCCGCCCAGCCGGGCATTCTTTACGCCGCCTCTGCCGCCTGATTATTTGAATCCGTTCGCGGATAAACCGACGCTACGCGGCACCAACTCAGACAGCTTCATCAATCGCCGCCCCATACCACCGCCTAGCCTAATGCCCAATAAGGATCGCATTCCCTTCAGGCCGGACCTCCCGCCCAGCAAAGTGATCAACATGGAACGAGGAGGTGGCGGAGGCGACAACAGTAACGGCGGTGGCAGGTCGCCAGGTAGCCTGGATCAGCACCAGCAGCATCCGCACCAACAAAATGGCAGGAATCAGAGTGCAATGGAGGATAAACCGAAGAAACACCTGAACACGCCCTCTCAGAACGTGAACATCGACCGGCTGGGCGATTTTTACGGTCTCAACAGACAACACAACGAAACGAGCTTTGAATACGAAAAGGGCTACATACCATCCATAACCAGGATTTTGAGCGGATCTAACGGCCGGCACGACGACATCCCAGATATTCTACTGCGAACAGTCACCGCCACACCCAACGTGCAGCACAAGCAGGAGAGGAAGCATCAGCAGCAACCTCCACAGATGCCGTCGCCGCCGCAGAGAACGCCTCCGATTCAGGAAACTAGAACCCCCGAAGTGAAAGAGACGATGGATAGAGGAGCGGGCATCATTCCCGCTGAGGAAATGACGCCGCCACAGCAGAGGCCAGCCGACCGATCGGAGAGTGTGACAGTGAAGAAGGAGACTCTAGAGCACGCCGAGACCAATTTGAACCTGGATCTTACAACGCAAAGTTCAGAATTTAACTTGCCCAACGTAAAAACAAAGAAGAACAATGTGACCAAGGCTTCGTCCGACGAGATCTGGTGCATCGCGTGGAACGTGCATGTTTACCTGGTCGTGTTCTGTTACATAGTGCTAGCCATTTTCTCCATATACAAACTGGTGCGCTACGAGAACGATCCTCACATGTTCAGCAAAAGCTACTTCCTGACCATACACCTCATGCTGACCGTCATCTGCGTGCTGCGCATCTTCTACCTCACTTATGACCCGTACAACGTAGACCGTTCATTCAATATATTTCTGTACGATTTCCTACATAATTTTCCGCTCAGTCTGCTGGCGACGACGTTCGCCATTCTTATCCTGTTTCTGCTGAAGCGCACACTGACACATCTGAAGGTTAAAACCAAGCCGCTGTTCCTGGTTATCTTCGGATTAATGCACATCTTGCTGTGCTTCGTAGTGAGCGTCGTCGAGACGATCGGGTACTTCGACAAGGGAGGCAGTCTGGATGTCTGCAAAACAGTGTTCGTGTTACTCGCTTGGGCGCTGGGAGGCAGCTATCTCTATCTCTATCGTATCATCAAGAATGTCCTGGCGAAAAAGAGTCAAAATCTGTCCGAGATGTGCACGCAGAACATCAGCTACGCCTCGCACATCACCATAGCAGTGGCCCTTCTGTTCATCCTGCTTGGTTCGGTGCAGATCTATGCTCTGTTCTGTATCAAGGTAGACCGCTTCAACTCTGAGATCAAGCACCACTGGATTCTGTGGTCTTTCGAGCTGTCCGTCCGCCTCATCGAGGTTTCTATCATCACGTTGCTGGCCATCGTTGTCAGCCTGAAGATGTCGCAGCGTGAGAAGCAGACGACCGGCTTCCCGCTGTTCCCATGCACCACAAGTGAGACGAGCTCCGACAACATGTACCCGAACAACTGCAACACCAACCCGAACGCACTCAATTACAGCAGACAGGAGATGGTGCTCGATAGTTTGCCCTCAGCGGAGACCATCGAAAGACCCAATCTGCTGAAAAACGCTGCTTTCCAGAACGAGTCTTTCGACAAGAAGTCGACGCTGGAACGTTATCGGCCGGGTAGCAACAGCAACAACAGCAATCACAGTAACAACTGCGAAGACTTTGATCGCTTTGAGAGACCGAAGTGGGGCAGCGAGAGATTCGAGAGGTCCTGCAACAACGATCCTAGGGAGCAGAGCAGTCTGAGCAGCTTTGAACGAAACTCGAACACTGCGTCGCGGAATTCCGCCCGCAAATACGACGCTGCCAAATACTACAAGCCCAAGTACGACATAGAACAGGAATACCAGAAGCAGCACCAACACCATCATCAGCAGCAACAGTTAGACTACGTAAGGGGCGGCGATGTCTGCCCTTCGGCCGGAAACAACGTGTACAGTGAACCGATCGACCAACAGCAAAACCAGTACGAGAGGACGCGGCACGAGTTCGAGAGATCAGACTTTGACAGGCGATCGCGGAATAGCAGCAACACATCCGGGAGGCGGTCAACAACCGGCCGCTCTCGCAAAAACAACCACCCCCGGCCGCATCTGGGCGTGCAGACATTGCCCAACCACGAACGACACCCAGCGACGACACCTCCGATCGGTGGCATAGGTGGTGGAGGAGGAACCGAAACGATGATTGTCGATGATCAGGGTTTCGTCCGCTTCAGGCACATGCAAGATCTCGAGTGCAATGACAGATCCAAGAGGCATAAGAAACAGAACAACGAGGTCAACCATTATTCAGACGCTTGAGCTAAGTAGAAACGAAAACAACGTTATTTAATACAAAACAAACAAACAAAAAAAAAACAAAATAATGAAGAGTTATTTGCTGCCGCCGCCCTCTTCTCATTCGTGTTTTTCTTGTTTTGCCTCGGAAAATGAATTCAAGTAATTTAAAAAAATCCATAATGATGAACGAAAAAGAGAAAAGATAAAAGTCAAGATCAATTAAATTTATTCTTAACGTCTCTCCGTCGTCAAAATTAATTCCAATTTGCAGAATTGATTGTATGTGTGAAACGGAAATAGTTAATCATCAATTTCAATTAGTTCAAATTAAGTAATATATTTGAGAGGATTCTTGTCAATTGCGGCGAACGCGCAATTTCGTTTTGCCCTGATAATTGTTATTGTTTCGACTGCCCGGAACTCTGTGGAACGAGAAAACGATATAGCTAAGCGCGACATTTATGAAATTAATTCGCATTACTAGTAAGTCTCTTTCTACTTAAGTAAAACAAAGCAAGAGAAGAAAAAATTTGACTGATTTATTTTATTTATTTTTTTTGAAGTATGGAGGAAGAGGGAGAATAGAAAAATGATTGCGCAACCATCCTTCATTAATTATAAGTATATAAATTTGAAAGGGAAAGGAAGCAATTGTTAAATCTCGGATTATCTTCACGTACATACGCAAACAGCTGTCTCTCGTTGTCATCGTCATATGAATATTTGATTAGTGTAATATACCGTCCCTGAATTATTATGAGTATGAGAGCGAGCGAGAAAAAAAGTGTGTGATAAAGAGATAGAAAGATAAAGATGAGTAAAGAAAAGCAGAAATTCGATCATCACCCCCCACATTTACACGCACACTTAACATCATCATTTATTTATCGTTAGTTATTAATTTCATTATGATTTTTGTGTACATAGATTTTTTTTTTAAATTTTATAATTTCTAACATTAATTAGCTGCAAATGTCCTGCCCTGTCCTCTTCCCATATTCCTCCGCTCCGTTTATTCTTTTCTATTCGATCTCTGATTGCGTGGGGCGATCTTTATGTGTAATAACCATCCCTACGATAAAACCTGTTGTATAATTTCGAAATCCTTGCCAATAATTAATTTGTATATTTTTTTTATCGTGATCGATCCACGTATATTTTCTAATGGCCACTAAGAAATCCATTTTCATCCTTGCACCGCCAAAGAAATGCGGAGAACCTATTATATTTACGTATATAAATATACACAAATTATATTTTTGTTTATTAATTAATTAATTAATTATTATTATTTATCCTCTTCGTAAATAAAGACTGATTTAATTTTAATTTAGTAATTTTTACTATATACATAGCCATAGTATTATTATTTTGTATTTAAATCAAAAAGTTTCTTGCAAGTACCTCAAAATCAATTCCGCAATTTCATAATCTTCGTCCGTGCAAGGAAGAAAAAGAAAAACACCGATATCCTTATATACCCTCATGTAAATACAACTTAATTTTGAATATATTTATAAACTATTTACTCCCTGATTATTTTATTATTATTTTTTTTCGTTAATCATTTAAGTTAATCATTTTTGTGCAGTATTATTTCACGATTATTTTTTCTTTGTTTCGTTAAACATCTAAATATAATTTAATTTAATTAACTACACCCTCAGTATTGAAAAGGAAGAGCAGCACTTTCATCCCGAATTTATATATTTTTATCCCATACCCGTATATACATTGAATATTTTAATTTTTTTTTTTCAATAAATTATTATTTATTTTTTTCTCGTTTATGTAAATTTTCCACAACGAATTAATTTGTCTAAGTAATGTATTTCATAGAGTGAACACATTCCTAAACTTGGTTTTCATTTTTGTGTAACCCACAAATAATCAAGAGAACGTACTCTTGTTTTTATTTAATGATGATTTTTGTTCTTTTGTTTTTAATTCCGCCGACGTACTTACTGTTTATTTTGTATTTTTGAAAGCTTTATTTTTGCATATATATATATATTTGCATAGTTTCAACTATGATTAATTAATATATATATATGAGTGTATGTATATCCTTTTGCCAGTATATATTTTTTGTTTTATAAACCTTTAACACTATTAAATTTATAAGGTCTCTTTTCATCATCCCTCAATTTACTTAAAACCCGCTGTGTTAACTTTGTTGGACGGTGAAAAGACGCCCCCACGAACTGTGTAAAAAATAAATAGACTTTTAACTATATATATTAAGTGAAAAAAAAAAGAAAGAAGAGAAAAGTTGAGATTGATGAGAGGAATGCGAAGTTTGCATATTAGACATTAATTGTGAGAGCCGGTTTCCCCCGATTTGTTTCTATTATATTTTTTTTCTCTAAATATTTATATATATATATATATGTGTACATTTCCTTACAGAAAACTATTACATTGTTTTGTTTCTTTCGCATTTTGGAAATGACGAATAGTTTTCGGAGCGAAAACCCCGTAAAGAAAATGAAGATTTAAACATTGAAAAAGAAAAGAATGTATATTTATTATATTATATAATTGTACTGTTCGTCGTTCTTTTGATCGCACGGCGCGAGAAAGAAAAAAAAAACTATTGAATACCAGTAATTTTCGACAAAAAAAATAAATATGAAATGAAAACTGTATGATATTATTGTAATATATATAAGCCAATGGATATGTAAAGATAAAAAAATCGAAAAGTCAGCAGCGTTGTTTCATTTGTTAACCTTCTTACGCCCTTCCTCTACTTTAACAAAGTTTGGGTTAACGGTGTTTATTTTTTTGACTGTGAAGGGCTACAGTCGATGAAGAACATGTCTAAGGAGTTCAATTGTCTCGTAGTGTGTTGCAAAGTGGCGACAACGTATGAAGAAGGCTAATACTTCGTTGTCAATCATAGACCTCTGGTAATTAACGATAAGTACCCAAATAGTACGTGGTTGACGGAAAAATCGGCACGCAATCGGCAGTAATTATGGTAAGTAATATTGGGAGTTCCTTTTTGAATGCGAAGCATTCCACTAAAGTCACGAACGGGGCAACATGTACAAGATTAGAAAAAAAAACATCTCTTGACATGCTACTCGAATAAACGTTCGTTCTTCATTTACATCCAGACGTTGCAGCGCAATGTTTGGCCATGTTTCGTGATTAGTCAATTACTAAAGGTGATTGAAATTTATGTGAGATTTTGACGATGATGAATTCAGCGTAACGAAAGGGAAAATCTGGAATAACATTGTCGAAATGTTGATTCTTGTATCTTGTTTGGGATGCTGCGTGCACGATTTTTACCGTTATTGGAAAGTTACCAACGAAAAAAAATAAGATGTAAGCTATGAAGCGGAGAAAGTCGTGCATCGAGATGCTGGGAAGAGGAGGAGGTCGTCGCAGAAGCGGGATCTACGCTTATCTACGTAACGAAATATTCGTGTGCGTGCAATTAATGTTTATTTCTCTTTCATCTTCATATATTTTTCATCTAGCTTTGGGTGCGTCGGATTTTGAAATATCCGTTGCACAATCGAATGTTGGTAACGCGTTTTTCAAAAGTCAACAGGACTAATGACGCGACGTTGGTAACATAAAAGCGTGATTGAAACGGACGCTCAAAGAGAGAGAGAGAGAAAGAATAAGTGAGCTTTTCCTCCCATGATGCTCTGCGGATCTCGTGAGTTACGACGTACGCATTCGCACTGCAATGGCTTAAGTTGGAGAGAGACGGGACGATTCGAAGCGAGTCTTAGCCGTTGACACAGTTAGTCCAGGTAGTGACAGTTCGAGCAGCGAAGCGTCAGTGGAAAATATAAAGTCTAACAAAAACAAAAAAAAAAGGAATACGCGACGCGTCTAGTGTTTGTTTGCAGCGCAGTGCATGGAATTGTCCCGAGGAACGACGAATTGCCTCCAACTGAGAGAGGATGTACATGATTATGGTTTTATCCGGAATATGAAAGTTTGACCACCACGAAGCACCTTCGTACGACGTAACGCAGCGAGCAGCGTAGAAGAATTTTAGACCAAAAAATGCCAGCGTCCATTGGTGTTAACCTCCGTGTGACGGGACACTGCAGACAAGGAGGTAAGAACGAACGAAACGAATCCAATCACTGATATTAACAAACAACTGCACTAAACAGACAGCAGATTGTCCTTCTTTTTTCACCTTTGGTAGGAATTCAAAAATTTAAGGTTATAAATTTTGATGTCCTGCGCCACACATATTCCGACACCCCCACCCTAACCCAGCACTACAAAACAATGTACTCAAACAAATGTTATTTTCTATTGTTTTTGTTTCTTTTTTTTCTTAGGAAGAAAGTATATGGAAGATTTTTTCTCTGTCGCATATCAGCAGACAGAGGATGAAAAGGACCTTGAGTATGCCTTCTTTGGTATATTTGATGGACATGGAGGAGCCGAGGCTGCAGCATTTGCCAAGGAGCATCTGATGGAGTCCATTGTCAAGCACAGAGGTTTTTGGTCAGACGATGATGAGGAGGTTTTGCATAGCATCAAGGATGGTTTTATACACACGCACTACTCAATGTGGAAGATACATGGTTTGTTTTGCATCATATTTATTGATAGACTTAGGAGCATATTTCTAATGAAATTATTGCAGATCAATGGCCAAAGACCGCTTCCGGACTGCCGAGTACCGCTGGAACGACAGCAAGTGTAGCGTTTATACGTAGGGGGAAGATCTATATTGGACATGTGGGAGATTCAGGAATAACGTTGGGATACCAAGATCCCGGCTGTCCAGACTGGAAGTCTAAACCTTTAACCAAAGATCACAAGCCGGAGAGCGAGGCAGAGATGAAGCGCATCGAACAGTCAGGTGGCAAGGTTCTATCGAAATCAGGTAAAACAAACAGCACGATATTTGCTTGATTACGGGATGTACTAATTTGTACGTGTTGCAGGTGTGCCTCGAGTTGTATGGAATAGACCAAGGATAGGACACAAAGGTCCGGTACGGCGTTCCACGCCAATAGACGAAATCCCCTTCTTGGCGGTTGCTCGCAGTTTGGGCGATCTATGGTCATATAATTCTGCTTTGGATGAATTCGTCGTCTCGCCGACGCCGGATGTGGCCGTCATACCCATAGACACTTCAACCTTCCGGTGCTTGATCTTCGGCACGGACGGCCTCTACAACATGCTTAGTCCACAAATGGCTGTACATATCGTACAGCAGGCGGAGAAGCACAACGAGCAGGCAGCCCTCAGCGATGGCCCAAACAAAATATGGATCAATCCCTCCAAGTGTCTCGTTGAGAAAGCCTTAGACAGGTTAGTTTGTTGTTTTTCTCCACAGCAGAAACATATATTATTTACACACTCTAATTGTGTGTATGTGAAATTGTAAGAAATCGAATTTCAGATTTGTGTGATAGCGATTAGAATTTAAATTATTGAATTAACGCTGAAAAAATAGTGAAATAACTGTGATCTAATTACTGGTTTCTTTTGGAAGCGAATGTTTCTGTAGGTTTGCAAAAATGTTTCACATCGATTAGTATGAATTTTATTATTTTTTTGCAGATGGTGCAACACAAAAATGCGCGCTGATAATACGTCTGTGATTACGCTGATGCTGGACCCGCGTGGACCACCCCGGGCTCAAGTTCTGCTCAACAAAAAGAACTCTTACTCGTCGAGGGGTCTGCAGATAGAGACTCGATACCAGGATGCAAATCCTGCAATAGTACAAGAGCAGGTGGCGCAGGATGTGCCGGAACCGATGAAGAAAAATATGTCGCCCGACAAAGACGACCTCCGAGACGTTGAACAAACTGATCTCTCAAAATTGTCGGCGCCCATAGTGGAAGAAGTGGACAAGGAATTTGTACCGAAACCCAGGGAGAGCATTGCGTTCAACACGCGACCAAAGCCGTCCGACGAAGATGATGCGTCGACGGTTGCTACGGGTCAGTCTAGTGATATACAGATAAACGAGGTGAGCTCCAGCAGTCTGGACGTTCTTCCTGGTGGCAGGGATGCCGCAGCCGAACGAGCCGCAGTTCGAAAGAGCGGTCTTCGAAGTGCATCCAACAGAGACGAGATAACTAGCAGCCGCGGCAAAAAATGTCCACCTCCACCCTGCCCATCCTCCGGCGGTGCCGAGTGCAGAGTGCTGAGAGAACGAAAGAACACACCAAACGATAAGAACCCTATGCAAAAGAAAAAGTTCAACAATATTCGCAACAAATTGAACATCGGCACGAGCGAGAAAAGGAAGCTGCTACAAAGTGTGCTTTTCAAGTCGAAAGGTATGATGCGACGTATTAATGTCGACGCAAATGCTAACCGCAATCCATTTTCTAGATCCGCCTGTGAAATTGAGGTCCTCCTCATCGTTGATGACGCCGAGTTGCAGCGAGAGCGCACCGAAGAAAACCAAAGAGATTCTGACGCGGGTGCTAAGGAACAACAACGGAACGGAGAAGAAAAGCGAAGGTCCCTCGTCTGCGTCGACAGCATCGAAGTCGTCGAATGGTCCGCAACACACGTCGACGCCGGCCGTTGCTTCATCTTCCAGGAAGACGGCGGAACGGGAGGTACGAAAGTCGACGCTCGCCCAGAAGCTGCGCATGCACCAGGAGATATTCAAGGCGAAGCTCCGAGGGCGTCCTACGGTAGCGCAGTCGAGAAAGTCGACCAAAGACAAGGTTATACGAGTCAAGAAGTCCGCGAAGCGTAGCTAAAGTTCTTACCTTTTGACACCCTCCTACTACCAATTCCGCTCGTTTGCCTCCCCACATTTCGTTACCTTCTTGTTATTATTAATAAGTAATATTCGTGTCGTATCCAATTTAATGCGATCCCCGATTTTCTTTTTCTTTCTTTATGAAATTCAGCATATATTTATTTATTGTAAATATTTTTAATAATGATTATTTTCTTTTAACCCTTTTTAGTATATATTATATACATAATTTATAATAACAAAACAATAGTTGATTCATTTGGTGGAGTCTTGTGAATCCGTGTGATTTTTTTAAAATTTTAATTTAAATTCAATGAAAACCATACAAAACTTGTTATATATATATTTAAAAAAAAGAGAATATATTTATACACGTGACGCATATATACCTATGAATATATATTTATGAATATATATGTATGTATATAGCTAGATCTATGTGCCTTTTGCCCTCACAAATTGAAAAGAGTTTTCGGCATGTAAATATATGTGTGTGTGTTGTACGGAGATGTTGTTTATATCTTGATTTTTGTTATCAAATACATTATTATATTTATATATAGAATTATATACATATATTAATATATTTAATTGAAAAAAAAAACCGAAAAGCAAATGTAATAATATTAAAGTTATAAGGAAGATATTTTAGAATCACATGAAGATTATTTTCTTAAAGATATAGATTTTTTATTGATTAAATAATGTAAATTATTCGTTGTTTCATTCTACATTTATTCTATAATTTAGTCACTATATAATTGCATACGAGACAGTGTTGAACAATATAATTTTCATGGAGTATTGAAAGTCAATGTTGGAACTTCGTTGCCTTCCATGCATTCATCTTTAACACACAATACAAATCTAACTATATATTTAGTATTATTTGTATTGTAAGTAATATCTAGAATTTGAGGAAATGATGTTATGTTAAGCTGGTCCCCTCCGCGTATCCATTGAGTGTTTTGATATTGAAAGTTATATGAATCCGGTTTTTTGCGTCCTTCGTACATATCAGGATTAAATATTAGTTCACATGAATAGTCAGAACAGGGGCTGTGTACACGGGGTGCTTCCTTTAAGTAAGGTAAATCGGCTAAAATAAGCAATAAATTAAATGTTTATTATCTTTTTAAGTCATCATCGATGTGATTTACTCTCATTGCAGAATGGTTCGACGTAATACTTTTCACATCCATTTAAACAGTGACCGTTAATATGATGACATCGTTCATTGTCCTTGCATTTTCCACATTTCTGAGCGCACTCAAATCCAAATCCTTCTTCGCAATCTTAAACGAACAAATGAAAGTTAATATTACTACCTTGCAATTAATTATGATTATTATTATCATCATAAAAAGAGTACCAAAGGAGCAATATTTTTCGTAGAATCCAGGTTGGCAGTAGCATTTGTTAATCTCGTCGCAGGTCATCGTTTTCAAGCAAACATCCGTATCAAAGACTGATTTACATTTGATGCAATCATATCCGAATTCATCGACTGAACAGGCGCTATCTACGAACGACAATAACAATTACGAAAAAATTCAATCATTGATAGCAGTGCGCAATGCAGACCTATAGTCCCATTAAATTCATCCATTTTAACTAATTCATTTGGATTATTTAAAGATTCGCAAGAAACTAGTTGCAAATCATCGATTTTAACGTCAGTGCTGATTTTGTTGATGCCGCTCTCGCAATCTGAATTCAGTTTGAGGTGACTGAAAAGAATATCTTTTTCATGTCTATATTTTATCCAAAATGTGAAGAAACGATTTGCAGTACGTCCATTCACCGATGCTTCCATTTTGATTAATTTCCAGCTCATCTGAAATAAACATAAATTTCATATTCGAATTGGAATCATAATGGATTACAATTATTATATTATACTTTATCATTCTCGAATGTCTGCTGTTTGTAGATGTTTGAATCCAGTCTCAACTCGACTGTTAATTTGTGCTCGAAATAAAAATATGCGGACAAACACAACTTGCCGTCTCGAGGTCGCACCATTTCAACGAACATAGTTTCAGACAAATTGAAAATAGTTCTGTAATAATTGTCTAAAAACGAAGAGCATTCTAAAAAATAGTTTCTAAGCATACATCAGTAGGAAATTAATTGTTACATGAGTGCAGTTTCCAGATTGCGCCTTCCTCTGATTGCATATCAACTTGATCGATAGCAAAGAAATTGTTTGTATCTTCGACCACTACAATGTTTCCGTTCTGTATCATCAAATATTGCTTAGTCTGCGCATCGTATCTTATGGTAAAGTGATTCCAACCATCTAAAGACAATATAAACTGCTATTCTCAAAAAAAAAATTATTTAATATTTAACAATTTGCACCTAAATTTTTTTCTACTTTTTTCACTATGAATCCTTTATAAAAGTATATGGTAAGTGCATCGGTCTTAAACGATAAAGTTTGCAATAAAGTTCGATTGAAAGAAAAGGAAATTTCGGCATCATCCTGGTATTTTATGGAAAATGAGAATTCAAAGTAGATTTTCAGTGGGCGCGTAAGGTCTATTGACTCTTTGTTCATATTCCTGGTCATAAATGTATTAAAAACTAAAAGAAAGATTCGTTAACGATGTGGTTCGACGTATAATTGCACAAATGAACTTTGCCATCGTGGATCCAGAATTGGACCTGTGAACGTATGGTGATTTGATTCGAGTTGCCAATGATTTGGTACGAAGATCATTCTATCATCATATTTATCATCTATCACAAAGATATAATTGTGTTGTTATAAAATATTAATTAATATTATAGAATAAAATATAATTAACTAATCTTACCGCAATTTTCGTAATATGATTCATCGTATGGTGTCGTCCAGGTCAATGTTTGACTTTCGTTAGTTGTAACACAATGGGATTTCATTATATGCGAAGAATGTTCAATCTGAGTAACAATTGTTATTCTTGCGGAAGACTGCAGAATAAAACTTGAGCAGAGCAAAAGAATCGTTCCAACATTAAACGTTTCCATTGTAGAAGTAAATGTTAAATGCGATGAAACTGATAAATAGTTAATTAATCTCTTTCATAAAATGATTAAATATTTTGTTATTTTGAACATGTTTGTTTAAACTTGGTAATATTTATAATTAAGGTTTCAAAATAAATCTTATCATTTATTAATAGACATATATATTTATAATATACTCTTTCTTTATCGACGAAACATACACAAATATATATATATATATATTTAATATTTATTACATTTCAATAATTATGCTATGCACTATATATTGGTAATAACGTATTAAAGGTTTTTCTTTAATTATTTTATATATATAGTGGGGAGGGTGGTAGGGGTGTTCAATAAAGAGGTGCCGCGTTTGGCAAATTTTCTCTTTCAAATAACAACACTTACTAAATGTATGGAACGACCGTTGTGTGCAATCAATCGTCGCAGAACTAATTCTGAACGCGCGATCTGCATTTGTTCCACGTCTTCTTGTATAATTCACCTAAAATGACTAGAAAAATTGAGCTCTATTCTGCGTCATCGCGATTTTTTTCCATATACATATATATATTAATTCAAGATGAGATTTATTTCGTTCCCGTTCCGCAGAAGAGGCGAGAACAAAAGTTTTAATTCCGTTTCACCCTGTATTTGTGTTTCATATATATATATATATTTTATAAATATATCAATGTATATATAATTGTTTCAGTTTCTTTCGTCATCGACGAAATAAAATTTGGCAAAAAGAAAAAACAATTCGTTAAAACTTATTACAAATATGGAAGATTGTGTTTCGAATTTCGGTTCTCATCAGTTGTTATTGTTATTAGTGTTTCGTATCATTGCGGTTATCATCTACTTTGACACTTGATCGGATCTGTCGACTGTCACGTAGACAGGTTTATAGAGAACTATCGGCTCCCTGCAAAAAGAAAAACAGGTGAGAATAATTTAATGTCAAAGTACGGTTTTTGAGAATAGTCCACTTTACCTCGTTTGATGGTCGTTACCATCGTAAACCTGACCGAGCAGGAATTCGGGCCCGATGTATTGACCACCCTCGACGTGGGCAGCGGCGTGCTCTACAATTGCAAATAATCGCAATCAATGTTTCACATACAAACTGCAAACCTTATTAAAAATTGACGAATGGTTGATTACCGTATCTGACGCTTGGGGTTTTGTTCGTGTTGGGTATCCGAAAAGGCACTGTAGCTACGGTAATTGGGAAACTGAGCTGGACCAGGTCCGTTTCCTTGGTCGAATCCAAGCTGACCTACAAGACAACAAATGAAGCGATGTAATGATGATCATCGTTTTTTGTACATACTGTAAGAACGTAGTAGATCTGTGCCAGACGGCAGATGCCGACAAGGGTCGTCGGCATCGGCGGTATGACGAGACTACTCTGACTGTCCCATTTGGTACGAGAGTTCGGTTTCACCTGGCTTCCCCTAGACAGACACATCAATTTCATTCAGTTGTTATTATTTCAGGTGAACGAGACGACACACGTACCTGTATTCGAAAACCAGATGCTTCAAGTCTTTGCTGACGCCAAGGACTCCTCTGTCGATGAAGAACTCGCAGCACTGTTCGAGCCTGACCCTCAGCGATACCTCCTCCTGTCCTTGGTTGTCTATGGTCGCCTTCAGCTTGACGCTTTCACGACAAACGTATGCCGATCGCTCCAAAACGCACCGCAGACTCAAAGTTCCCTTCTTGCAGCACCAGCAACATAAGCTCCTCCTGTCCTCCATCACAGCAGGTTTCTGCAAGCAATTCACCCACAAGATATGTGTCATGAAAGGCAATGTTCGAATACCGGAGTATTATTGTTCGCAATCTATGTACTACCAAGTATTGTTCGTCCATGCAATCGATGTGTGGCCCGACGACCGTGAAGTACTTCATCCCCTGGGGAGGACTGGCATATGGTATGTCCACTGTAACCTTAATGTAGTACCGGATGCAGCAGGGTTTGCTTTCGAAGGAACACGGCAAGTTCGACTCGGGCAGCGTGAATCTGTTGTAAAGACATAATACAGATTTGCAACAGTTTGATCACGAGTAAAAGTTAATCTGAAGCCATTCATTACTTGAAAGGGAACTTGTGCAATCCGCGCGGCAGAATCGGTATGGTCGTGTCCACGTTCTTCTCGCCCCAAATGACGAGTCTATCGTCTATAAAGTACTGATCGTCCTTCACCTAGAAGAATAGATCAAGGGAATAGCTAACATTTTATGCAGACGAAGCGAAGGATGTTTTCAATTACCGTCCTCCTATCGCCGGACAACATGACCTTCCATTCCACGTGCGCTTTCCCGCGCAAAATCACACGGATCGCTGAAACAGAACAAAAGGTGTCCACCCTTTTCAATATTCAAAAAACCGAACAACTCGCGATATTTTTTTTGAATAATTATCGCACTGTTTGAAATCTATGTGGGGATACATTTGCATTGAGCAAGATTGATACTAAATAAATGTAGACAATTATAATCATGCTTATTATAATGATAGTAATATGGATGAAGGGCGGGTCGGTATGATGATAAGAAACTGAAACTAACTGCGCAATTTGAAATTCTCCACGGTGTCCAAGATGACCGTCCCGTTCATCTGCTCTCCTGCATAATAGAACTCCTTGTCCAGTCTGATATCGAACTCCCTGATATAATCCATTACTCTATATCTATCTCTCGCCCACTTCCTGTATTCGCGCCCTTTTCTCACCCTGTGGAAGACTCAATTTCTCTCTCTCTCTGGTCCACTCTCACTCACTGCATAATCGTTCTTTTTCGCATCCCTCTATGACGACCTCTTCGTTTCGTCGTCGTCTTCTTTGCAACGGTCTTCTTCTGTAAAGAAGAAGGAAATAGTGTCCAACCCACTTTTTCCGCGCTGCACGTTTGCACCATCGGCGACGGCGTGGTGGAGGAAACTCGCCCAGTCAGCTGTTTTTCCCTTAGGAACAATTGCAAGAGTCGGAACGAAGCGCACGTCTCGATCAATACTTCCGGGCATACCACCCGTCGTCCATCTAACTTATCTTATCTACAATTATATTTTAACACCCACGCGATTACGAAAAGACACACAATCCGACAAACGGATTATCAAAACCTCGGATAGAATTTAATCCAAACACAATTAAATTTTAAAATATAATGCATAAAGAAAAATACCAACATTAATTGTGTTTTTGAAATATTTCAAATTTGAAAATTGTCTCAGATTTAAATGATTCAATATTTGAAATACGATTGTTAGAGAAATGTTGAAACATTGCATATTTTTATCAAGTACTTTGTTCTTTTTTTTACAAATTTATAAGAAACTTTACTGTTTTAGTTGAAAAGGATGAGGACTCAAAAGGTTTTCAATAATAATAGACTAATGATAATGTAATATTATATTATATATAATCCTAGCTAAATAGTCCGATTAAAAAAATATATAATATATTTAATAAAAAAAAAGATCATAATAATAATTATTAATAATAAAAAAAGGAAATCACAAATAGTAATGGTAATGTAATAATTAAAAAAAAAAGTAGTGATGAAAGGTTAGTGAAAATTAAAAAAAAATGAATAAAATAAACGGAATAAAATTAAAAGCTCGATAAGGAAGACCACATCTCATCATCGATTGTCTCTCTTTATCTGCGACTCCGCGGATGGAGACCGCGAACGAATTTAAGTGGTAGATTACATACATATAAATAGGACAGTTGAGTTGGTTAAGACCATATCTTTCGACAAAATATACATATCGAACAACAAAATGATGCCACGCCGGTTGGCAACTGCGGATAATTTTTTTTTTAAATAATAAAGTTTGAGAAACGCGGATCTACAATTCAGATCAAAAAATAATATTTATATGATGTATATATAATTAAGTTAGAAGCCTTCGATTTTCATAGTTCTATATTAATCGAATCAACGATTGATCTTGTCCGAATGGGCGAAGGATATTAAGTACCTTTGTTTGCTCAAAGTGTTCAGTCCCTTCGTGTTCGTCGTCGTTTCGTTGCACTCGTCGCCTCTGTTAAAATCAGATTCGAAAAAAAAAGGGGGGGTTAGTTGTTCTAACGAGGATTGGGTTTTGGTTGTTTAATAGTTGTTACTTTTGTTTGTTTCTTTCATATCTTGGGTTTCGGGAATAGGAATAAATACTAATATAGTCTTAAGCCACGGAGGCGTTCCATTTCTCCTTGTGCTGCTCCAATCCGAAGGCTGTGTCGTAATTCCCTTTGGTGATGAATAGCCTCTTGAAGTGCGGGGTGCAGTACAGCAGACCCTGATTGTACGAGTACGAGTCCATCCTGAGCACATCAACAACATCGGTTAACAATGAATAAAGAAGAAAATATTATTAATATGCGAACTCTTCTTACCTCAGAATCGAATGGCACTCCATGCACTTGAAACACTTCTTGTGGTAGATGGCCCCGTGCACGGAGATCTTCTCCAAGGGGTACACCTTCATCTTACAGTCCTGGCAGTACTCCAACGAGCTAGTCGTGTCCTAAATTCGCATCCATAAATTCCACAAACCGATTGATTAACAATAACGGACAAAGAGAGATAGACAAACGGGCGAACAATGAATAAGAGAAAGAAAATTAGAGATTCTTGCAGCTTGCGCAACATGTATGCATGAGTTGTGTGGTTCCGTAAGAAAACAATTGATGGTGATGAACGATCCCTTACGTTTCAAACTAAATTCGCACCGTGATTGAGGTTCTTGCAATACGTTCTTTTATTATTATTTTTTTTCAAATTTTATTCACTGCGTTGGTCACAATCAAACCTTCTTCGATTTGAATTCTCTCTGCTTACATAAATCTTTACAAATCGATGACTGTCGAAGAGGGAAGGAATTGGCAGTCACATATACAAGAGATTCACTATACGTGTACTATATGTATATATATAATATATAATAGATGAGCCGAATGCGTTTCTTCCTTTTCTTCTTCGTCGAAACGCATACGATAAAAATTCTAAAAAAATTCGCACCCCCCACGATTTCTTTCGATCGGCGCCAAAAATCGTGGAGCGTTTCACAATTTAAAAAAAAAATCTGCTGGAAAGACACCAACAACAACAACAAATATAACAGTCGAAATATCTTGGATGAATAAAGAACAACAACAAAAAAAGTAATAAATAAATAAAAGAACTTGCAGTTAAAATTTATATAAACGTAAAATACAGGGGAGTTGTTAATAATTAAGAGAAAAAGAGAAACAAAAATAAGTTTTAAAAATTCAACGGCAATTTGTGGTGATCAAACGTTGGACCAAAGAAATGCAGATCCTCAATTATAATTTAGCCGATCAATATTGAATGAACGCGGCCAATTAAATTAACGCTGCGAATCGAACATTCGTTTAATCTAATTTTTCCTTTTTTTTGTTTTTGTTTTCTATCACAATTTATCCCATTCGCGATCCAACATGAGAGTGTTCGAACATTTAATCACCAATTTTTCATAAATATCATAATGCAAATATATATATATATGTATATAAAAATCAATGAAATTAACAAATATAAATCTAATAATCGTGTGTTAAGACAATACATCGTTATGTATACATTATTTATATATATTATATATATATTTATGTATAATTTTAGAGCCACGGGTCGATATAATATTTCTTTTTAATTTTCATCTTTCGTGAAAGCATGGCTGGCTAGAAAATATTTAGTTACAAAATAATATGCTATATACACATCGTTAAAAAATCTTAATTATATATTATAAAAGTCGAGAAGAAAGAAAAACAAAGAATAAAATAACTTGTACAATTCCTCAAAATGATTGCTTTTCTTTTTTTTTATTACTCTGTCCTTACGCACAAGTCGTGTATTTTTTTCTCTCCATGTGACGACATCGATGTGACAAAACATGTGTGTTTTCGGTAAAGAGCGAAATCGAAAAGGAAGATGGCCGTTTTATCGATGGTTTCGAGCTGAGATAGTCGAGGGTGAGTTGAAGTTGGCAAGATGATGATCGATTTTTAATTTTTTTTGTGCTTTTGTTTCGTTTTGTTTGCGTTTTTGTTTTGTTCTTTTTTTTTGTTTGTTTTACTGCAAAGAGGAGACAAGAGTTGCGTGAGAAGACATCTACTAAATAGAAGATATTAAGACATTTAAATTAATATTAAAAAAAAGAGAAAGAAAAACGAAATCGCCCACACGCTTAATCGCAGCCATAAAACAACAATTAATTATAATAATGGTTAACAAATAAAACTTAAATAATAATTCAGCCAATGTAAATCATAATGATTAATTAATAATAGCCCAAATAATATCATCAAAGAACAAACAATAATAATAAAATAAAGATAATGGTAATTAGTGCAAATTAAAGGTAAATATTGCGTATAATTTGGATAACGTTGATCGTAACTATATTAGTGAACGCTACAAAAGTTCATGCGTTTTTTTATTATTCACTTCGTCTATGTATTTATTTTATGTATCTGCATGATACGTTGTACTGTACTGTTTTTTTTATAATGGATTTACCAAAATTAGTGCCAAAATAATAAGAAATCGTAAATTAAAAAAATAATAATAAAATCACACAACAAATACACACAAGTGGTCCACATGCATTGAATTTGGAACGGGTTATGGATAAATAGGAAGATGATATGCTTTTTGAAAACTCACCACGAAACGGTTGACCTTTACGCGCGGAGCCTTGCTCTCGTCCTTGGAAGTATCCCGCATGGATTCGAATCTGGCCCTCAATCTGCAAGACAGATAACGAAGAAGTATAATTGATGTTGTGATCACGATGAATTAAATACTTACGACTTGGTCGATTCGACCTGAGACTGCTCCTCGCCCAGTTCCTCTGCCAAATTGATGGAGCTCATGTTTTGCTCGCGCTTGATCTCGTTGGCTTCCCATTTCTCGAATTTAGCCCTCAGCTGCTTCGCCCTGGCAGCCTTCTGCGCCTCCAAAAGATCTTCATCTGCCACTTTGCCACCGTTATCCACATCGTCCTCCTCTTCGTCAGATTCCTCCTCACTTCCAGAAACATCCTCAGATTCTGATTCTGACCTGATAGGTTCCGGCGGCGGAGTAAACCTCTTCAACGGCTTTGGACCTAATACAAAACAATCAAATATTAAGTTTGTTTTTTTTAAATTTCCAATAAATAATCAAATATAGAAAATGTATAATTTGAAACGTTACGGTTCTTAGCAAATTCTTGAATTTATATTGTATGTAAATGCTTCGATTTATTCGTATCCGGCCCCAAATATAAAAGAGAGAGGAACTCTAATTTTTTTAATTAATTAATTAAAACGAAAAGGAGTGTACAGTTTCACGTTAGTAATATCTGTGATTCCGTTATTCAGTTTATGACCTATATACAAGTAATTGCAAAGTCAAGTTAATTGACATGCAAAAACGTACCTAGTGGAACTTGATCCTTGCTAAGATCCTCCTCCATCTGTCGGAATTTGTTCAGCATCTTCTTGGCAGTCTGCGTCTGCTTGGCAACAACCGAATCCTCTACCTGCTCCTCGGATCGCACTACGTCCGGATCCCTGTAAACCTCACGGTCCGGACTGTCGATCTGCAAGATTTACAAAGAGTGAGTGAGGGAATACTTAAAAGATAAGAAGCACACAAACAAATAAAAATAGATAGATGAAGAATAATAGAGAGACACACAATATGTAAAAGCATTCAACCAACAACAGTGTAGCAGCAGTCTAATCTAGAGAAAACGTTTGTTTTTCCTTAATATTATTATTAATTTTGATGTTAGGCATTATTTCATAAAACAACCAAAAAGAACAAAAAAAAATAGAGTTAATTTGTTTGTTTTTTGTTTTGTTTGTGAACACGTTTGTTGTGACCTTCACTTGTCCGTCGCGCGGCGGCGTGATTCTAAATTGCTTCCTTTGCTGTTCCGGTTCCCTGTAGGTCTCAAAGAACTTGAAACGCTGTTGAATGTCCGCCGTTTGCACGGTCACGTCTTCCACGGCCTCTGTCGATTTCACCACTTCTTCCGAGGTTTCCCGTTGCAAAAATACCTACCCATTGCATATTTACATTTTTACTACATTTATTTATATTTATTTCTTTATTTTTGCACCTCGACACATTGCACATATTATATACCATTGATGAGGTTTTGATAGTTGCTATTCACATAAACTTTAACGCAATACAAATCATCATCATTGGTCTGACATGGGCTGACTGTTAAGCTATGAACAGCAGCATAAATTTTACCAATTCTGATGAAATGGAAATCGTAAACTATGCGTATTCTTTTTTTTTTACACTTTAAAGTATAATTCTTGTATAGCAATCAACCTGTTAATGTAAATATATATGAAACTGGAGTAGCACAGGTGGCGGGAGGTGCAAGTGCGTTTAGTTAATGAGTATAATTACCTCGCGTCCTTTACGCTCGTTGGATTTGGTGGGCGAAAGTGGGGAAAGCTGCGGCGCTTTGGAGGCGTTCGCATCGAGTTCGAGGAAGATGGAACGTGACTTCTTGCTGATGCCGCTCTCGAAGACGGACATGTCTTCGCCGTCCTGCTTATCCTTGGAGTCGGCGGATTGCAGCTGACCCTTCTCGAAGCGCTCCTTAAGAGAGCGAGTATCCGTCACCTCGATAGTCTCTGTCTTCTTCACGTTGGCACCCATCTCCGAATCCATGACTGCCTGCTGGTAGGCTTCCTTCATCTTACCCTGTTTTCCCTGAGAAGACAAATAAAAAGAGAGGAATATAATCATAGATTGGTCAAACAAATAATCTTGAGTGTATATAGTTTTACCATGAACAGCCTGTTCCTGATTGACTGTATCTCCTGCTTCCTCTCCTCTCGCCTCTCATCCCTTCCATTTTGATCGCCCTGCTCCCACTTGCTCTTCACGTCCGACATCCCGACGAAATGGAAGGGCTTCTCCTTCTGCGCCTTCTTCGCTCTGATCAAATCGGCATCTTCTCCTTCGAGTTCTTCTTGCTCTTCCTCCTCTTCGGAAGAGCTTTCCTCGATGGGGATGCCGTTCAAAGAGTCATCAGCTACACCGATGTCCATGCCTTTAGCTTGAAATCTGCCGGTCGACGGATAGCGAAAAAGTAAACGATTAACACGGATTCACCGATGAATGGCAATAACCGGCGAGACAAGAGTGACGGAAACTATAGAGGTAGACGGACCTCAAAGTAACCGGTTTATACTTGAAGGTAACTGTGCAAGAGCAACGGTTGCCAACGTAAGCGTCGCGCGCCATCTGTTCGTCGCTAGGTCAAAATGTTTACCTGGCCAATTTGGAAAGGATCGAGGGTGATCTCTTCACGTTAACAGCAGAAGACGTCCTCTCCAGTTGGTTAAGCTCGTCCTCATGCTGCTGATGGTGCTCGAACACCTGGAAACGTTCCTTCACGTTCAGACTCTGTAGCTCCTCCAGACCCAAATCCGGTTTGTCGCTAGCTGCAATCGCAAACACGACGATTAACAACGATCTTTTATGCATCAATAAATCAAATGGTTGTGATGATGGTAGTAGTAGCAGTGGTGGTAGTAATAGTAGTAGTAATAAAACAGGTGTAATGATAAAACGAGAGATTAGGCACGGTGTTACGAAAATCAAAGTTGGCAAGCCTAATACAACACAACTCGTTCTGACCTCTGACGACATCCGGCGGCAATTCCTGCGGCTGATTCTCACGTATAATCATTTCGTGTTTACGTGGCCTCTCTGTATAATATAAACAAAATAACATACAGAAGAAATATAGATCGAAGAACCTCATTTCACATTCAAATATTGGTATATATAAAATCTCGGTACAACTACTTACCATGAAAAACTATCATTACATAATAACACATTCTATTTAAATTAGTTTATATGTATCAATAAAATAGATCACTAACAACTACATACTATTGGATAATAGTTTGCTATTTCAATTTTATACATATCTTAGCAAGTTTGGCAAATACAATAAATATGACAAGATCGAACAGTGTGTACGCACCATTAAACTTAATTTTCATTGACTTTCTATTCGTAGTTGGACAGTATTCGTAAACCGAAGTAGAGATATATATTATAATCATAATTTGCTCAATTGACAAATAAAGTAAATAATACTTTTTCTACTTTTATGAGATATATTTCCTTCGCTGAAAATAAACTAGTCTGTGCTGTTGATAGGGGAATCACCTAACTACGAAACTTTCCGGGACAACAATATGATTACATATAACTTAATAGGACATAAGACTGCATCTGACGTTTAGAAGCAGGCAAACATATCATACTGCTTATATACAATACATAATTATGTATTAATTATTACTTACGAGGAGCATCTTCCTCGACGGCTTTAGGCGCGAAGAGCGCCCGAAAGTGCGGCTTGCAGTATAAAGTTCCCTCGTGACTTTGATAGGTGTCAACTCTGAAATAGATACGTTTCTTTAACTTTTTCTTCTAACACTCAGAAATTGTCTTAAAAATCTTACGTCAATTGCTTGTTGCACTCAGCGCACCGGAAACAGTTCTTATGCCAGATGCACTTTTCTGCCTTCATCTGCTCCATTTGGAAGACGATCTTCCCGCACGACTTGCAATTGCTGCTGTCGATTTGGTTTCCCTAAACACGAAAAGAAATTAAATGAAAAGATATGACGATCAAGTTGAGTTTCTTACATTGAACTTTTCCTGGGCCTTGGAGCTATCGGTAGAGCGGACGTGTAGGACGTTCTTCTTCTGGAGGGCATCGAATTTGCTGAAGCTAGATTTCTGGATGAGATAGAGTGACGCATTAGAAAAGAACTTTGTTGTATATTATGATGATGAAGTTGAAATGAGTAATGAAGTAAAAAAATGCGATGTGTATGAGTACGGGTGATCGTATGTGAAGAAGGAAGGAGCGAGGTATTATTCCTTAGTGTGTCGACGTTCCTTCACCTGGATTTCGATTTCCGAGAAGAGCCAATTTATTTTTTCAACAAGAAAAACTAAAGCGAAACTAAACTAGGAGATATGCAAGAAGAAGACAGTGCTAGTACAAACTACGAAGGGTGGCTTATTATTAGAATCATCATCATCATCAGCAGTAGCACCAGCAGCACTTACCAAACTCTTTAGGCAATTGCCGACTTTAGTGTTAATTGTACGGACCGGTCTAATTTTTGGGGAGAAGTTAGTGCCTGAATCGTTAAATTTGTCTCTCTACAAAAAGAAAAAAATCACAAAATACTGCCGGATAATAAATACAAGTATTAATGTATTATATAACATGCTGAACCAAATATTTTATAGGATGCAACTAGATTCAGTTTAACTTTTTTCATGTTATATCTTCAGCTTACTGCTGCTTTTACGAATTTACTGTCATCGTGCAAAGCTTTCCGTAAGTGCAAGTATTTAGTAGTACTAATATGTAATAAATAAGATGGTTTGTTATTCTTACCAGAGCCCGCACCGACACTGCGTTAAAGACATTCGTTTCAACGCTATTAGATCTCCCGACACTTCGGATATCAGACATAGATTTAGTCTAAAAATAGATTAGTCAGAGAAGGCCATGCAGCGAGCAAAATGTTAAGAGAGGAACAACGCTTTCTCCTGTCACTGCGGACTGATGACAGAGTCTCAGGGAAAGTGTTGTTGTCGTCGTTTCTGTTCGCCCTTTTGGAATGGAAATACCTTACCGTTTTCAGGTTGGTAGGTCTCTCAGCCCTGATCTCGTGGCAGCAATTGCCAATTTTCGATAAATCACCGAAGCTCCTGCACTGATGCCGCACGCGCAGTTTTAATTAAATCACACACAGAGAACAGAAAAAAAAAACAGAAAACCTAAGACATTTGAAACTAACCTGGGGATAAGATCGCCGCCGCTGCCAAACGTGGTTACCAGATGACATAACAAAAAGAAAGAGAACAATAGGAAAATGATTCTAATAGAAGACAAAAAGTGTAGATGTATTTATTTCTTAAGCGTGGTGAGTTTGCAAGAAGGATGCAGCAACTGATGAAGATACCATTAGGAAAGTGCGTAATGAACTATAGAAGATGAAAGATACAGTTTGTGCAAACTCTATTTAGACCAAAATAATAGTCAAATTGAAGGACAATATAATTATATGTGAAGTAAGCTAATACTCTAAAAATGACATGCTTTTTATGATTATCGCAGTTGATTGATTATCGGAATAGATTGTTCACTTCTTCTTTTTCATGTTAACATCTGGTAACCCTAGAGCAGTATTTTCAACCATTATCTTGAACCAATAACTCACTTGAATCTATAAGTTAATAATCGTGTCCCAGTGTGCGTGCATTATCATAATTTTGATAGATATACTTTAAAATTATTTTGCAAAATAATTAAAATGATTAAAAATCACTGTTCTAGAGGCATGTGGTTGGGCGTGGGGTGTTGTTGTGCAGAATACAACTCACCAGGTTCTTCACGTTGACATTATAGAAACCATCGTCGTCGGTGCTGTTAGTATCAACAAAACATTCCTCGCAATCATTCTATAAAAACAAAACAAAAAGAGAAGAGCGCAACATGCAGCAAACGTCAAATGGCAACGCAAACTCAAGTCAACAACAACGGCAACAACCGAAGACTTACAACGGAAATGTTTTCTTTCTCGTGGCTCCTGGACTTTTTCGATTTTTTCTTTTTCAGGGCCTTCTCCTGGCCGCCGCTTTTCGTTTCGACTGTCGTTTCCACGTACGTGGTTTCGGTCATTTCCGTGCTCTAAATCGTGAAACGAAATGAAAAGAAAAAAAGAGAAACAAAACAAAAAACAATCGAATAACGAGTATCGACGATGATCAGCAGGAGAGTAAACAAATAAACAAAATAAAACGAATGAAATGAGCCGAACATGCAATTTGTTAATGGGGTTTGAGAAATGGAGGGTGAAAGTTTGATGTGTATAGACAACTCACGGTTTCCTCATTTCCAGGGCTGATCTGTTCGAACTTGCTGATCTGCTTCATAATGTCTAGGCTCTTCAGGACTTCGGCCTTTTCCGTGTCGGTCTTTTCTGTGTCTGTGTTTATGGTATTTGAGGTGGCGGCTGTCATTATGTATTGGTTGGTCAGAGATTTGACACTGGGCAATTCTGGAAGTGTTATCGTATCGCTTGGAGAGAGGACGTCGGCTTCGTGTCCGTTTGGCACATCTTTAAGGAGGTCGACCTGCTGGATGGGCGTGTCGCCATTGGATTGCTCGTCCTCCTCCACTTCAATTTCCTCCTCAGGTTCCGGTTCTTCGCTGGCCGGCGATTCGTTCGTGGTAGTATCTGGGGGAGAATCCCTCTGGAAGCCCTTGATGAAGTCGACTCGCTCCTCGGAGGGCGTCAGCATCGGTGATGTCACGGTTTGGCTGAACAGAAGACACGACGTCGAATCGGTCGACAAGAACATACGATCCTTCACGGATCTGGTCTCGATCTGTTGCTCGCTCATTTCTAACGTTTCAACAATATTGGTCATCAACACTTCCGTCTGCTGCTGCTGATGTTCTACCCTCTCCTCGATTTCGGATTCGCAAATCTCCGCAGCATCTTCTTTTTCATCCGCCTCTTTCAATTCAGCAATGTTCTCAACTTCTTCTTGTGCGCTGATTTCTTCATGAATTTGCAGCTCAATCTCAACTGGTGACTGCTCCTTCTTCTCCTCCTCCTCTGGTAATACTTCTTCCATGACTATGCTTTTCTGCTGCTGTTCCTCCACAGCATCTTGCAATTCCTCTTCGACAACGCTGTTCACCGTCTCCTCATTGATCGGTCTGCAGTCTTGTTGCTCGTGCATTAAACACTCCCTTTCCAACTTTAAAAACTCTTCCATCGAGTCCAGCTTACTTCGCATACTAAGCTGTTTCCCTTCAACATTCCCATTCTCTTTAATAACCTCCTCCACGACAACAGCCGTTCGCTCTGTCCGTTCTTCATCCTCTTCCTCTTGAACCAACTTCTCCTTCTCTTCTACCTCTTTCAATTCCTCGTTAAGCTTATCCTATCGTGTGTTAATCAGTTAGCAAGCCAAAAAACACACAGATGAAAGGAGAGAAAAAAAAAACAAACAAAATGTTAGTTATCAAAAACCACACTGAGTAAGTAGTCTTGTCGTCCATCCACATCTGAACTCATACATTTGAAGCAAGTATTTAGGTATTAAGTATAGTGTTCATAGTGCAATAGTTTTTAATCTAACATAAACTTCATTAAATTTGATAAATGTGTATGGACAATAATGGACAAGACCGTTTTATTGAAATGTATCAAAGTAAAAGAAGTATCATGAGAATCGTCCTTTTAAGTCGTTTGAACGATCATTATTACTATTTGGAAACTAGTTTAAAGTAGTAAAAAAAAAGATAAAACAAACGCACATTGCTCATGCATGTTTTTAGGCGCATGTTAAATTCCTGCATGACCGACTCCTCCAAGTCGTCCTCACTTACGATTCTGGACTTTTTCACCGTCTCCGCCATCTGTAAAAAAGAAACAAAATAAAAAATGTTAAAAATTGCGGCCAAGTCTGCGCATCCGGGCGGGTGATTAATTTCCGTGGAATAAAGGAAACCGCGGCGATAACCGAGGAAGTTCGCGTGGAACAGTGAGAAACTTCGATAATGATGATGATGACGATGATAATAATAATAATGTCTCGCGATATTTATCGTTCTGCAATTAAAATACGCAAAAGTGGGAAGTGTGTGAGGCGGGAGGGATATTAGGAAGGTGAAAGAAGGAAAGACTTCGTTCGGTGTGTTCACCTCTAAAAGTGCTCTTGTCTTTGGTCAACTATAACTACAAAGACGTTGGAGACTACTCGAGCATCTATCTACGCGCATACTTACGTGCACTATATGTGTATGTATGCATAGAGCGCACATGGAGAGTAGTAGTGTATCAAAAATAGAAAGACCGGCCGGCATCCATGGAATTTCTGCCGACCCATAAATACCATTTCCACATATTAAAATACATCATACGCTCTCCTTGCAAAGGGAGTCCGCAGCGTAGACCAGGAAGTGTACGTGGACCAGAATGAATCCCCCGTTTCCAAATTTAATCCTTCCTCCACTTCGCGCGATGAAGGAAATTAAAGCAGGACAACAGATGGAGATGGCTGTTACACACATGCACACCAATTGTTACACTTCTCTCTTCATCTAAAATTCATCGTCTTTATACTATATTTTTCTTGTTCTCTTTTTTTCATATTATCTTTCGCGCATTATTATTATTATTGATGTTACGATTTTAATAACGGATGTCTGCCATCTGGGCCCCAATCGAACGTCGTACATCGAAGAAACCAAAGGAGCAGAGCAGAGGCAACAATGCACCTCTTTGTGCCGCCTTCGAGTTCTTCCTCCTCCTCAAGCCAAAACTGTTCACCATCGGCGGTCGGCGGGCGGCGTTGCCGATCCCCGCGCGTCCATTCCTCAACAATTCCCTCTATCCAAGAAGATATTTCCGCAAAATTCGTCTGACCGATTAATGCCAATCGCTTTCGCAGACCTCCTCAACGGAATGCAACAACGCGCACAACAAAATCTTCATTTTAATTGCATTAAGCTTAAATTTAACGAAATATTTAAAGTGCATTAAATATGTTCGTAAACAAATTTAAAAAAAAAAACTTTTATCCACGCTTTCAGCGACATTTACCTGGGCTACGAATTTTCATCATGAAATGTCACCATTGATAAATTTAAAAGAACACATGCATGTGGCATTTAATTTTATATTACAATGAGCGCTCAGAAACGAAAAACAATCACCTATTATGATCGAAATTAAGAATTGCTGTTTTCCCTCCTCTTTAGTATTTATGATGCGTATGGTAAAAATACCGAATTTGGAAAAGAAAAAAAGAACGAAACTGTACACGCATACAGTTAAAAAGCACATACGGAATATCTAATCTTCTATGTTCCTCTAGCTATTACCTATTCATCGGTTTTAACGCACATTTCGTTACATATATATATATAAAATAAAAATTAATAAGATTCAAACGCTTAATTGACTATTCCACTCCATCCATCCATTCATCAAAAACGGAAATTCAAATACGAAACAACAACAAACAATAAAAATTGGTGCGACGGAAACGTAATATTAACATGTTTAAACGATATGTTTCGAAGGAAGGAAAGGAACGCAAGATTATCGCACTTGCAATGGAAGTGTAATTCTGTAACTGCGAGCAGATTATTAACCGTTGTTGCTATTCGCTCTCCTTCTCTTTCTCTCTCTCTCTGTTTTCTTTATTTAAATTTCGAATTGATTTCCGTGGCGAGTCTCGAAAGAATTTCTACGCTTTCAAATATATAAAATCCGGGATCGTGTTGAAAATCGCCAAGTGCGATCGCTTATAATTTATTTAAATAAATCCGTTTCTCCTGCCAAAAGAAATGCATCGAGAATATTCGCACTTTCTTCCTCGTCGTCGTTCGAAAACTGTGATCTCATCCAAAGTTTCTTACGGAAACTTTAGTTTATCCATGTTAACAATTTAAAAGAATTCATTCGGTATCGAAACGTTTTTTTTAACCATTCGACATTCAATTAGTTTTGTTTCATTTTTCTTAATCGTTTTTGATTCAATAATCGACCATTGATTGATACTTAATTAGATCGAATCAAGTCGACGAGCGGAACGTTAGTTCCATTGGCATTGAACGAGTTTCCCTATTCCCACATAGTATTTAAAACATACCATAAATCAGTGTTTCTGAAACTTACTTAAAATCGACTATATTTTTGTTTTGAGACTTGAAGATAATTTAAAAGAAAGTAAGTTGTTTATGATATGATTAGTATATCAAATGAGGTCGATTTGCGTCTTGTCCGCACAATGCAGTAATAATAATAATAATAACGAATCTCCAATTGCATAACGAGCGCAGAACTCATCACTATTTTCGCCATGACACAGATGCTCGATAAGGACACAAGAAAAGTAACAGAAAAGGAGATGACAGTCTGAGTAGCTAAAACAAGCCCTGAAAATGATTGCATTCATTTCGTGCCAGAAATGCAGGTTTACTTATGCGAATATCTGACATTTCCCCAAACGCTAAATATAATCATTCCAGAATGCTAGCAAGCATACATACGCATTTGATATTTATATAAGTATTTCGTGTTTTCGCAAAGTCCGCTTTTTTTGGGGCGTTATTTGAATGTAGTCTAGAAAACAAAACGAATATACGATGCCAATTTACTTTTTTTTTTATTAGAAGCGCGAGCAATGTTTATTTGGAGGCGAATGAATCACAGGTTTCGATACGATTAAAAAACACGCATTTTGTCATGCAACTCGATGACGAATCATCTTGATTGTTATCATAATAAATTTTGATAGGAATTGGTTCGGGGCCTCTTTTGGTGCTGCAATACCGGAATGTTTTGATTAGGCTTTAATTTTTTTTTTATCGCAGTTTCGCTTTCAAGTGGGAATCCCACGAAAACGCTTGAACATGTTTATATTTTTACATGCATTATTTCAAGGAGGTACATAAAGAATAATTCAAAGCCAGTTTTATTCGAAAAACCACTTGCGGTTTGCGTGATGTAAGCGAATTATCAAGAACAATACGCCTCAAGCTATGCTCTAATTAATTAAATTTTGGTTTTGTTGACTCGAGGATTACATTTATTAAACGTTTTGCTTATATTTCGATTAATTCCCACGAGTTTGATGCAGTTCAATTTCTTCGCTTAATGTTAATTGTACGAATATACGTTCAATGGTGGGAAGAGTTACGCGCGTTCCGTAACCTTGCTCCAAGTAAAAGTGACGATGAACTCGTTCCAGAATAATGTAATTCTAGAATTCCTAGCGCTTTGATCTAAAACGAAGCAAAAAAGTTTTTAAACGTTAAAATTTACTTAAAATATACATTGTTTTATTTGTTTTCAAATACATGATCTTCTTCTTTTTTTTGATAAGTTTATCTGTATTGATTTGTTTGCAAAGTGCATTCCTGAATCCAGAATTTAAAAATCACAGATTTCTCTGGAAAAAAAAAAGAACATACAACAACGAATCTTATCTCAAATTCCTGCAAAAATAAAGTACGTTTATCCGATCCAGATAAATATTTTAAAGCATGTCTTTTTGAGCTATTGTAAAGAGCATCCGCAAAGTCGTTCAGTAATTTCGAATGCAATTTAGATTTTTCCGTGTTATAAAATTTACGGTTTATGTGTTTATGTGTTTATCGAACGGAAAGAAAGTGAAGGAGACTAACTTTTTTCCGCTCTGACATAAGCGCTATTTTAGTACGACTGTCAGATTAGTCACCTTACGAATATAACATACGATTCGTTTGTTTTAAAATTATTAAATTGACTTAGATTCCAATGACATTGGACAAGGTGCAATATTCACTGTTGACAGTTTCGAGCACGTCTCTGCAAGAATAACAAAAGAATGATCATCGATTGCGTGATTCATGCGAAATCAAAACAAAAGTTTAAAACAAAAATAAAACAGAGTTGATGACAATCGGTGCAGGTAAAATAATTTGGAAATTGGGTTTTTAGATACGTTACTAAGGTACTTAAAGAATTCCGGTTTGACGTGGAGGAAAGGAATCTGTTCGTAGAAACGAGCTCGTATCGATCAATGATTCCCATTGTCGCAAAACACGATAGCAGGGTACAAATGGTCAACCCCTTATCAGGACTGAAACGTTATTTACCAATTGTTAAGAGAGCTAGGAGAGACGTACAAATATTTATATAAGCGCGCGCGGTTCGTCGAGTCGAGCCGCTCCGATGGCGTTATTTAGTAGCGAAAGACCCAGGAGGCCGGGCTCGGACAATTAATGCAAATTCTAAATGGAGTTGACATTTAAAAGTTGGCCGCTACAGTCGCTGTGGGCGGTTTTATGAAACCGTACAAGAAAACATTGCAAAAAAAAAAATATACAAACAAAAAGAAGTTACGAAAATGTTTGCATATTGTTAAAGCCAAAGAAAGAATCGCTCTTTTATTCTCCTACTCCTGCGCGGCTTCCACTCCCGCCGTTCTCAAGAAATTAACAATGAACGGAAGGAAGTCGATATGATAATCAATTTATTTTATATAAATACGTATAAAACAATAAACAATCGAATGCAAATGTCACATCGGTATCCCATATCATTATAATAGCGTAACCATGGTTACCCATTTCCATAGCAAGAGTGTTGATAAGAACATCAATCGAGATACTCTATTTAATCTCATTATTATACCATGGTTACCTAGCACCATAGTAATAACATATAACATACAACAGTAGAACATTTGAGAGAAGAGTTTGCTTTCATTAATGATGATTAGAATTTCGGAGGAGCGCGAGGTAACGTAACGAGTTTTGAGCATCTCTCGCGTTGTTCCCTATTCCTGTCGACGCGCTATTAAAAGGTTTTATTTTCGTTTCGCTTCTATTCCTGAATCCACGAAACGAAAATATTTGGAAGAAAATAAAAACCGTGGCACGGAGAGCGAGTCCAAAAACCAAAAAAAAAAAAAAAGA